ACAGAAAACGTAAAATCGCTGAACATTTCTACCGTTATCAACTCCGTAGAATGAAATCGGTGATTGGTTCAACTGTAGCTCCAAACTTTCCATGGTTATCTTCTAAACCGGTTTTAACCAGTTCTTTTCTACTAAACCGGTTTTAACTAGTTGTAACTGGAACCATTACAATAAGGTTCAAACCATACATACTTTATCTAGTATCTCTAAATAAAGAAATAACATTTTAATTATGTAACTCAACGTACGGAAATAGCAAAATAGAAAGAATGTGACAGTAGACAAGGGATATATACAAAGGATATGAATATACGTAAAAAAAATAATATTATTTGGAAAAAGGCATTTCAATACATGTTAAATGAGTTTGCTCTCTGTAAATCACAAATACCGGTATATCAGAAATTCTAGAAATTTCATTTGTATGGATTTCTAGTACACAAAGACATGCTCAAATACTAAAGAATATGTGATACTTTATGCCTGCAAACTTATGACTAATGAAAAACAATCCTTTTTACATAACAGTTATTCAGACAGAAATTACTGCAAAGTGAAAATGCAGCTCTTGTTTTTCATCAGCAAGTATTTTAAATGGCGGTGTGGGCCCAGGGTTGTCCAAAACGAATCGAAAATTCGAAATTATTCGAATATCAAAGTATTCGAATACCTTTTCGGCTCTTTTCCGAATAATTACGAATAGTAGTCACTTTTCGCCGTAAACACGGTGTTTCGTTTTACCGGAATCTTCAAACGACTTTTTACGCTTTCTCACATATTGTAATGACGATGAAATAGAGTCGGCATTTTGATTGTTTATATTCAGCGCGAATGTACGTCGCATAGTGTTGCGACACATTTGCACGTTTGCGTTGGTGGACATTGCCGACATTCGTCTTTTAATTCACAAAATCATATCCATTAGTCGAAAAATCGACAATCCCCGTATTTCCCGACTAATAAGTCGCTTTTCTAGACCCAATTTTGGCTCGATTTTTTGGGGGGAGGGGCGCCTTATAGAGAAAGCATGTTTATTTTATTTCTATGTGGCCTGCTTATTTTTCGCATTAGTCTTCTCAAGCATAATTTGTGTTAACCTTATATTTGGTTCTTATGGGTCTGCCAATCATGATATTTAATCGTAGGCCGGTTATCGTTACTTAAGAGAGAAAACATGGCCACCGCCACCGAGATAAAGTAAGTGATTTATGACCCTTTGGTTTTGCCGATTCAGCAGAAAACGTCAGGGACATGAAACACAGCTGTGAAATAACCCGTGGACGTACCGTGTGGTACTTATCACATTTCAAAATTATTTCAACATTCGGGTTGATAGGTTGTCCAAAATGATTGCCGCTTTATAATTTAAATTTACCGCTTCGTTGTTGAGAATAGTTAATTCCGTGAGTATGGTTCTACCAAACAAACATGATCTGGTTCTGTTCTGACCCTATAAAATTATAGATTGTTCAAAATGATTGTGATTTTTAACTTAAAATTACCGCTTTATTGTTAAAAATAGTTAATTCTGTGAGTATGATTCTACTAAACAAACGTGATCTGGTTCTAAACATTATTATTAGCGCATATTAGCATAACTGAACAACAGGGAACACTTTTTCTACCCGTCTTCTTGGAGGCCTATATGGAAAACCCCCTATTTTGAGTGCTAAAAATATACATCGTCCTATTTGCCACGTAGACTTATTAGCCGGGAAATACGGTATTTATAGCCGTAATTGTTACGATATCCAATAAATTGTCACAAGTTGGGGAATAAGTTGATTTATTGGAAAAATACTCTCACCCGCTTTCTGGCAAATAATTTTGATAATGATGGTCAAAAGTATCGATAATGAAAGTATTAATACCAAATACCACGGGTATTTGTGGGCATGAAATGTGTGGTAAACTGCCCAATTATAATTAATTTCGGATTCGTATTTACAAAATATTAAACCTATTATAACTCAAAAATACAACGGCGATTTGTGGACTTGAATGTGTAATAAAGTATAAATTATTTTTCCGACTTGTGACAATTTTTTCGTGAGTACGAAAATAAGAATCAAAAATTAATTATATTCGGGCACAATATCACGGCATTCTGTGGACATAAATTGTGAGGCAAACTCGCGATTGATACTAATTTTTGATTCCTATTTTCGTATTTACAAAATACAACGGTGATCTGTGGACATTGAATGTGTGGTAAACTACCCGATTATAAATAGTTTTTGAACCCTTTTTTCGTATTTATAAAATAATAAAAGTATTATTACACAAACATACAACGGCGATCTGCGGACTTAAAATGTGTGGTAAAGTTCCCGAATATAATTAATTTTTGATTCGTATGTACTCACGAAAAAATTGTCACAAGTCTGAAAAAGAACTCATACTTTATCCCGCTTTTTGACAAATAATTTGGATAATGGTTGGTATTTAAAAGTATGGGCGTTTTACTAGGATGATTTTGTGTTGCGCACGCATTCAAATCCATCACCGATACCACTATTTAAAATGCCTTGTCGTATTATTTTAATTCTGTTAATTAACACAACTCATGTTATATAAAATATATATCGCAATAATCTGCAAACATGAAATGCCTGGTAATATATCCAGGTTGTAGATAGAAGTTATTCCATTGTTTATTGTATGAAAATTCCTTCATACACTTAGATTCTATTACTGGATTTTATTTTCGAAGTATTCGAAATTTCATATTCGAAAATAATAATTTCGAATGTATTCGAAATAGTGAACTATTCGGTATTGGCCATCCCTGGGTGTGGCTTTACTTAGCAAAATAGATGCTGCCAAGTTTTATGCATTGATACTTCCCGCGTACACAATTACTACCAAATATAAAATAAATATTAAAATTTACTAGAGAATAAAATTAGTATGACATTACGCTAACTAAGTCCAACAGCTACAACTCAAATTTGCTGTGATAGGTGAGTACGGCGTGTTGTGATTAGTAGCGCCGGCATATGTGCGAATTTCCATGATTCACCGTTTCTAGAGGTTGACTTATATGTGGGGATATAGGTACCAGTAATCACTATTACACATGGGACTGCCAATTTTTTAGTTTGTATGAATCAAAAGTCAATACACAGGGGACAACAAACTGATCATGCAATTTACCATACACAAGCACAACTTGAAAAACCACGAAAAGGCTGTAGATGATCATCTCTATATATACAAATGACGTCTCTTATAATAAGGAAATCAAAAAATGGAACAAAACACAATATAACTTAGTCATATGTTACCTATCCTCTCACAGGATTGAAAGAAATATTTGGTACTCCACGAAAGTGTTTGTACCAATATGGAGACGAGAATATCGGTCAGAGACTGGAGACTTATCGATCGAAAATTAGGGGATCCTCAAAACAGCGCTCTTACTCCATAGTGACACCTTGTGTCTCATCACTAATTAAAAAATAACTCGCTAATTATACGACATAATTCACCCAAAATCAATAGGCTTTTGGTCCGACATATATGATGAATGCACATGCAAAATCTGGAGCAAATTCAATCTCGCTTTCGTGAGATATCGCGTACATCTAACAGACAGACAGACATACAGACAAATACCTATCAACATACTTACCGATTAAAATCGATAAGTAATAACTAATTTTGTTCACCTACTTTACATTAGTTGTGTGAAAAGACTGAAACTTATGAGCAGGGGGTATATTCACTTGGCTAACACAGACAGTCTCTGAACTCGTAATAGAACTGAAATAAGGAAAAACGGAATAAAATTATGCCTTAGCCCTAACCTGGTACACACACTATGGGAATACCAAAAATCCCACCCTAATATTAAAAAAAAACTATATTCAGCTTGCAAACAATAACAAAACGAGAATATCGGTCAGAGACCGAAGACTTATCGATCGAAAGTGGGATCCGCCAAAACAGCGCTCTTACTCTATAGCGACACCTTGTGTCCCATCACTAATTATTTAATAACTCGCTAATTATACGACATAATTCGCCCAAAATCAATAGGCTTCTGGTCCGAGATATGATGAATGCACATGCAAAATCTGGAGCAGATTCAATCTCGCTTTCGTGAGATATCGCGTGCATCTAACAGACAGACAGACATACAGACAAATACCTATCAACATACTTACCGATTAAAATCGATAAGTAATAACTAATTTTGTTCACCTACACTATGAGAATACCAAAAATACCACCCAAATTAAAAAAAAAAAACTATATTCAGCTTGGCTGAAATGCAAACAATAACAAAATAAACAATATTCGAACAAAATTTGCGGAAGAAATATATATAGGCTATCATAGACCAGTGCTTCCCAAACTGCGTTAACGGTTTGATATGGTAGCCAAACTTGAGTAAAATACTATAACACTTCATTTTTTACCTTTCACGCCAATTGTTATTTCATTATTACAGTTACATTATTGTATATTCGCATGCCGGTAGCTTAATTATACATGCGGACATCGACCCCTTGCGGGTGCTACCTTACCTCGGCCCAGGAATATTCTTCCACATCTAATTATGCCCCTCCCGTCAACCAACTTTAGGAACCACTGTTATAGTAACAAATTTAAAATATTTCAGAGTGTGATGCTACAGTGGGAGTTATTTCATTGAAGAGTCTAAATTCTAATTCCAGTCTAAAAATAAAAAACTTTAAAATATTCGACATGATACAAATCGAAAAATATCCAGGCAGTGAAAGTAGACAGCCAACATGAGACATTTAATAATTTAGAAAAAAGGTTGCCACCTATCTGATGTAAAAAGGTTTGCTTATAAAAAGCCTCGTATACAGATATAGTATGGAAATAATTTCAAAAAATGAAATACAAAAACAGTTTCACTTCTTAATGTCCATCCTCATGGTCAGAAAAACCTTCATTGTGAGTATCTGAACATTGGGATTATTCAGAGTCGCAGAAAAAACCTGATTCAGCTATTTTTGCAAAAAATCTGGGGTCAATAGGTCGTTGTGGATGCAAAGATTCAATAACATAGTGCTCCATTCTGTGGCAGAGTTTCCATTGCGCTATCTGTAAATGCCAATAAAAAATGTTTCACTGCCTGATATCATATTCAACACGACACATTCTGCGTTGTCAAAAATTTAAGGGTGTCTAACTGAATTGATAATTCGAATCAAATATATTAAAATTTTTGAATTCTTGACTTTAGGAATTATTTGGAAAAGTGATACAGATTCGAATCTAATGCAGGAATGGTTATGTACGCAAGGATTGCTGGACTCATCGCTGTAGGGTGGTTCAGGTAACCGCTGGTTAGTTATTGCTTCTTTCACTATCAAGTCCATGCATCTGAACACAGATAACTGGTTAACTATTCTCATACCCTACATGGGCGAGAGGCCGTGGTTCGCCACATGATAAAGCCATCTTATCGGCTTTCCTTCCCCCATAGTTAGCCAGTTACTTGTTTTCAGGTGCATGGACTTGAGGAAGCCTAACGCTTACCACGATGCGTCACACCGAGACCCTATTCAGAAATAAACAATAAAACGAGAATATCAATCAGAGACCGAAGACTTATCGATCGAAAGTTAGGGAATCCCCCATTCATTCACTCTGACTCTATAGCGACACTGTGTGTCCCATCACTAATTAATTATCAACTCGCTAATTATACGACATAATTCATCCAAAATCAATAGGCTTCTGGTACGAGCTATGATGAATGCACATGCAAAATTTGGAGCAGATTCAACCTCGTTTTCGTGAGATATCGCGCGCATCTAACAGACAGACAGACAAATACCTATCAACATACTTACCGATCTTAAGATCGATAAGTAATAAACCTACCTGGCACGCTTTGCAGCAATAATAATGAAGAAATGGGTTGTTTTTCTTGACCCCGAGTTGTACACATCGCAGGCAAACTTTAAAACGTTTCTTCGATTCAGTATTATCACACCACTGACACTTAACAGGGGGGTCATGAGGCTTCGGTGGGACGACATCAATTCCATAATTTGACAATGGAGATTTGTTCAATTTTTTTTCCAGAAGGATTATAGCATTTTTGTCATTTTTTGACAAAGCCATATTCGTTGTTAAAGTAAATATAATCTTATTGATTACTTTTCTGAAAATATACATTGCACTCTTTATTAATTCAATAAAAGGTCAGTATAGCATTGATTAAATATATAAAAACAATACTTTATCATTTTTCTCGTAGGACTGGGAATAAATTTGAAAAACAGAAGTAAAGATGTTCCAGTGGCTACAACAGCAATTAGCGTAATTTGTCAATTGTGTTTTCAAAAATTAGTTGTAAATTAGTATTTTACTTATCATTATGTCTTCCAATGAGCTTTAGTTGCCTAATCAAAAATTAGTCCTGGAGATACTGCGATATGCCAGGTTAAAATTATCTATTAGTACCTGTAAGCGACATATGATTGTATATTTTTTTAGAACTAATTATTTTTGAAAATGTAAATCAGTTTGTAAGTATCACCACTCCAAAAGACCCGTAAAATAAGCATCCAAAATTATGCAATAGTATAATATAGGAGAATTTTTATGGGGTCATAGAAACATCCACAGATAAAAGCGAATATTCACTAACACCTTATTAAAACACTATTTCCACACTTGATTCACCATAACACCATTTTCGTGCCAGATTTACGGTAAGCATCACCATTAAGATTATTTTGAAGAAAAATTTCACGTGATTAAAATAGCATTTTCAATCCTTTTTAGATTTTTGTGGTATTTCTTCTGTGTAGGCACTATACACCCAAAGTCCCAGTATAATGTGAGTTATAATAATTGCAACAACAGCCGATGGTACATTACTATCATCCGATGACATTTTGAAGATCTTTTCAAAAACTTGATTTTTTGCAATATAATATGAAGAAATAGGTGCAACTAGCATTACAGTCACAGTAAACAGCAATTTAAATATTGTGTAATTTGAAATAAAACTTCCTTCATTTGCTCTGTTCATTTCTGCTTCAGCTTTTTTTGCTAAGTAAGATCTTCGCTCCCGAAGAGAGTCAGTTGTTGATGATGACATTATTAAGTGACCAAAGCTGGCTTAATCAAAATAGAAAAATTATTCTTATGATGTAAAATAGGGCGTAGCAAGTCAATACCTTCTAACAGAATGGTCTCACTACTCATTTAAAAGATGACTAAACATGAAAAGTTGTGACACAGAAAAAACAGCGATGGCGAAGTCAGGAGGGGGTTAGGGTTGACATGTGCTAAAAACTACAAGTAATTGAGGTACTACACGAAACCCCATTATTAATATGGCAGTAACGGTACAGTTCCCAGATTACAAATAGGCCCCAATATTTAGATGTATCAACAAACACACTCTATTTGCAGATTTGTATGGAAGCAAGGATGCCTGGCATGACAGCAGATGCATAAGATTGAGCAATGTTTTTCATGATGATAATATAAATCAAAAAACTTGATTGTCATTTGTTAAAAAATCCCAAATGCTGCAGTGCAAATTGTTATTATTTCACAATTTTTCATTTTTTTTTTTCGCTAATTGCTATGTTTCTGCTGTTTTCAGTACGGCTAACGATAAGTAGTCTAATACTGGTATAGTACTTTCTTTCAGAACGGTCATACCGTAGGTACCGGTACGGTACGGTACCAGATACAGTCAAAAACAAAGAAAAAACGGGTAAAAAAACATTAGGGTACGGTACAGAAGTACCGCCACCGGTACCCCGCATTGGGGGAAATTTATACCCCGTGCATGTAACGTTACCAGCCCACCTAACTAACAAACTTGCATATGTCTGTTATGTTTAGTCTGTTCATCTAGTCTCTAACGAGTGAACGAGGTCGGTGGGTACACAAGTGCTGAAGTCGAAACAGTGCGATATGGGGTACGGTACCGGTAGGATAGGATAGGATTTACATATTTATCCCGGGGGAGAGGAAAGCCGATAAGACGGCTTATCCATATGGCGAACCACGGCCTCTCGTCCGGTTACCATTCCAAGTCGGGTATGGGATTAGTTTTTACTGTATTGTTTGTTTTCGGAAGCATGGACTTGGTGGTGGAGGAAGCCGTAACCGACCAGCGGTTACGTGAACCACCCAACGACGGCGAGGAGTCCAGCAATCCTCTCGCACATAACCATCCCTACATGGGATTCGAACCTGCGAACCCACGCAGAGTAATTAGAGGTGCGGTGGCGAGCGTATTCCTAACGCTTAGCCCGTTGAGCCACACCACCGCGGTACCTACCGGTGTTGCCGTACCCGGTACTAAGAGATTTTACTGCAACATTGAAAAAGCACTTGGGCAAGATGATGTGGTCAGCCATATGAGTGAACCTTTAAATCCGGTCAGAATCCCAAAATAATGGCGTATGAACATAGCAACATATGAAAATCTCAACTAAATCCTGAATCGCAAAACACCGAGCCGTAAGCGGAACAGTGTCAACTGGATCGTGGACAGACTTCGCAAAAAAATTAATAAGCAAAATACATGAAATATAAAATCGCGTAATAATGCTTTTGTGGTGAATGAACAACATTTTTGGGCTTTGGCCCAAACTTATAAGGCGCGAGCCAATAATTTACGATACCTGTACGGGCTCAATTTAATATATACGACCCCACTAACAAATATGGCTGTGCCCATAACTCTAATCGCTCACGTTGGCGGCATTCATCCAGAACATAGGCGACTAATGAAAAGGAGGGCAACATTACATACCACCAGCTCCTTATAAAACTTTCGTTATCGTGTGGATAAAAAGTGAAGTTTTTATTAATAAAAAAAAATTAATAAATAAAACTTTCGTCCCTATATTTTTGAGCATCGTCGAACACGAATTCAACGAGCGCTTTTTCTTTTTCCTCCTTATCCCGGCTTTCTCCTTAACCAAGTTCATGATTTTGAAACAAATAAGCTGATTAAATACTCTCATACACAACTTGGACTAGTAGACGAATCAGAGGCCATAGTCAGTCACATGACTAAACCAACCGCTTCGACACTGGATAGTCATCCCATCCCATGTCTGAATATAATCAAAGTGTCTATAGTGTTATAGTCACTTTGAGTATAATCGTAATTATTATATATATACGACGTCATCTGATACAAAAACTTACCCCTCAAAAATTTTATTTTACGAATTCGTCAAAAGTTTCGATATTCGACGTACAAACCCTAGGTTTAAGTAGAATAATATATGGTAGATATGGGTTGTGAGTGCATGTGACGTCATCGTTAATTGTGACGTAATGCTCCACTTCGGAGATGTCAACTTTTTATATTTAATAAATAAAGCTTTTAGCTTTTTGACCCACCAAAATTTAGGTTCCCCCCGAGCGTCACCACGAACTCGATTTTTAAGCGCTTTACAGATTTCGGCCCATGGCCTAATATTTACGACGGTATAATGCATAACAGTGAAATGGGCAGTGGACTTACCACTTCCACCAGTCTTCACAAAAAAAGTATTCTTGCCTTGATTTCCGGTTCAGATTCGCATATTTATCCCGGAAAAAGGGGACCGTCCAGCAGTTTCGTTAACCGATCTATGGCGGGGAGGAGTCCAGTAATCGTATCGCACATACCGTAATAAACGTGCTTTGGGTTCGAACCGTGACAGTGTAATCAGTGGTGCATTGGGATCGTATTCCTAACGCTTAGCACGATGCGCCACATCGCCGAGTAAAATCATTAATCCTATCTATCATTACCGGTATCGACTTTCCCTTGTCCAATCAAGAACGGTGATGCTTGGCGGAAAATCAGTGATTAGATGTTACAAAAATTCAAGCTCAGATGTATGGGGGAGGTGTAATAGGATAGGATTTACATATTTGACCTGGGGGAGCGGGAAGCCGATAAGACGGCTTAATCATATGGCGAACCACGGCCTCTCGTCTGGTTAAACGAGGAGCCATCTTTGGTAATAGAGTGGGTTAACCGTCTTTGTCGTGGTTGCAATGCATACATTTTTTGTAAATTTTAATCCATCCTCGAAAAATATTGTGAATATGCTGATTCTATTCTTGTGTCTCTTTCTCGATTCTTGTACAAAACCTCACTCTGATCAAACAACACAAAAATATTAGTAAGTGTCTGATTTAAAGCATTCACAGAAATGTTGCGAATCTTTCACTGATTCCCAAAACATAAATACGGATATAACACAAGAACACACTAATGCAGAGGCTGATAAACAAATAATATATGTCAATCAGTATATTTAAATATATATATAAGGTTACTTCAAGTTATGAGCAGACATAATATACGTCTAATTTTATGCATTTACAGAAATGTTGCCACATTTTGCATAGATTTCAAAGCATAATTGAGAATATAGTCGGTAATAGACGTCTAATTTTATTCATTTACAGAAATACTGCAGAATCTTGAACTTCAATGCGTAATAACAGATATAACACAAATACACACAAATGCATAAAGAAAATAATATATGTCTATCAGAATATTATTATTAAATTATATTAGAGTTATCCAAATTATGAGGAGACGTAATAGAGGTTCAATTTAAGAATTTACAGAAATACTGCAGAATATTGCAATGATTTTAAAAGCATAAATATGGATATAACACGAATAGAGACAAATGCAGAGACTGATAAACAAACAATACATGTCCATCAAGATATTATTATTGAATTATATTAGAGTTACTACAACTTATGAGGGGACGCAAATATCCGTCTAACTTTATACCAGTGGTTCCCAAACTTTTATGGGTCGTGGCCCCTTTTAGGAGGCTTTCGGCATTCATGGCCCCTTGTTCATCATTCCGGAAATACGAGCACAGAGGTAATAATAGTGTTATTTTGATTGATCTCATATCACATTATGATGAAACAAATTATGCACAAAAATAGCAAAAACACCCTGTGTAATAACTTTACCAGGGAATTTAAAAAAAAAATGGGAAAGTATGCAAAGGAAAACGAGTTATAATCAATTTTGCACTTAGTATTCTGCCCCTCCCCCTACTTTAAATGCCATGCGCCCCCCCCCCCCCCCCCCCAAGGGGGATGTCACGAGGCCTAGTTGGGAATCGTTGTTTAATAATAATTTACAGAAATACTGCAAAATCTTTGACAGATTTCAAAGCATAATTGCATAATTACGGATATAGCACGATACACAATATTGCATCAGATAGATTAAGAGATAAGATATGTCAATCAGTACAGGGAGTCCACGACTTACGACGTTGTTCCGTTCTTGAGACGCGGTGTAACCCGAATTTCAGTGTAAGTCGGAACATTATACTGTACAGTACATAAATTACTCTATACATATCGTACTGTATTGTTAAGTATGGTACTGTAATAAAATGTACAAATAATGCCAATAATTACGATGTAAATGACAAAAACCAATGAGCACAAAGCACTTATTTTCTTGGTCACAATGATCCAGTTTAAGGGCTTAGATATTACAGTATTATCTTTTATATTTTTATAGAGTGCGTTCGTAACCTCGAAACAGCGTTATGGGGTGCGCGTTTGTAACCTCGAAACAGCGTAAGTCGCGACCGTCGTAACCAGAAGACTGTCTGTATATTTGAATATATATTAGAGTTATTTCAACTTACAAGAGGGTTAAGACACCTGCTTACTGCATCGTGCCATTTGCAATAAATGACATTGTGGGATATCAGAGGTGCGCACAAAATTTCAACTATTGCTTTTGGGAGAAAAGTTGAGTGTGTCCTTTGTACTATAGAACAGTGGTCGGCAACCAACGGGCCGCGGCCCATTGCCGGTCCGCGGAAAGGTTACTATCGGTCCGCAGAAGGGTGACACAAAAATTCACAAGGCCAAAATAACACCTCTGCAATCTAACAACCACAATCCCTACAACTAAAAACATCACACAATAGCAAAGTAGACAAACACAACGCATGTGGGCAGCATGTCTGTCTTTAAAAATAATTTTCACGTCAATATATCGCAATAATGTTGCATCGATTTTACCTCTGCGTGATATGCCAAATAAATTTTACGTAACTCGTATAATTTATTCCATATGCTTATAACTGTATCTAAGTTCGTTTGTATAAAAATGGTCCGCCAAAATTTTTGTCAGGCTTCACTGGTCCGTCACTTGAAAAAGGTTGCCGACCACGGCTATAGATAATAAAGTAAGCTTTTCAAATTTATTCGAAGAATGATCAAAAAATGTTTTGGTGAAAAAATCTTAAAATTGCACGCAAAAATTTCTTAACTCTGGATTTTAAATAACATATTAGAAAAAATTGAGTTTTTTTAAATTAAAACATAAACAATTGCTTAGCTTAACATGACAAAAAACTTTAAATAATTCTCAGTTTTTTCTAACAATTAAAACAAAGGTAAAGCTTCTCATTTATAGATAAACATTTTTTACAAACCAAGATCATTAGTCTTCAGCACTCCTTCTCGAGGTTATTTTATTCTTGATAATATTTTTAAGCTTGACAACACCAATTGCTGCAGATTTAATCAAAGCTCGTAACTTGCCAAAAAAAGTGAGGGTCAGTACACCGTTTTCTATATAAGCTTCAACCACAGCTCCATCTGCTATAACAGACCTGTGATCTTTATTCTCTTCATTCTGTATTTTGGCCTCTTCGGTTTCCATTCTTATTTTTTCATTGAGTAATTTCTTAATTTTCTCTTTTCCTTTTAGGATGTCAATGTACCATTGCTCAGCCATTTCAAATCCGCTGGTGGTCACGTAAGCTTTTAGCATCAGCTTAAAACAATTATTTCATTAGAATATTAATTATGCTAGAGTTTGAATCACTCGACTACAGCTTACAACAAAAATTTGTTTGGCAATTTCAAATCTAGGTTCTTTCAAAAATAGCTGCTTTATGTCTTTTTTTTTCCAGAGTCCTGTTCAACGAAAAGATACCAGAAAAAATGTAAAATGATATTTACCTCATTTAGAAATTCTCGATAATTCCAAATGCACGCTTTGACTGCATTATCAATGGCAATCTTTCTTCGGTCCTGTAGAAGAAATCATGTTTAAAGTTTTTCTGCTTTTCTGAAGCACTAGGGTCTAGTCATCTAGGACCATGAAATAGTAAAATGTAATATTGACAAATGGAAGTTAGACGTTACCTATGAATAAAATGAAATAGCTGTATGATTGCCACCGCACTACTGATTACCCTGCATGGGTTCAAATACTACGGGGATAATTATGTACAAGAGGATTGGCCGTTCCCATTACGGCTGGTCTGTTAAGGTTCCCTCATCATTAAGTTCATGCATCTAAACAAATAACCAGCTGACTAATCTCATGCCCGACATAGATGGGAGGCCATGGGTTGCCATATGATTACAGTCTTAACGATTTTCCTATCCCGGTGTTTTGAAAGGCGACATTATTTTTTTTTAAACGTAACTAATAGTTGAGGTTGTGTGAAACTAACTACCTTTCCTTGCTCTCTATGCCTTTGCGCAGGTGGATCCGTATGCGTATTACGTAAATGGCTATTCAATTCAAGAGTCTTGCTGCACACGAAAACAAATGTATTTCTGTAACGTTTCGTCTGAGGGAGGTCAGACTTCTTTAGACAAGCATTTTACAACTGTGATGCGTTTCTTGTAGTATTTGTTGAGTTCGGAATTGATAGGATCCATTGTGGATACAGAAGTCTCACGAAGAAGCTAACGTAAAAACAGTTGGGGTTACGTGAAATTAACTACCTTTCCTTGCTCTATCCATTTGCGCAGTTGGTCCGTATGCGTATAACGCAAGGATGCTATAGCAAAAAGTAGCCTGTCTGAAGAAATCTGACCTTGGCCAGGCGAAATGTTACAGAAATATATTTGTGTTAGTAACAGCAAGACTCTTGAATTAAATAGAATTTCTTTTGAACTTGTTAATTTCTCTCATTTTTCAATATTTTTTTTGTGATAAGGTTATGTTTTTTTGGAGAGACCAAATTACCTTGTTTTACTATTTGTAATAAATCGAAATTATTTTGAAGGTCTCTCACACAATTTTGGACATGGGTGCAGAATAATTATGTTCAACCGGCAGCAATATTCGTTCGAACCTCTGTGAAATACACCTGTGGCTGTTCAAAGATAATCCTCAAACATATTTGTGGTTGATGAATGGGGCGCCTAATGAACTACTTTCCACTGATTCGTGGCAGTAATTCTACTCTGTGTAATGCTTACCCTGTTTCTTTCAATTTCTTCATTCATGAAACCTTCTACTGTTCTCTCCAACTTGGTTCTTTCCTCCAATATTTTTTCTTTTAAAGAATCTCCTAGATTCTCTGTTTCTTCATTAAATTCTTCCAAAACTTCCAGCTGTGTGCTGTGGCAGAATGAGAGGAAGTTTTCTTCATGTATATTCTCATACTGAAATTGAAAATAAAAGACAAGTAAAAGTTTGGCCGTGTGGCACATCCTACCAAGCGTCAATTGACGCACCTTTGATTGCTCTGCGTGGGTTCGCAGGTTTGAATCCCATAGGAAATATTTATGTAGATAGAATGGGATTTACATATTTATCTCGGGGGAAAGGAGAGGTGATAAGACGGCCCAACCTTATGGTGAACCACGGTTTCTCGTCGGGTATGGGTATTTTGCCAGTTATTTGTTTTTGGAAACATGGACTTGATGGATGAAGAAGCTATAACCGACCAGCGGTTACATGAACCACACTGCGGCGGCGAGCACTCCAGCAATCCACTTGCACATACTCATCCTGAGTGGGATTCGAACCTGCGAACCCACGCAGGGTAATTAGAGGTGCGGTGGCGAGCGTATTCCTAACGCTTAGCACGATGCACCACACCACTGAGAAGATTGCTGGGGTCCTCGCCACTGTAGGGTGGTTCACATAACCGCTGGTCGGTTACGGCTTTCTTCATCATCAAGTCCATTCATCCAAAAACGAATATCTGACTAACTAATCCTATACCCGACATGGACTGGTAGTCGAAAAAGAGACCATGGTTTACCTTGTGCTTAGGCTGTGTTACCGGCTTACCTCTTCCCCAGGATAAATATGGAAATCTTATCCTTTTATCCAGTTTATGAAGACCCCACGATATCTTACATCAGGGGTGTGGAACCTTTATTACAGGAGGGGCAGATACAAATAACTGGGTGAAACTGCGAGCAAAGCCAGAATTTATAGATCTTATAAGCTAGCTGTTACGACATTGTGACGTCATATGCATAGATAATAAATTGAACTCAGGTATAGGCTTTGCAATGCAGAAGGATTGGAATTACCTGCATGTACCAGATTAAACTTAATTAAAAACTAGTCTTCCAGGCAAAACACCATTCAAAATTGTCACTTCATCGCATGCCGCACAATTTTTCCCTTGTGCGTTAGGTTGGGTTAGGGTTAGGTTGCCCCTGTCCTGCATTCTTCAAAAATCACCACTTTCTACATTCTATATTTTCATTGATCACGTCAGCATATCATACCGATTTTATCCTCATCCTCTGAAAGAAGTCATGTCTTCCGATTTCAGAACTGATTTGCAGACTTCTCATATTCAATTCCTGTAAATAATAAAAACAAATGAGCAGTACCCTAAAGCTGTTTTTTTTTGGAAAAAAGATTCTATTCTCTCTGAAGAATATCATGAAGGCAATAATAATCTGAATAGGTTCACAGGTAAGCTATTTCAACTGGTAATAAGAAATTGTGACGTTCTGATTTTTTAAATTCTATTGACACAGCTGCTTTGACTAAATTTGTGAACATGGTTGTTAACTCTCCATAATATATATATTACCATAGGAGTAGCGTGCAGAAATCAGAGATAAAATATACCGGTACTGGAACAAGTAAATATTAGTTATTTTTAACAAGCAGTTCCCGAGTGTAGAGTATTAGCCTTGCTCAAAACATAAAAAGTCTGGAAACCTTTTGTCTTTCTAAGAACTCTCTTTCATCTCTGTTTTTTTTATTCTCTGCTTCAATTTTCAAATAAACCCCATTAATGCCTTTCTCCAATTCTTCCTTATCTTCTGCAGTTTCTCTAAAAATTGTGAAATGTTTTCATGAAAAACAAAATACTGCACAAATCTTCATCTGAAACATTTGTCTGTGTGCAAAGAAAATTAATGTACTGTCAAAATTCGTGAGAGTGCGAGGAACAGAAATTTGAGTTAGATTGATTGATGTAAATTTTTTCATGCTGCTCTAGTAGAAAATTAGATGTACTTCTCAAGCTAATAAAGGATAAAAAACCATATCATAAAATTTTTTTGCTTTGCCTTGCTATCATCAATATGGCAAATCTTTTAAACTCATGCTTAACAGTGAACGATAAGCATGCTACATAATTAATATTTAGCCCTTCGAATTTACGCTTGATAAAAATTACATACTTTGCGTTCATCAATTCCGAGAACTTCTTTAGAAGATCTACTAACATCTTGTTATGCCTGATTTCAAGGACTTCATCCCCAGGAGAGTAGTGTTCAGCCCACTGCATAAAATAGAGTAAAAAGATATGTTATGTTAATGTTAAAATGGAACAACAGCAAAAAGTACAGAAATGTTAATTCGCTTTACCACAGAAAATATAATTATGTTGTCAAGTATAATCTCAGAATATGCGAAAGACTTGAAATACTCTCTAAAGTTTCACTTTCAAATTAATGAAACTAGAAGTTTCTAACAGCTAAATACGAACATGGAACTTTTTTGTGAATATTTTTTTCAACTTGCAACATATGAATTGGCGCGGCGGTGTGGCTCATCGTGCTGAGCGTTAGGAATACGCTTGCCACCGCACCTCAAACTACTCTGCGTTGGTTCGCAGGTTCGAATCCCAGCGGGGTGGTTATGCGCGAGAGGATTGCTGGACTCCTCGCCGCCGTTGGGTGGTTCACGTAACCACTGGTCGGTTACGGCTTCCTCCACCATCAAGTCCGTGCTTCGGAAAAACAAATACCTAACTAATCCCATACCCGACAGGGAGTGGTAATCGGACGAGTGGCCGTGGTTCGCCATATGGTAAAGCCGTCAAATCGGCTTTTCTCTCCCCCCGGGATAAATATGTAAATCTTATCTAATATTTTCCACACTGACATAAAAGCTCAAGATTGTAATATTTTCCAATAAATTGTTCCGAACAAAAAGTTGAATTGTTTTTTAAGCCCTGAAATCCATTTTTTTTCTTCCTAACTAGCATTCCCAAGCTCTATGTCCGACTTACTTCCTTCATAGAAGCTTCATATTCATCTGTCAAAGTCTTGATGTGCTTTTGTTTCTGAAAAAAAAAAGTGATTTCAAAGATACATGCCTTCTCTTGTCTATAACCGCCTTCCTGGTAGAGAAAAGTGTACAAGCCGGCCTATTCATATGGTAAACACAGGCCTCTAATCCAGTTACCAATCCATGTCCACTTGATGATAGAGACGGCCGTAATCGACAAGAGCCTGCGAATCTATGTAGGGCGGAGTGAACGTATTCCTAATGCTTGAATCAGGTGGCACTGTACTTACATGAGAATTTTTGTAACAGATTTCCCTGATAGAGAATATGAATACAAATATTTAGGCCATGGGTGCGCAACCTGCGAAGCCCATACCTGAGTCCAATTTATTATCTAAGCCTATGACTTAACAATGCTTTAACAGTTAGACTGTGAAAAGCGAACAACGCATGTCACAAGACCAATAACCAAAAACACATACTATAGGAGTACCAATGCCTGCAACTACTAGAAAGCCTATGTTGAATGAAGGCGGCTTCGCCTAGTTATTTTCATCTGGGCCTCCTGTACCCGTGGTTTGGGCCATACGACCTTGATCTGCTCAATGCAGGTAAAATTAAATCCTATTACTATGTAAGATTGTTTGCCTCAATGGCTAATGAAATAATAATTTGATTAAGATGACTTGATCTAGGAAAAATCTGATTTCTTGTATGACAAGAACATAGTCCAAAAAATTATATCTACGGTAGATTACAATAATACAAAATGGTACAAATATTGTAATTATGTTGAGAACACAAGCTGAATAAAAAAATATCCATCCCTTATCAGAACAAACTACTGTAAAATGATCATACCTCCTCATCATGATTTTTACTATTCATTTGTCTATACTGAGAGAATTTTTCTTCTATTTCTTTCATCAAATTTTCTCTGAAGTTTCTTTGCGAGCAAGTTCTGTGCATAAATAGTTGCATAGTTTAAAAATATGATGCACATAATAGGTTTTATAATTTGGTGATGGTTCAAGATTTGTATTGAGCGAAACATTAAGAATATTACACAGTAGGATAGGATTTACATCTAACAATTATGCGAACCACGCTACAGCAGCAAAGAATCCAGCAATCTTCTTGCACACAACTATCCCCGCATGGGATTCGAGGTGCAGTGGCGAGCATATTCCTAACGCCTAGCATGATTTGTCTCGCAGCCGGGGTACCGGTATATAAGATTCCGCTTTCTTTATTATCTTATGTTTTCAAATTTCCATATGGAATAATTTGTATAGATGCTAAAGATGTAGCTTTGGATCAAAGGGCAGTGAAAGACTCATTTGTTATGTTTGTGAGTACAACATATCTGTATTGAATCTGCTGATTCACCAAGAATTAAAAATACACTTACACATTTGCAGTTAAATTCCTAAACTCACGAAGTGCTTTGGAATCACAGGTTTCATGCTTCCAGAGCAGTCCTAATTCTGAATAAGTTTTCCCATTTTCCAGTAGCTAAAAATATATAATTTCAGCTGAATGGATGCGAAGTGATTATCCAAAATAAAGAAATGTAATTATCCAAAAGAAGGCGGGCAAGATCAAATCTGACAAACACATTTAATTAGCTTCAATGCCCTTCAAAGAATTGTCTATGCCCCCCTCGTGGGACATGTCTCCCATTTGAAAACCACTGTTCTAATTTATTTGTTTTACTTTTTTTTCAGTTGGTTGAAAGCAAGCTCCCAAACCAGGAATCGTTTGTTTTTCGCGGTGAACAAGTGATGTTAACATAGTTAATAACTATTAACCCACTACAAATTTCTTAGAGCAATTCAAACCTAAAGTACCTGATCCATGTCTTGAGTATAAACACCAAGAGCAGTCTTCGCATGGCGGGCACATTCCTTTGACTCCTGTGCAGGAAATGTAGGGAAGGATAAGATTTAAATATTTATCCCAATGGAGAAAAAAGTCAATTAGACGGCATAATTACACATGGCGAACCACGATGCTCTACACCGATGAGTCGTGTATTCATATTTATGCCTATTTTACAAATTGTTCAAGGTAGAGTGTAGTTTTTATTAACCTTAATCTGATTCACTTGTCAGTCATAAGGTTGGCATAAAGTTAATTGTTCCAGATTTACTTAGGTGGGTGAACACGTACCACTTCTTCTTGGCATAGCTTTCTATCTTATATGTATATTGTACATTTTAAACCTTGTCTAAAGTTTTGTTTGTTCTCCTGATTTCATGATCAGTTTTCATTCATTATATTTCACCGGAACAAACCTTACCAATATGATTCAATACGATCCAATGTGGATCATACTTTATGAATTTAAAGCAATCAACTGATTAAATACCTATTCTTAAGAACAACCTGAGCGAATGAACGACAGTGGGTTGATGCAACCACTTGATAAATACAATATTCTTTGCAATCAAAGTCTATGCTTGGTTAACCATTCCCATATGAACTGTTATTCAAATAGCATATTGTTTGTCAGGATAAATATGAAAAAAATGAAAATATTGCTGTGTAATCAATTCTATGCACAAATCTAACCTGAACTGGTATCCAAGCAAAAGCATATGATTGGTTTTCCTTTTCTCCCAGGATAAATATGAAAAATTCTATTCTATTTTATTTGTATCACAGAAATACCTTCTCCATTTTTTGTATCATTCGTTCTCTATCGTTTTTCTTTTTATAAACTTGATATTTTAGGTTCATTGCCAAATCCAACTTCATCTTGAATTCGTTTTCAACTGATACTGAAGGAGAAAATGACCTGCAATAGGAAAATAGGTTCAAACCAGTGACTGAATTATATTATTATGTGAGTGAACAAAAGTGACATATGATAAAGTCTGCCGAGTTGTACCATTGCATATTGCTGCAATAAGGTGCATCATACTGCAAACAAGTAATTAAAGTTTATGGAGTGCAGCCAGGATTCATGATTTACTTAACAAGTTGTGGAGATTGCACTGAAAAAAAATAGTGCAAAAATTGTACGAGTACGAAACGATGTTAAAAAAAATTCTAGTGGTACGTGTGCCTTTTTTAAACTTTGTCAAATCAAAGGCACGCACGGCATCCAAGCTTACAATTTTTTTTATTTTAATTAGTTTTACGCCCCTCCCCCTCCATCGAAAATTGTCTACGCTTTGCTTGTGGGGCTTGCCCAATCCTTGAGAACCACTGATCTTCGCTAATCATCAACAATTACCAGGTAATAACATTGCCCATAAATGTCAGATATTGACTGAGATTCACTTACATGCTCTTAAGCAAGTCATCGAAGCTATACATTGCATTTTTTTTGAATTCTGAGTGTTTCATAGCTAAAAACTCTTCCTCATGTGACTGATTCTGTCCCATCAGCTGAACAAAAATTTATTTCCATGAAAATCAAGGCTATGAAGATAACTTTGAACGAGTGTTGGATACACTTGTTCCAATGCAAGGTCCCTTTCTTTTTAGCCACGTGGCCAAGCTTCAAAAGTATTGGTTCTAACCATCTCGAGATAGCAAGATTCTGGTCCCATATGCAAACTCTAACTCACCATCCACCGAGTAGCACATCATTTGATAGGATTTGTATGTTATTCAGCCTTCTGGCATTACGAACTCATGCCCTTGGCTACCTAGGATAGGATAGGATTTACATCTTTATCCCGGGTGATAGATAGGAAAGCTAATAAGACGACTTAATCATATGGCCCGCCATGCCTCTCGTCTGGCTATCAGTTGATGCCGGGTATAGGATTAGTTAACCTGTCATGTGTTTTTAGATGCATGGACTTGATGGTGAAAGAAGCCATGAGTGACCAGAGAGTATGTAAACTACTATACAGTGGCGAGGAGTCCAGCAATCCTCTCGTACAGAATTATCCCCAATGGGATTTGAATCCACGTAGGTTAACTAGAGGCAAGCATGAAACAAACAAAAGCCAAATAATAATGAAAATCTAATCTTACCTAAGAAGAAATTCTAAACTTACATTTTTCATCTTTTCATCATATTCACGTGCAGCAGTTTGAGAATGTTCAGCACATTTGGACTTCAGCATTTCCTGATAATGTGTAAATTAGGAAGAGAGAAATTTATTACAAAGAGATTTATTTTCACAAAACAATGTCAACACTATATTACATTTGAACAACACAAAAAAATAATTCAACAATACTTGGTTGATGATTATTTGTAAGGATCAGTATGAAAGACCAGTTAGGTCATCAGGGCTCCTGGCCCGTGCAGTATATAAGAAATCAATTAGATATAGCATCAGCGATGAAATAGGAATAAAAATATATGTAGAAATAAAATATATGTGTGTGAGTCAGCAATTTAATATTTTAAGGGTAATAATGCAAGTAGTGTTATTAATAATAATAGGTCATGTGGAGTTTTGAACCCGGACAGGTTCATAAAATCAGAACAATTATCAAGAGCTTAGATTAGTTTTCACAATAGTTCATAATAGATAGTTTTTGTAATTAAATATTCATTGGACGGGCCATGCTCTATTTCATTGAGAGAATATATACATATCAGTGGCTGAGTCTGGACTTGTTTGGAGTTAAAGTGTGAAAATTGTTATTAAAAAGCAAGCCAAGTGATGCTCTAAACTGAGTTTGTTAACTGGTAGTCTTACAACTTGAACCTATTTCCATAATAATATTTTTTCTTTCACAAAGTGAAAAAGAAGATCAGGAACTAAAATTAGTAAGAATTGTACATCGGTTTACCATGTTGCGTTTGTTGTTTTTGTCAGCTTTTTCAAAATGTTCTGCTAACTTATCTTCAAGGATGTTTCGACATTTTTTGACCTGGCGAATATAGAAAGTCATAATCATAGTTACCACAACACACAGTTTTCATATCTAAATTTTTTATGTTTGTTTACATTTTTATCTCTTTCTATTTTAAGTGCAGTTTAAAAGTGGTGACACAGTTTAAGTGGTGATCACAGTTTAAATAAAGATTGGAATCTGTGTTGCCAGATAATGTCACAAAAAAATTGAGACATAAAGCGCTCAACCAACAGGAAAGTGTATCCATATAAAAGTTGCAAGGGACCACTAGGGCTCTAAACCAGGAGGTGCAACCTGCAGCCAGAGGCCCACGAAACAATTTTTTAATTTAATTTGGTATGTGAGAGTAATAAAAGGTTGCACACTGCTGTTCTAAATGCTATGCAATTGAGAGCTGTTGGTGTAACACTTATAGTTAATACTACCCGAAAATGAGTTTCATGAAAGAGAAAATTATTAAATCATCTATATAGGAAATTTTTAATCAACAAATATGTTTTAAAAGAAAAATATTTTTATTCTATTATAATGTTGTCCAGCAAAACGCAATATGTTTATTTCAACATACCTCATCCCTGTCAGTAAAGCCCCCACAATGTCTGTCATACCGTTGCAAAATACTTCGCTTTTCTTTTTTGCAGACTTCTTCCATTTTGGATATAAATTCACCAGAGATCTGAAAAATTGAAATTGAAAATTGTTTTTCAAGTAAGAATATTCTCAACTCAAAAGAGAAATCCTATAAATAAGAATCTTTTTTGAATACTGGAAATGTAAACATAACATATTTCAGTTTTTCAGGTCAAGATTTATAATTACGAGAATTACAGATAATCTCGGATATATATATATTACTCTGCGTGGGTTCGCAGGTTCGAACCCCATGCAGGGATGGTTATGTGCGAGAGGATTGCTGGACTCCTCGCCGTCGTTGGGTGGTTCACGAAACCGCTGGTCGGTTACGGCTTCCTCCACCACCAAGTCCATGCTTCCGAAAAACAAACAATACAGTAAAAACTAATCCCATACCCGACTTGGAATGGTAACCGGACGAGAGGCCGTGGTTCGCCATATGGATAAGCCGTCTTATCGGCTTCCCTCTCCCCCGGGATAAATATGTAAATCCTATCCTATCCTATATATCTAAATTTAGTTCTCACCAGTTGCATCTTTTGCTGAACAGCTTTCAAGCAATCCCTAGCAGCTTTTTGCATTTCTAATTGTTCTTTTTCCTTTATTGAAATAAAAACACAAAAATATAATGACTGCGTAAAACAACATTGTGGTTTATCTAAGCAAAAGTTAGATCACTTTTATAAAGAACATTTTCAAACCTAGGGGTTACGCCCCCTCGTAACTCCCCCCCTCCCCCTTGGTGACTGCATTCCGCCTCCACCATTGTTTCTCCACATGGTGTGATTGGTTGGTTACAAAAAGATAAGGTTTGACAGTCAATCAAATTGTCTGATCAGTATTTTTTTGAGGTTCCTTAAATAGTGAGGTTCCTAAATGAGGTTCCTTAGTCTATTTTTATGTGATAAAAATAAATTGCATCATACATACCTTGATCAATTTTTGTTTGGCCTGAAATGTCATACGCTGTTGATGCGCTTGTTTGAAAAATGTTTCCATTCTTGTTTTCAACTGCTCCTTTATAGGATCTCCATCTTCCCATAAAATGGCTCTCAGATCGTCAGCACTGACTTCATATCCACCAAGTGCCTCTTTGTTATACTCTGCATATTTCACTTCAAGTTTTTCGAACGAGATGTCCTTCAAAATGGTTTACTTTTGATTACTTTTTCATACTTAATATTTGCCTCCGAGATAGTGTTCGGGACTCACAAAACTACATCTACATAATCGAAGGTATATCGAAGTTGACGACTTAGCTTTGAGAAAGCATGTATGAGAAGTTTTGTATTTATATGAATATTAAGTTTCTTGGACTAATAAAATAAAATTTCCAATATTGGATAGGATAGGATTTTTATATTTATACCGGAGGAAAACCGATAAGACGGCTTAACCATATAGCAAACCACAAATTCTCGTCTATGTCGGGTATGGAATTAGTCAGCCAGTCATTAGATTTTGGAAGTATGGACTTGATGGTGGCAGAAGCCGCAACCGACCAGCGGTTGTATGAATCACCACCCTACAGCCGTTAAGAGTCCAGCAATCCTCTCGCACATAACTATTCTTGCATATGATTCGAATCTGCGATCCCACGCAGGATAATCAGAGGTACAGGGGCTAGCGTATTCCTGAAGTTTGACATGATAAATCACACCGCCGAGTATTTTCTACATTTACAAGCGAGCAATCTAGTGTCACAATTTCTTAAACTTTAAATTAAGATATGATTATACCACTCAGATTCAGGTTGAGAACTCACAGAACACAAGCAAGTCTTCACATTATCCAAAGCCAAATTAGCCAAAATATACTAATGAAACAAATAACTGGATAAAAAATCTCATACCCAACATAAACTAGTAAACCGATGATAGGCTGTGGTACACCATAGGGTTAAGCTGTACTATTGACTTTCTTCTTGCCAAGGTTGAATATAAAAAATGTATACAAATATCATAAGGAATGATTATGTGCAAAAAAATTACTGGAATCAATTTTGTTATGGCGGGTTCTGATTAAATGAAGCTCTAGTTGGCAACAGGTTTAATAATTAGCTATATTTGACCCTACCTCCATAGTTTTCCACTTTCACAGAATAAATGGGAAAAATCATATCATTCATTTACATTCAAACTATGCATTTATTCATGATGACATAAAAAAAAAAAAAAATTAAATCGAAATGTAGGATTTCAAACCTTTGTTCATTGTGTGTTCAGTTGATATTTATACCACAATAATTGGCAATATTCAAACCAGTAGTTCTCAAACGGTAGCGTAGACCACCGTTTCACAAGGAAGCGTAGACCATTTTTTGAGGGGACGTGATAATTGTTAGATTTGGTCTTGCCCGCCTTATTTTGGATATTTACATTTTTGTACACTGGGTATTTATGTTCCATCCATGTATTTTCAATGTGTTCTTTGAATAAAACATACTTTTGCCTTACTATCTGATATTTGTAGCTTATTGTTAGTTAGTTATTTTTGAGGTGGGGAGCGAGACTTGACAAATTCTAAAAAGGGAGGCGTGGCCTAAAAAGTTTGAGAATCACTGATTTAAACCATTATTCAAAAAAACATACCATAGCCAACTTGTTCATTTTATCTTCATATTTCTTTTCAATCTCATCTGCTTTAGTTCGAAGTTTTTCAATTTTTTCTGCCTAAAGTAAGAGAATAAAAGAAGGTTTTCATGCCAATCCTACAGCTAGCTCTTTTTATATTATTATTATCATGATTGACATTACTGGGAAAGGAAAGCCGATAAGATAACTCATTCACAAAACGAACCACGGCCTCTCGTCTGGTTACTAGTCCATGTCGGGTATGAATAGTTATTAGTTGTTTTCGAAAGCATGGACTTGATGGTAGAGGAAGCCGTAACTGACCAGCGGTTACATGAACTATCCTATGACCGCAGGAATCCAGCAATCCTCAGGTACATTAATATCCCGCATGGAATTCGAACCTGTGAACCCACGTAGGGTAACCGGAGGTACGGGGACAAGCATATTTCTAACGCTTAACGCAATGCGCCACAACGCCGAGCCAGAAAAGCGCATAAAACATGTTATAAACATATTATCAAAACAAATCCAGTTCATTGCTTGAGCTATATATTACATAATGAAATATATTTCGTTTGGGAAATTTAAATGACAAAAATAGGATAAGGGAAAAAAATATTTTTTGTTCCAACAAGCAACAATTACTAGATGCTAGCAGAACAAGTCGTAGGCCTTCTTCACACTCAGTTATAAATATGAGTTCTCATAAGATAAGATCAGTGGAAGATCATGTTAAAACCTCACGCTCTTGCCATTCCAATCAATGACCGTTCGTCTAAGGTTCAAAATGATATACGTTGCCAAAAAGAGTGTGTTCAGGTGGGCCAGACCCAAGTAGCGCACCTTTAGCGCGAGCGCACATATATTGAAAAGTCTTTCTAGTAGTTACATACACAAAAATTTTGATTATTGATCTTATGACATGCGCCGTTCATCCAGTCTAGCTGTTAGCGCTGTAATATCATAGGCATAGATAATGGGATTGGACACAAGAGATTGGAATTACCTCCATGTACCAGGTTAAACTGAATGAAAAACTCAGTTCACGGGCCACACCTCATTCAAAATAAGCACTTCTTCAAGGGACGCACAATCTTTCGTTGTGTGACAAATTTGGCCCATGGGCCGGAGGTTGCACACCTCTGTTTTGGAATTGAAAATATCTTTCTTAAACTAATTTCATCTTCTTTATTCTTGTAAAGCATTTCGCATTCTTTCTTCACATGATTCCAAACAGCCTTATTTTGAATTTCAGATCCTAAAATTGCCACACTATGAAATACTTCTTCTGCTACTTTGAGTACTTTTTCATGATGTCCATGGAGTTCGTCGTCGGAAGGAAATGAAGATTTAATCTTAAAAATGTAAATTAAATATTACAAAAATTGAATACAGACCATATCCTAAGATTGAGGAATGAATAATGATAATTAGACAATAAAATATTGATAATAAAATCTTGAAATAATTGAATAATGTTAATAAAAATCAGTTCATGTTAATAAATAAACTAATAGATAATCAATTCATTTCACAGGGGAAACAAAACAAAAAAAATGAACTCTTTGTATTAGCTAACTAAAGAAACTCAATTAATATTCTATATCCATTTTTTTATCATATTTGGTACAATTCAAAAAAGGGCGCTCCAGAAGTGTATGTACCAATATGAAGGTAACTAATTTTGTTCACCAACTTAGTAGAAAGGGATGGAAGCCTATGGACTGGGGGCATATTCACTTGGCTAACACAGACAGTGCCCTAACTTGTAATATAAATAAAATAAAGAAAAGCGGTATAAAGTTATGCTCTAACCCTAACCTGGTACACACACTATTAGACCCAAAAAAGTTACCTGTTTCAAATGACAACGATATTTTGACACAGCCTCTTGCAAAGCAGTTGCATTGTTTGCCTTTGTGGCGCTCTAGATGAAATTTGCCACATTATTATTATTCGAAAACTGCTAAAAACTAAATTCTATCAAACTTTTATAACATTAGTTTAAACAAAATTATCATAGTAGCTTTTCAGCACCTGAATATATTTCAATACAAAAGGGTGAAAATGTGGGGATATATCATATCTTTTCATAACCTTTCCAGAAGATTCCACAGAAAATGAGATGTTGATTTAAATTTGGGATTTGATTATTTTTCTAATTAATTTAAAATTTTTGCTAAGAACAAAACTTCAGGTGATTAGTGATCAAGAAGAAATTCTTCGTTAATTTAAAGTTGGGTGTCAATGTTAGAATGATGTCAAAGCTCTGTTTGTGCAGTCAAAGTCAGAAGGCATTTCCTTTACATTAAAAGTTGATTATGATAGCAAAAATAATTCATGACTTCACGACTTAACACAAAAACTTTGTAGCGCATGGGGGAATGGTTTTTCATTCCTGGCATTGAGCAATATCAAAACTTCAAGATATTTTATTAAAATAATTTTGAAAATTGCCTACCTCTAGTAATGTCTCAATTTTAGGTTGCTTTCCGGACTCAATATTATTGCCAACTTCACTTATGAGGTTTATCAGGTCGTTTGTTGAGATAGGCTGCCCAAACATTTTCTTAACAACTAGATTTTCAGGGTTTAAAACTGAATCAACCAACATGATGATTTGTTCTCCAAACTCCCCTGTAATGTCTGAAACAATATCGATAAATTAAATAATAGGGCCAAGTAGTATTAACAAATGATACAATTATCATACAACAATCGGTAATATGAGCGTAAAGTGGGATAAATTTTAATGAATGATTCCAGTCATAGTCATACCTAGGTATCTCATAGGAATGCTTATTTGGTGTTGGAAGATGCACATTTATATTACATACAGCAGTTTTTTAAGGAGTCATATGTTTATTCTGAACAAGGCTCTTAAAGCATCCACTGACATATAACAATTCCTCACCATGCACAACTAGTATTTACCTGCATTTCGAATATCTTGAGATCTTTCGCCTCCATAAATTTCTTCACTTGGTCTAGACATCAAGAATTCATTTACATGCTCGAATCCGCTATGGATAGATATTTTTACTTGCGAAACCCTTTCTGATTGATTTGAATCTTTTGTTTTTAAAACTTTGTCGACATATTTATCTCCACCTTCATACCCATATCCATGTACAAAAGAAAATGACCAATCTCGAGCCACAATGGTAAGTTTCTGTTGAATCAACACATTTTATCCAGCAGGATGGATACCAAAAGTCGTCAAATTCGCCAAAATTTTTAAATTAAGTAAACATAATCCTTCAAAAAAACAGATAAAGATGGACACTGATCATTGTCAATATTTATACTGATCAATAATCGTTGGAATCAATATATACAAATGAGAAGTTAACATAGGATGGTCGCCTTGCGAACCACACCTCTCGTTTGGTTACCAAAAATAATATGTTATATTTTGGAAAGAGCTTTTCCTGTTCAACAATCAATAAAAGCAAACCTGAAATGACTTCTCTTTCATTGGGAAACTACGAGAAGCAGCCAGTGCATATTCTAATGAAAGCTGAAAAGGGTAATATATTGGAAAACATCCATGTAGTACTAATTATAAACAGAAACTGTTTAAGGTCTGTTGTATCTAGCAACTTTTTGTGTATTTTTTCTTGATAAATCTCATAGCCAATGTGAACGGGTAATTATGATCAACAAATTCTGTATTTACAATTTTTTTTTAGCTGTATATGGATTAATACAGTGCTTTCTAACCAGTGCCAGGGTACAGGAGTTAACCAGGGGTCCACAGATAAATTTTAGAAGGGTTCATGAGCCTTGCATGCATGGGCTTGAAACAAATGAAACTACTACACACCATTGTGATTTACTTTAAAAAAGACGAAGAAAATATATCTTTAAAACTAAAATATATTTTTTAAAGTAAACATTTTACCTGCAAATGTTCTAAGTCTGTTTTACCCACATATTTCTGAATATTGAGAATCTGATGAGAGGATAGAAGAGCGCTGATTGACATGATATTAACATCTGTGTCAAGTGAACTACTAAATAATCCTTGGGTATCCACAATCATTACTTCGACCTGAAAAATCAAAAATTTGGATAATTGGGTTTTAAGCATTGCGCACAACTTCAAGAAATGTAATTGTGGACATATTATTTGTTAATATAACAGTGCCACTATTGATTGAAATTATGGCCAAATTATACATATTACATGTAAAATGGGTTTTGACTTTATGGCGTGTCAAGAAGTTTTGATTGGCAGTTTTGCAAGTTTCCCAAACAAATAATATCAATAAACAATATTTGTGAAATAAGTCTTCCTTGGACAAATAGTTTTTGGGTACTCCGGTAGTATGTGTACTAGTTTAGGTTAGGCTATAATAATTTTATTCCGATTTTCCTTATTTTAGTTCTATTAGGAGTTCGGGGACAGTCTATGTTAGCCAAGTGAATATCCCCCTGCCCATAGATTTCAGTCCCTTCACACAACTTGATGTAAAATAGACGAAGAAAATTAATTACCTCGTTATTGATTGACATACTTTTGGAGCGCTGTTTCATGGTTTTAATGTTTCACATCAGATGCGACAGCAATCTTGAACATTTGTGAACAAGAAGGCTAATATTTACAATGTACCTTTCTCCCGTCTTTTTCCACATAAAATACCTCAGGCCAAACACAAATTCCCAAAGTACGAGGTATCGATCCATCTCTCCATTCAAAACCATCTTGTATTTTCATGTTTTCAGATCCAAATCAGTCATTGTTTTCCCACTATAAATATAAATAAGTATTTATTGCTTGGCGGTGTGGTGCATCGTGATGAGCAAAAGAAATATGCTCGTCACTGCATTTCTGGCTTCCCTGCGTGGGTTCGCATGTTTGAATACCATGCAGGGTTGATTATGTGCGAGAGGATTGCTGGTCTCTTCGCTGTGGTAGGGTTGTTCACGTAACCGCTCTCTCCATCATCATTGTTCCATGCACTTGAAACAAATAACTGCTGACCAATCCCATACCCGACGTGGACAATAAACAAATTAATATTGACTGAACGAACTCACCCCTCTATTGCGCAGATAACGTATGATAAAGTTCAGCATGAATGATTTTCCTGTTCGAAATGCTCCAGCCATGGAAACAATTGCCAAATCTTGACATTTGAGGTTGTGGAGTACAGCAGTCAAATTGCCAATATTCAATTTAAATTTTCCCTCCTTAGTGATTTCAGAAATTGCCTTGGCTTCCATGACTTATATTAATTAAAAGCAAGTTGTTTACACTTTGCTGTAAATTTCAATAAGTAGATAACAGTGAGAGCAGGGATGGTCAAAACTGAATATTCCACTACTCCGAATACATTACGAAAAAATATTTTTGAATATAAAATATCGAATACATTCTAAATTGAAGTAACTTCATGTGGAGAATTACATAAATCACTATTTCTTCATGTTCATCTTATCTAAAACAACCTGAATTTAGGCCATAATTTTTTTTCCAATTTCCCCTATAGGAAGTATAGGAAGTCATGCTTATCTAAGTGTGAATTGTCAAAGTACTAGAAATCACAATACAGATTTATCCACTGCATATACCTGGAAAGAGCTTGTTCCATAGATGTGTCCATTTTATGCATGGCATGGACCCACCATATTAAAATTCACTGCCAATTTCAAAATCTTAATAAAAGCCTGGTCTACAGCATGGACCAAAGATGTGAGGTTATTTCATCATTTGCTGGAATGATGTAGAGCAGTAGTTCCCGAACAGTGGTGAGCACACCACAGGAGGGGCGTAGACAATTTTTTAAGCAGTCATTAAGCTAATTAAATGTAAAAAATGATAAATTTGATCTTGCTCGCCTTATTTTAAATATTTACATTTCCTAATTGTTTAGAGATTGTGATTCCATCTATGTATTTTCAACGTGTTTTTTTTTAATAAAACATACTTTCGCCTTACTATCTGTTATTTTTAGCTTATTGTTAGTGACGGTAGTTATTTTTGAGTGGGGCGGGCGTAAGACTTGACAAATTCTAAAAAGGGGGCGAAGCCTAAAAAGTGCTGGTGCAGAGTGAACTTTTGAAATACTAAGTGTCATATATGGCATAAAATTCTAGCAGACGTATTACGATCAAAAACTATTATTGTCTGTGAAAAGTACCTGAAACGTTGAGCACACAGGAATAAAAGTCACTTCAAGCACAATACATAAGTCACACTCCTGAGTCAATTTCATGCAGCTTGCGATATTTTGTCAAAAATAAATCAAATGGCTGTCTATTAATAACATTCTGCTTATCTGGCCTTCTAACATTTACACTTAGTATTGCGCACTCTTCATTGTACATAGTAGCATCTCAAGGGGTGTGCAACCTTTTATTACAGGAGGGCCAGATACAAGTAACTGGGTAAAGCCGCAAGCTGCACCTTTATTGTTAAAGATAGTCTTTCTAGTAATTGCAGACACAAAAAATTGTTTTTTTTTTTAGTATTGACTTTCCGGCATTGTTACGAGTTCTTGAAGAAATGATGAGTTGAAATGATAAATTTTTTAAGAAAACCGCTATTTAAATTTATTGTCACACCAACTTTGAAACAAATTCAGTGAGAAACCCCTTATTTATAACATTGTGAATTTTAAAAAGGATTTTGCTAACTAGTTTTACTAGCTTTGTGACGCAAAGAGATTGAAATTGCTCGCATGTCTCAGATTAACTAAACTGAAAACTTGTTTTAGGGGCACACTATTCAAAATTGGCAGTTCTTCGCGGGCCGCACAATTTTTCCTTGCGGGCCACAGTTTGCACACCCCTGTCTTAAGGTATCGAAAAGCATCTTTAATTTAAAACGTTTTCTGTCATAAACGGACTTGAGTAAAAAAAAATTTTCTGGAGGGATCTGGATTTAATCCGCATGTGAATTTAGGAATCCTTTTTTTTAAACATGTTGATCAATCTATTAAATAAATTTGATAAGCCCGATTTAAAAAATCTACTGAGGATACACTCAACTTTAATCCAACTGACTAGAAATAAAATTTGTGCACACTTCCCAGTTCTTCATAATGCAGTGGAAATTCTGTTATAAGTGGAAAACTATCATAAATTTTAATGTGCTGATTGACATATATTACTTGTTGGTATTGATGTGTGATTTATCTGTAGATAGTTGATTTCAATACATTCCAATTAACGGAATAGGATTTACATATTTATTCAGGGAAGGGAAGTCGATAGGACGCTTTAATCATATGACTGAAGTATGTGTACCAAGATAGCGCACAACCTGAACATAGTATATGTACCAGGTTAGGGCCTTAGTTAGATGCCACAGTTCAGTAGGGTAATTTGTGGTACATTGGCTTTCCAAGAAATATTGTATAAATATATTTTTGTTTCTTGTGTTAACTTGGTAGTTTGAAAGTTATTAAAAGTTAAGTATCTCTGAGTTGAATTTGGAATTGAGTTAAATTTGGCAGAATTTGACAAAGTTTGTTTTCTTTTATGAACATTCAGAAATTGATGTATAAAGTTCAACTTACCACCCACCTAATATATCCAATAATTGCCAGAGATTTGGTATTAAACAGCTTTCATATAGGATAGGAACCACATATTTATCCTGCGAGAGAGGAAAGTAATAAGAAGGTCTAACCATATGGCAAGCCCCGGCCTTTTGTCCGGTTGTCAGTCCACGTTGGGTATGAGATTAGTCTGCGGTTATTTGTTTTGAGTGCATGGACCAATCATGGTTGAGGAAGCTGTAAGCGACCAGTGGTTTCCATCGTGCCCACCCTGCGGCAGCAAGGAAACCAACAATTCTCTCGCACATAAAGAACCCTGCATGAGATTCGAACCTGTGAATCCACGCAGGAAAATCAGAGATGCAGTGGCAAGCATATTCCTAAAGATCAGCATGATGCACCACATTGCGGAGCAATAAATACTAATTTATATTTAGAGTGGAACAACAAAAACTGGTTTGGACCTGATCATATTAAAATACAAGATGGTTTTGAATGAATAGATGGACAAGTCTCCATACTTTGGTAATTTATGTTTGGCCTGAGATATTTTATGTTGAAAGAGATGGGAAACAGATACATTGTAAATTTTAATTATTGGTAGGTCTTTGTATTTACCAAATTTCAAGTTATTGCTTACAAATCTGATGAACCAAATTCAAACGGAAGGATATTTCATCAAGGCAGACACAAGACAAACTGCCGCATGAGTCTGGCAACCCAATGAACAGAATTTTTCGTTTTTGAAATGAAAATCGCTGCAATTTGCATTAACATTCTGTGAGGATACATGATTGCTTAGCAGTTAAAGTGTTAGACTAGGGTGGGCAAGGTTTTGGACCAGGGGCCGAAATTTTTGCCCAGCTAGAGTTATTTTTGCCCTCTCTGAGTTATTTTCAGTTTCTGCCAAGCTAGCTTTGACTCTTCTAGGGAGTGTGACTTAAGTATTGTGCTTGAGGTGACTTTTATTCTGTTATTCCTGTGTGCTCAACGTTTCAGGTACTTTTCAGAGATAAAAGGATAATAAATTGAATAATATTCATGTGAACATAAAAAGAAAAAGTAGTCTTGTGTCTGCCTTGATGAAATATCCTTCCGTTTGAATTTGGTTCATCAGATTTGTAAGCAATAACTTGAAATTTGGTAAATACAAAGACCTACCAATAATTAAAATTTACAATGTATCTGTTTCCCATCTCTTTCAACATAAAATATCTCAGGCCAAACATAAATTCCCAAAGTATGGAGACTTGTCCATCTTTTCATTCAAAACCATCTTGTATTTTAATATGATCAGGTCCAAACCAGTTTTTGTTGTTCCACTCTAAATATAAATTAGTATTTATTGCTCCGCAATGTGGTGCTCCATGCTGATCTTTAGGAATATGCTTGCCACTGCATCTCTGATATTCCTGCGTGGATTCACAGGTTCGAATCTCATGCAGGGTTCTTTATGTGCGAGAGAATTGTTGGTTTCCTTGCTGCCGCAGGGTGGGCACGATGGAAACCACTGGTCGCTTACAGCTTCCTCAACCATGATTGGTCCATGCACTCAAAACAAATAACCGCAGACTAATCTCATACCCAATGTGGACTGACAACCGGACAAAAGGCCGGGGCTTGCCATATGGTTAGACCTTCTTATTACTTTCCTCTCTCGCAGGATAAATATGTGGTTCCTATCCTATATGAAAGCTGTTTAATACCAAATCTCTGGCAATTATCGGATATATTAGGTGGGTGGTAAGTTGAACTTTATACATCAATTTCTGAATGTTCATAAAAGAAAACAAACTTTGTCAAATTCTGCCAAATTTAACTCAATTCCAAATTCAACTCAGAGATACTTTTAATAACTTTCAAACTACCAAGTTAACACAAGAAACAAAAATATATTTATACAATATTTCTTGGAAAGCCAATGTACCACAAATTACCCTACTGAACTGTGGCATCTAACTAAGGCCCTAACCTGGTACATATACTATGTTCAGGTTGTGCGCTATCTTGGTACACATACTTCAGTCATATGATTAAAGCGTCCTATCGACTTCCCTTCCCTGAATAAATATGTAAATCCTATTCCGTTAATTGGAATGTATTGAAATCAACTATCTACAGATAAATCACACATCAATACCAACAAGTAATATATGTCAATCAGCACATTAAAATTTATGATAGTTTTCCACTTATAACAGAATTTCCACTGCATTATGAAGAACTGGGAAGTGTGCACAAATTTTATTTCTAGTCAGTTGGATTAAAGTTGAGTGTATCCTCAGTAGATTTTTTAAATCAGGCTTATCAAATTTATTTAAAAGATTGATCAACATGTTTAAAAAAAAGGATTCCTAAATTCACATGCGAATTAAATCCAGATCCCTCCAGAAAATTTTTTTTTACTCAAGTCCGTTTATGACAGAAAACGTTATAAATTAAAGATGTCCTTCGATACCTTAAGACAGGGGTGTGCAAACTGTGGCCCGCAAGGAAAAATTGTGCGGCCCGCGAAGAACTGCCAATTTTGAATAGTGTGCCCCTAAAACAAGTTTTCAGTTTAGTTAATCTGAGACATGCGAGCAATTTCAATCTCTTTGCGTCACAAAGCTAGTAAAACTAGTTAGCAAAATCCTTTTTAAAATTCACAATGTTATAAATAAGGGGTTTCTCACTGAATTTGTTTCAAAGTTGGTGTGACAATAAATTTAAATAGCGGTTTTCTTAAAAAATTTATCATTTCAACTCATCATTTCTGCAAGAACTCGTAACAATGCCGGAAAGTCAATACTAAAAAAAAACAATTTTTTGTGTCTGCAATTACTAGAAAGACTATCTTTAACAATAAAGGTGCAGCTTGCGGCTTTACCCAGTTACTTGTATCTGGCCCTCCTGTAATAAAAGGTTGCACACCCCTTGAGATGCTACTATGTACAATGAAGAGTGCGCAATACTAAGTGTAAATGTTAGAAGGCCAGATAAGCAGAATGTTATTAATAGACAGCCATTTGATTTATTTTTGACAAAATATCGCAAGCTGCATGAAATTGACTCAGATGCTGCACTTTTTTTCTACACTCACTTAAAAAACAATTGCTCAGTTAAGCATTATAAAAGTTTCAATAATTGAAGATTACAGCAAAGTGCTCCAGTAATTAATCGCAAATCTAAAATATGATACAAATCATGATAATTCCTCTTTCTTTGAACTACTTTTTAGCATTCATTTTTTTCTTGATGAAATCTTTAAACGTCATTACTCCAGCCACAATTCCTCCCACAACTCCACCCAGCACTACTCCAACCAAACCCAGTGGTATCCAGATGGGAGAAGTGATGGTTATCCATCCTATCGCTAAATACTTTGCAACTGTATCTTCATTTGCTATGACAGGCCTATATTCTTTATTCCTCTCATTCTGTAATTTGGCCTTTTCGGTTCTCTTTCTTATTTCTTTTTTGATTAATTCTTTAATTGCGTCATTCCCGTCCTGGGCGTCAACTTCTTCAATGTGATGTTTCTCAATCTCCTTAAAACCACTGGTATCCACATAAGCGTTCAGCATCAGCTTAAAAATGTATTTATTGTATCAGAATAGCCAAAATTCCAATTACACGCACAACAGTATGTTCCCCAGCTTTTTATTTTAGGGGGGTGTTTCCAAAGTCAGGGGGTGGTAGATATTAGTGATAAAACTGTTCTAATGAGCATCTTCACCGGCATGTGAGCCACTTTCTGAATTTCGAATACATTTTTATTACGCCAAGAACTTAAGTATGGTGTCACACCTGAAAATTAAGGGGGTGTTTGTGAAATTTTTTGGGGAGGTGTTCACTCCCTAACTGGGGGGTGATGTAGGGAAGTCACAGATGCACAAGGTGCAATAAAAGGGTAGACAATGCTCGGCGGCAGGTCTTTGAAAAAATGGCTATTTAGCCAGTTTGAAGCATTAATAGAAAAACACATATAAAATGATGCTCACCTCTCCTAAAACTTCTCGATACTTCAATACATACGCTTGTACTGCATCGTCCACTCTTTCCTGAAAAAATATAAAATTTGAGCATTTTTTACTTTTATCAAGTAATAGGCGCTTAATGATTTTTAGAGATTGTTTTGCCACCTGCCTTTTTACATTATACAGCAAGTACATGGGTTATATAAAATTTTTGAAAATTGAATTTGACATATTCCAGATTTTATTCATTCTAAAGACTTTCATTTCAAGACATTTACAATTTATATCACCAATTGCTTATGCTGTTGATGTTTTTTCACCAAAAGATTTGTTTCTCAGTCACAAGTGAAAAGTTCAGACATGTCCATTTATCTCAAATGAGTTACTGTTGGATGGTTTAAGTATCTATCCCAGGGGTGGGCAAACTATGAACTGCGAGCCAAATCCAGCATGTTGGGTAATTCAATCTGGCCCGCCTGATGCTGCCACAACCAAACAAAAACCAAATTTTGATGTTCTAGCTAAAAATATATATCAAGGAATTAGTTAAGATTGCGTTCAAATTCAGTTTTGGCTCATTGTTTTCCACATTGCTTTTGTAACTTTGTAAAAACATTGTTCAGAAAATGTGACTTTTACGTTGATAATAAATGAACCACAACCGGGTTGGCAAAACGATGTAATTTGCCGACGTTTCGAATTTCTATACAGAAAAACTTCATCAGGGCATGATATGGAAAGGACACAAGTGGATATATATAGAGCAAGAAAAAGAAAAAATCTATGAAAAAATTATCATGGCGTCAACTCTAATCTAAAAGGGTGATGATAAGATAATATGTATAAATAAACAAACTAGCGCAAGTTCAAACAAAAAGGTGACTATTTAAACAATGATTTATACACAGGCGGAAAAAGTGTGGTTTCCGATAGTGTTTTGGGGTTTAAAACTTACTCTGATTTTAACGTCTTTAACGTCTAAGTTTTAAACCCCAAAACACTATCGGCCAATTGCTCTCCAACGTCAAAGACCGCCCATGCCCTAAACAAAAAAACGGAGTTGTATATGCAATCCCATGCAGCGATTGTTCTTCAGTCTACATTGGAGAAACCAAAAGAAGCCTGGAAACTCGCAGCAAGGAACATCTACGAGATATTAAACAAAAATAAATTAATAAGTCGGCCCTTTCGAAACACGCCCTTTCTAATAACCATAGCATCGACTGGGAAAACAGCAGAGTACTAGAAAAAGAAACTCAATACAGGAGAAGACTATTTCTCGAATCTTATCACATAAATATAGAGAAGAATTCGATGAATGACAACACTTTTTCCGCCTGTGTATAAATCATTGTTTAAATAGTCCCCCTTTTTGTTTGAACTTGCGCTAGTTTGTTTATTTATACATATTATCTTATCATCACCCTTTTAGATTAGAGTTGACGCCATGATAATTTTTTCATAGATTTTTTCTTTTTCTTGCTCTATATATATCCACTTGTGTCCTTTCCATATCATGCCCTGATGAAGTTTTTCTGTATAGAAATTCGAAACGTTGGCAAATTACATCGTTTTGCCAACACCGGTTGTGCTTCATTTATTATCAACATGAGTTTACCTGGTGGCAATCATGCACTATGGGACTTTTACGTCACACTTATATGGCCCGTCAGTCTAGGTAGGCAAAATTTTTGATCCTTGGTCTAAAAACCTAGCCCACCCCTGATCTAAACAAATTACAAACGAAAACACAACCTAAGCATGTCAACATTGACAATGTCTGGGACCCCCGTGTACGAAATCCAATCGCCCTCCCTCTGAGCATTTGTATACCCCTCCTCAAAAATGTCATAACTTTTTGTTCAATCGTGCAAGAAACTTCACTGACATCTTGCTGGAAAGCTTATTTAGGTCGCTTTATATCCGACGTTGCTCGAGACACGTGCATGGCTCTCTTCATCCGGTTGCATTGAAAATGAGAGAAAAAATAATTTTTTTGAAAAATGTTTTGTAAATGATATTGCTGTGATGAACACAAGGGAGATTGATTCGACATCAAATTATCAAAACATCAACTACTTATCTCTTCACTGTTTTGTGGAAGTAATTCTACTCTCTGTAATACTTACCTTGTTTTCGTTGTTTTCTTGAATTCCTCTATTCAGTACACCCTGTATTGTTTTCTCTAAATCGATTCTTGCCTCCAATATTTTTTTATCTAAAGAATCTCCTAGATCTTTTGTTTCTTCATCAAATTCTTCCAAAACTTCCAGCATAACGTTGCTGAAGATATTTTCAAAGTCTTCATGATATATATTCTCACACTGGAATTGAAAAAATACAATTAAAAGTTTCCAGAAACACCAGGTACCAAACTCTCAATGAGGATTAGGCTTGATGGTTAGTGAACCATTCTAAGTGATTGGAACATCTATATTGTTAACCCGTTATCATACTCCCTAAACCAAGTCTATACAGGGAACTGGGAATATTTAAATGTTTTTGATGGTTAATGGTTACAATTTTAAACGTTAACTGACACCTCATGTTCAAATCATGAATACATAAATTCAAAAAACCTCTGTATTGTAATGACTCATTGAATGTGAAAAATAATTCCAAGTACCAAGATGACTATGAAAAACGACAAAAAAATTTTCGCTCAAAATATATTGTTCATGATTTATTGCAAAATTATATACCGTACTCAAACTCAGCGCAGTTGATGATGTTTTTCTTTATGATATCTCAAAGTAGAATTTGTACATTGAGCACCTAAAATTTGTCACCAAACTGACATTTAATAACGGAATCAGGTTGTACTGAAATACTTCCATATGTTCGAAGCACGCTGCATATCTCTTGCAGCTGAGTGGTATCGATTTGTGAATGAATTTGAACGATACCGGGATAAGATCACCTAAAATTGCTTTGTAACCACTTGAAAAAAACGGGCTAAAATTATAGTTTGTTATGTCAAACGTCACACCGCGGTTAACGGTTAAAGTGTTTTGCCCGAAATTTCCAGCCCTAACAGAAACGAATTAAATAGGCTATTAGGCCTACTATACCAGGACTGAACAGGTAACTAGAAAAGAAACTGTGATTACTCATATGATTAGGCATCTGTTGGCTTTTGATTTGTGGAGATAAAAATGTTGTATTCTTTTAAGATCACTAGATTTTATTGATCATGTTAGTATATCATACCGACTTTATACTCTGAATGAAGTCATTTCTTCTAATTTCAGAATTGACTTTCAGTATTTTCATATCTAATTCCTGTAAATAACAAAAACAAATGCATGAGGATACTCTTTCTGAAAAAGGCAATAACAATATTTGAACATAAAGTATATTTTTGTTTATAAGCATACATGGCACATATACCAAAGTATGACATGTTACAGCCCCCGTCATCATTTTGAAAACAATCCCCTAAGTCCTGGGTTTTCCAAACTTTCTGGGTCGCGAACCCCTATTTGTGAATCTTAGTTTGACGGACCCACATGTAGGTCCAACTCTATATGGCAAGTCTCGCCATGTATTATGTCATCATATTGGTAAAAGATAAAAATGATTCCTCACACATATGGATCGTTACAGAAGGAAATAAAATTTTATTGCCTTTTCTGACAGCAATGAATATTCGTCCACAACGCTCAACCAAAATGGCCTACTAAATTGAAATCAATCATTAAAGATCGATCAGACTCTTTTCTTATCGTTGCGAACTCTAGTTTGGGAAACTCTGCCCTAGTCTATCTCTAACTAGGGTGATTCAGATTTGGGAAAATGTTTTATAATCAAATGGTCAGCCTATTGGACCAACTATGACATCTAAAGTCTCAGGATCAAGAACTGAGTGCAAACGTGTCAATAAAGCTTCCTAACTGTATCTTAAGTCATGTTTTAAAAGCTGGTCTCGAGTAAATATTAGTTTTATCATTGACTACACCAGTTTTGTGTTGCATCAAAATAGTACAGAACCTTGCTCAAAAACTGAATAAAAAACATAAAAAAGTCTGGAAACCTTTTGTCTTTCTAAGAACTCTCTTTCATCTCTGGCTTTTTTATTCTCTGCTTCAATTTTCAAATAAACCCCATTAATGCCTTTCTTCAATTCTTCCTTATCTTCTGCAGTTTCTCTAAATATTGTAAATAGTAAATTTTTCATGAAAAATAAAATACTGCACCTTTTTTAATCTGGAACATTTGTCTGTATGCAAAGGAAATTAAAGATTTTAAATATTCATTATGGCGTGAGGAAAAAAAATTTCAGCTACAGTAGACTGTTTGAATTTTTCACAGTCATTCTATCACATTACAATTGATGTCACCGTAGCTGTTAGGTTGTTCTTTTTATAAATTTAATCGGGTGTTTCAAGGTGATTAGAAAGAAAATTATTTTCAAATTGAAATAAATATCATGATGAAAATGCGAAGCTATCTAGCCATTGTTATATATATTTCTGAAAAATACACCCACCACCATTGCGCCTCGCTTTCCAGACTTCAGAATTAAAAGTCAAAGCCAATGTCAAAATTGGTGTTAAATTGGTTTTCACTCTCAGTTCTGTTAAAGTTGTTATTTTAAAATAAACACTCGAGCTTTGTTTTGGTACTATTCAAATTTGCATTGTTTTTTGTGTGGCTCCTGACAACTTTAAGATTCAAAATTTGGCTCTGGAACCCAAAAAGGTTGAGAAACACTGGTCTAAATCGTGAAATGGGATTGTAAATCAGATTATTAATATAAATACAAAAACTTGAATTGTTTTGGAAGTATCTGATTAGCATTTAAAAGATGGCAAAGCTATTAAACCTACAAATAGCAGTGACCTATAAGAATGCCAATTAAATAATATTTAGCCCATTGAATATACGGCGCTCCCGAAGTATGTGAACCAAAATGGCGGACACCGGAACATAGTATGTGTACCAGGTTAGGGTTAGGCCATAATTTTATTCCAATTTTACTTATTTTAGTTCTATTACGAGTTCGGGGACTAACTAGCCAAGTGACTCCCGTAGTATTTGTACCTGAAATTATGGCCTAACCTGGTACTACGTTACGGTATCCGCCATCTTGTTTCACATACTTTGGGAGTACTGTCAATAAAAATTACATACTTTGAGTTCATTAATCTTGAGAACTTCTCTAGTACATCTACTGACATCATGCTATATTTCATTTTCATGACATCATCCTCAGGACAGAAGCGTTCAGTCCACTGCATAAAATAGAGTTGATAAAAAGATACAATTGTTAACATAGCACAATAGCAAAAAGTGCGGAAAATGTTATTTTGCTCCAAGCTTTCTGCAATACAGAACAACAAAAAATTGAATTATGCTGTCAAATGTAATTTATCATAATTTGTGAAAATACAACCAACTAAAATGTCCAAAGTTTCACTTGTGAGGGATACAAACTTTAAAACTAATGAAACTGAAAAATTTCTGACATTTCTGAAAATATTGTCCACTCCGGTATGAAAGCTCAAGTCTATACAATAATTTTTTCAAAAAAATTGTTTGCTCCAAAACAAAAGATAAATAAAGATTTTTTTAGGATCTAAAAATACAATTTTTTCACTTTGAGCTAGCATTCTCCAAGCTCTATTTCCTACTTACTTTCTTCATAGAAGCTTCATATTCATCTGTCAATGCATTGATGTGCTTTTGTTTCTGAAAAAATACGGTTATTTACGATTGGGATTTACATATTTATCCTGGGGGAGAGAAAAGTCGATAAGACGGCTTAATCATATGGCAAACCACAGCCTCTCGTCCAGTTACCATTCCATGTCGGGTATGGGATTAGTTAGTTATTTGTTTTTGGAAGCATGGACTTGAGGGCAGAGAAAGCCGTACCGTAACTGCGGGTTTGTTAACCACTCTACGGCATCGAATCCAGTAAAGATGAATTAAGTGTTGCAGTCATATCGTTTTCCTGAATGGGTAATCAATGTACAATCTATCAAGTTGACTTGATCTAGGAAAAATTTCTGATATCTTGTATGACGAAAACATAGATATACCTTTGCACCGTAGACTACAGTAATACAAAATGATACGAATAATTATGAATTTTGGGACAGGCTTCTCAAAAAAAATTATTTATCCCTCATCAGAACAAAGTAGAGTAATAAATATCATACCTCTTCATCATGATTTTTTCTATTTATTTGTCTATACTGGAATAATTTTTCTTCTATTTCTTTCATCAAATTTTCTCTGAAGTTTCCTTGTGAGCAAGTTCTGTGTATAAATAGTTACATAGTTTAAAAATATGATGCCCATATCAGGTTATATTATTCTATTCATATAATGATGGTTCAAGACTTGATGTATTGTGCTAATCAATACGTATATGCTTGTTTATTAGTCTATGTTTTTCAACTTCAATATGGACTAGTTTGTACAGTAATATTGTTAGACTCCAAACATGTGCGGGCGCAGGTTCGAATCCCATGCAGGAATAGTTATGTGCGAGAGGATTGCTGAACTCCTCGTCGCTGTAGGGTGGTTCGCGTAACCGCTGGTCGGTTACGGCTTCCTCCACCATCAAGTCCATGCTTCCGAAAAAAAAAAAAAACTAATCCCATACCTGACATGGAATGGTAACTGGACGAGAGGCCGTGGTTTGCCATATGGTTAAGCCGTCTTATCGGCTTTCCTGTCCCCGGGATAAATATGTAAATCTTATCCTATGCAGCTTGGGGTTAAAGGTCGAGGAAAGACTCATTCGGTGTGTGTGTGAGTAAAACATATCTGTAATAAATCACTATGAATTAAAAATGCACTTACACATTTGCAGTCAAATTTTTAAATTCACGAAGTGCTGTGAATTCACAGTTTTCATGCTTCTGTAGCAGTCTCATTTCTGAACAACTTTTTCCGTTTTCCAGTAGCTAAAAATATAACATTTCAGCTGAATACAGGGAACCTCAGTGGTAGAACGATTGGTATGGACAATTCGGTAGTCGTTTTGTTGATATTTTGGATATTTCAAGTATTTTGGAATGCATAAGACTGTATTAAACTAACTCCATTGTTTCCCATAGCAAAAAAGTTTTGCTACTCGAACACCAATCACAAACAAATTATATTTGATAATCACTGTATATACCAGTTATTATTATTCAACAAATGCTTCATATTAAAGCAAAACTATAATGTTATAAGTTATTTGTTTTACTTCTTCTTTATATAAGTTAGTTGAAGCAAGATCGCAAACCAGGAATTGTTCATTTTTGTGGTGAGCATGTGAAATGGGCAATGTGGTGCATCTCGCCAAGCAATAGGAATACGTTTGATCCTGCGTCCTTGATTACCCTGCGTGGGTTCAAAGTCATAGTTATTTTATTCGCAGGTTCGTCTCTTGTTGGAGATAATTAGGTGCGAGAGAATTGCTGGGCTTCTCACCACGGCCGCCATAGAGTGGTTTATGTAAAAGCTGATCCGTAGTTACTTCCTCCACCATCAAGTCCATGAATCTGAAACAAATAACTGGGTAAATAATCCCATACCCAAAATGGACTGGTAACTGAACAAGAGGCCATGGTTCGCCAAATGATTAATTAACTCGTCAATAAATATGTAAATCCTATTCTATCCTAATGAAAACATATTTATTATCCCGCAGAAAATTTCTTTAGGCATATTCAAACCTAAAGTACCTGATCCATGCCGTGAGTATAAACACTAAGAGCAGTCTTCGCATGGTGAGCACATTCCTTTGACTCCTGTGCAGAAGGTATTTATGATTATGATTATTTTTACAAATGTCTTAATTGATTTGAAACTACAGTAGATTTAGATCATTTAATCAATCCAGATTCATAAATTTTGAAGCAATAATACTTATGCATATCATGATTATACATCATTGGAACCAAGTTTACCAATACGATCGCAAGTTTAATAATTATTTGCGAGTATTCTTGCCATTTACTTCATGAATTTAAAACAATCAACTGATGTAATAACGATTCTCAAAAACAACTGGAGTTGATAAACGACAGTCAGTCGATGCAACCACTTGATAGATACAACATCCTTTGCAATTCAAGTGCTTGGTTAACTATTCCCATATAGACTGTTATTCATATAGATAAAAAAAAAATGAATATAAAATATATAATAATAAATAAAATAGAAAAAAGCGCTCTCGAAGTATGTGAATTAAGATGGCGGACACTGGAGCGTAGTATGGGTACCTGGTTAGGGTAAGGCCATAAGTTCTGGTATAAATACTGAAAAAGTCACTTGGCTAGTCCCCGAACTTGTAATAGAACTAAGATAAGAAAAATTGGAATAAAACTATGGCCTAACCTTAACCTGGTACACATACTACGATCCGGTGTCCGCCATCTTGGTTCACATACTTCGGGAGCGCCAAAACAAAAAAACATGAAAATATTGCTGTCTATTCAATTCTATGCACAAAACTAACCTGGACTGGTAGCCAAACAAAAGGCATATGATTAGTTTTCATTTTCCCTGGGATAAATATGAAAAATCATATTCTATTTTATTTATTTCACAAATATACCTTTTCCATTTTTTGTATCATTCTTTCTCTGTCGTTTTTCTTTTTATAAACTTGATATTTTTCATTCATTGCCATGTCCAACTTCATTTTGAATTCGTCTTCAAATGACACTGAGAGAGAATGTGACCTGCAATAGAGAAATAGGTATCTAAATTATATTATTACCCTCCATAGATGAGTGAACAAAAAGCATGACATATGATATGACAAAAGTCTGTCAAGTTAAACTGTTGCATATTGCTGATATAAGATGCATCATACTGCAAGCAAGTAATGTAACCCAATAACAAGTGTATAGAGTGCAGCCAGGATTTATGATTTACATAACAGATGGTGGAGATTGCACTGAAAAAAATAGTGCAATAGTGCAAAAAATGTGTGTCGTTGAGTGCAAAACGCTGTTGAATAAACTCTGGTGTTACGTGTGCCTCCCTTTGCCAAAGTCAGCAGAGAAAAACTTTTGAGAATATTTATGTATTATTTCATCTACACTAATCGTCAACCATTACCCACTAGTCGCATTGCCCATTCTGCATTGTTTCGTCTATTTGCTGAAAGAAAACAAATGCAATAACGCTAATGTTGCAGTCCTCATACAAAATCACCAGTTTCAAAAATTTCTTTATATATGCAAGCGGTCGACTTTCTTTTTGGTGACCAAATAACATGTAACTACTTTTTGATAACAGGTTAAATTTGTTCCTCGTTTGTCTTGAAGTAAAGATTGCATCTTGTCTTCCATTAAATCACAATAGACTATTCATACATTAGTTTCTAATGTACAGAATGATATGCTTGATGGGCTGACGGTAAAACTGGCAAATGTATTGACTGAGATTCACTTACATGCTCTGAAGCAAGTCATCGAACCTATACATTGCAGAGTCTTTGAATTCTGAGTGTTTCGCATCTAAAAACTCTTCCTCGTGCAACTGATTTTGTCCCATCAGCTGAACAAAAAATTTTTTTTATGAGATGTTCTCAGAAAATACTAGGAAGAAGTCAGGACTAAACAAGATTAATGAACTTGTTACAATGCAAGGTCCAATAATTTTCATAAAAAATCATCCTACCATCAGCAATTCTTTTTAGCTTTTTGGTATGGCTTCCAGAGCATTGGTTCTAACTATATCGAAATAGTAGGCTGCTGGTCTCATATGCAAACTCTAACTTACCGTACACACAGAGTAGTACATTATTGAGTAGGTAGGATTCGTAAGTTACTCGCGTTTGGAACAAATAATTAGCTATTTAGCCTGAACCAAACAAGGACTGGTGACAGGGAAAAGAATTTGGTCGAGAATTTTCCCAGCTTATTGACTTTATCTTTTTTTGGAATAATAATGAAAATCTAATCTTACTTAACAAAAGATTCTAATCTTACATTTTTCATCTTTTTATCATATTCACGTGCAGCAGTTTGAGAATGTTCAGCACATTTTGACTTCAGCATTTCCTGATAATATGTAAATTTAAAGAATTTTTAGAGTGATTATTTTAGAATAACAATCAGTCATATTCAACGAACATTCTCCGATATATATATTATTACCTTTGCACAAAAGTGGTTACGGTAGATGTAGCTATGTTATTATTGCAGGTTGAAAATATCGAACACTAGCACCCCAGCCAGAGTATATAAAACTCAACAGGTAATGCAAAGCTGAAAAAGATTTTTTTGAAAATACTGCCTCCATGCATATCAGTGGCTGAGTCCGGTCTTGTTTGGAGTTTGGGTGTGAAAATTTCTCATAAAAAGCAATTCAATAAATCATGTTCTGGACTGGGCCGGTTTTACATGCAGTATTACAACTTAGAGCTCTTTTCCAAATTTTCTTTCACAATGGGAGAAGACCAGGACTAAGAGTAGCACGAATTATGTCGGTTTACCATGTTACGTTCGTTGTTTTTGACAGCTCTTTCACAATGCTCTTCCAAGTTATCTTTAAGCTTGTTTTGACATTTTCTGACCTGTACAAATATAGAAAGTGATCGTTACTACCATTACAGCTAAATTTTGTCTGCGTTTTACCCCTTTCCATTATGAGCAATATTCCCTCCAATTTTTTGTAGTATGTGTGCGCAGAAATTTTGGTGTGTGCGCACTTTCTTGGAAATGAAAACCAATGAAGAAATTTTGGCGTTCTAACAGGGTAATGGGTGGGCACACAACAAACTTTCTCAACCTGCCAACCGAGAACATTGTTACATTACATCGAAATATGTCTGTGCGCAGTAAATTTATGCGTGTGCGCGGCCTCTGAAAGCTGTGTGTGCGCACTTTAGAGGGAACACTGATTATGTGTGCTTGAGTTTGATAGTGTAATCACAGTTCAAATGAAGATTTGAATTTGTGTGTTGTCAAAATTATATTACACCTACATCTATTTATCTAACAGACCCTTATAAGCCTCTAATCAATATTTATTTAATAAGAAAACCTAAAAAAAAACTAATATGCACCTAATTGAATTTTTGATTACTCACTACTAGTCTTGCTTGAAGTTATATCCCTCCACAATATTTGAAAACAAAAACAAATTTCTTTTAATACAAGTATTTTTGAAGCATAGCCTCTTGCACTCAACCAACAGGAAAGTGTATCCATAAAAGTTGCAAGGAACCATTTGTGCTTTAAATGCTATATGTAAGCTTAACTTGAAAGCTGATGGTGCAACACTTGAAGTTAATACTGCCAAAAATTTTTTTTATAAAAAAAATATTAAACCAAATATATAGGAAATTCTTAAACAACAAAAATATTGTTATTCCGTTATAATGTTGTCTGGCAATAAGTTTATTTCAACATACCTCATATTGGTCGGTAAAGCGTTCACAATTTCTGCCATATTTTCCCAAAATACTCCGCATTTCTTTTTGGCAGGCTTCTTCTATTCTAGGTATAAATTCACCAGAAATCTAAAAAAATGGAATAAGTTTGTAATGTCTTCCCAATGAAAATATTTTTATTTCAAAGAAGTTATACAAAACATCGGAATATTATTGAATACAGAAAAATAAATATATCATATTTAAGAATGAAATTATTGTAGATTCTTTACATTTGTCGAGTTTTGGATTCTAACCATTGGTAACAAAAAAACAAAGGAATGGTAACAAAGAATTTTCTCAAATTAATCTTTGCAGTCATTTTATTGCTTTGTTCTGATCAGTGGAAAACAAAATTCAACTAGGATTAGGATATATTGTGGTTTAAAGTTGGTTGAAATAAGGTGTACAAACTATTTCTGATGTATATATAGGATGTCCAAAAAGTCTTGAAATTTTTTTAAATTGCAAAGGAAATTTATCAATACCATTCATTGTTTTGAACCTCACAGATGTATTGAATGGAGTAAAAAATACTTGAACAATTACTGATTGAAAAACAACAAACTTGGTTAAGATATATTGAGAACTGACTTCATGACAAAATTAAAATACTGAAGGGGCATTATTTGATCTTAATTAATTTTTCACCTGTATCATCTTTAGATGGAAAATATCTAAGCAATCGCGAGCAACATTTTGGATTTCTAATTTCTCTTTTTCCTTGAAATAAACACAAATATTTATAGTTTTATATACATGAAGAATAGAATATGTTTTTGTTGTTTTCGCTCATCCAGATTGGATTTCTGATTGCAACAAAGGTTAATTTTATTATCAATAGCTGGTGCTTTGGTGAAAAATTATGGTGATCAAATCAGATTCCCAGATCCATTTTTAGGGTAGTCTATGTAAGGGGTGCTGTATTGAGCCTCCATTTGAATTAATGCATTTGTGAAATCATTAGTTGGCTAGCTATTCCCATACTAGAACTGGACTTGGTAACTAGACAAAAGGATGTTATATGCCATTTTATTAATTCATCTTATTTGCTTGCTTTTCCTTTCAAATCTTACTTTTGCAAAACGCTTCATGTTTTCCAATGTCTCTCGTTGTTGCTTCAAATGTTTAAAAAATTCTTCCATTCTTGTCATTAATTTCTTCTTTATATAAATTTCATCCTTCGGTAAAATTCCCTTGAAACTGTCAGTACCAAGTTTGAATTCACAAAGAGCCTGACTGTAATATTCTTTGTGTTTCACCCCAAGTGTCTCAAACGAGATGTCCTACAAAACAGTTTGCACAAAAAATTCAGACTTTCTTAGACAAACAAAGGTCATGCTCACTCAAGTCAGAGCGAGGATAAAGGGTGCACCTGAAGTATGTGAACCAAGATGGCGGACACCGGAACGTAGTATGTGTAACAGGTAATTTCAGGTACAAATACTACGGGAGTAACTTGGCTAGTCCCAGAACTCATAATAGAACTAAAATAAGGAAAACTGGAATAAAGTTTTGGCCCAACCTGGTACATATACTACGTTCCGTCGTCCTCCATCTTGGTTCACATACTTCAGGAGCAGTAGATAAAGCATATATATAGTTTTTGGTATGTCAAAGGTTGCCTGTATCCATTTCTATTACTACCATTTCACTCTTACTTTAAGACTGAAGATCCTGCTTTGAGTTGGTTGAAATTTTGTTATTTGGTGTGGTTTAGCATAGTAAAGAAAATCCTTTAATGGCAACAATATTAGCACTTGTAAGCTGTTTAGCAGAAATAGTGGTTTACAGTCAACCTGTCTTGCTATATGACTAACCAACCTCATTAGTATTCTGATTCCTCAAAATAAATAAGGAAAACCATATTCATAGATTTAAATTATGCCTTTTCCCTAAAAATTAACAAAAATCAAAAATGAATCAAAAGAATTGCTGTTTGTGCTTTCAGTTAATATTTGTGCATTTATATCAATATTAAATAGTTAATATTTAAACATAAGGATAGGATTTACGTATTTATACTCTGGAAGAGTGAAGTCGACAAGCTGGATTAAGCCCTCGTTCTGTTACCACTCCATGTCGGGTATGGGAATAGTTAGCGAGTTACTTGTTTCAGACTGTTGTACTTGCTACCGCATTTCCCGGCTAATAAGTCTACCCCAGGAATAAGACGATGTCTATTTTTAGCACTAAAAAAGAAGGTTTTTCCATATAGGCCACTAATAACACAGGTACAAAAATTGCTTCTCGGTTGTTCAGTTATGCAATAATATGCGCTAATAATTATATATTTCATGTTTACAGTTCATGTTTGTTTGGTAGAATCATACTCAGAAAATTAACTATTCTTAACAATAAAGCCGTAAATTTGGGTTACAATCATTTTGGACAACCTAATATTCTTTGAATACGGTGTGATAAGTACTACACTGAACGCCCACGAATTAGTTAACAGCTGTGTTTTCTGTCAACAAAACGGAAGGGTCATAAGTTACTTTATCTCTGTGGCTGTGTTTTCTCTTTAAAATACCCAAAACAGGCGGTGTAAAAAGGGAGTGCTTCATGACACCAGTCAGTTAGAATTACCAGGAGTTTTTAAGAAGAATATGACAAATAACACATGGCAGTACAAAGTCAATGAAATATCATGATTGGCAGACTATCAGACCCAAATATAAGGTTAACACAAATCATGTTTGAGAAGACTCCTGCATAAAATAAGCGAACCACAGAATAACAAAATTTAGCATAGTTGCCCAATAAGAGACTCCCCTTCCCAAAAAAAAAAATAATCACGCTGAAAAATTGGGTTTAGAAAGGCGACTTTAGGCCGGGAAATAAGGTAGTTATTTACAAAACATACCATAGGCAATTTGCTCATGTTATCTTCATATTTCTTTTCAATCTTTTCTGCTTTTAAGCGGAATTCCTGAATATTTGCCACCTAAAAATAAAGCAGGATGGATTTTTTATGTTCATCCTAGATTTTGTTTTGTTCTGTTTATCACAAAAGAATGCTTAAAAAACACCTTAAACATATGACTAGTCATGTTATTTACTTCAACAGTAGAAAAAAGTAATAGTGAATCCAGTAAATAACTAACTAATCCCACACCAGACATGGAATGGTAACTGGACGAGAGGCTATGGTTTGCCATATGGTTACGCTGTCTGATCGGTTTCCTCTCCCCCAGGATAAATATGTAAATCCTATCCTAATATGGAAAATGGGATTAGGTGAATTATAAATTGGTCTAACAACAACTACAGATACAATGTAGCACCCACAACAAATTTTTTTTAAAAGATTTCAGTTCATCCTAATGAAGGTTTCAAGAATGTTTCCAAAAAATAGATAGCAACATGCTCTTCTTACAGCTAATATAAAATTGAACTACCAAGAATTAAATGACGCCAGAATATTTTTAAATGGATCTTGGACAGATCTTGCAATTTTTTTTTGAACAGATTCAGATTTTTATTTTTATTGTGCAATATCCAATATGAGACATGATATAAAATAGGAAATTTTGAATGACCAAGGTCTATTTTAGATGGATAACCAATGAACAATACCATTATGAATCTAATTTCCTCTGTTTTCCGCTCATAAATACTTTTGCATTCTTCTTTCACTTGAATCAAAACATTCTGTGTTTGATTTTCAGATCCTAAAGTTGCCATGCTACGAAATACTTTATCTGCTTCTTTGAGTGCTTTTTCATGATGTTTACCAAGTTCAATATGAGAAGGAAATGAAGAACCGACAAGCTTTAAAGATAAATATGGATAAAATAAAATTCAGTACATATCAGATACAAACAATACCTGAGGATGAGAAATTATAATAATGAGTCAATAAAAGTATTGATATCTAACGACGGTTGTTTTATAAAGAGCAGAGATATTATTTTTGAATCTACTTTATTAATTATTCATGCTTATTATGCTATTCATTAAGATAGTGTGCCCAATTATTTGCCCGATTATTGATAATAGAACCTTAAAATTTTTTGATTGCTTAGAAATCATTAGGGCCTTACCAGAGTATCAGAGTTTTCAAGAGAGACAAAAAGAAAAATTCTTCAAAAATTACCATACTAAAAACACTCAATTGAAGATTATTTATTTTCATTTCAAATATTACTTTCAAAACAGTTACCTGTTTTAAATGACACCGATATTTTGACACAGCCTCCTGCAGAGCGGTTGCATTGTTTGCCTTTATGGCGCTCTAGATGAAATTTGCCACATTATTATTATTTGAAAAATAGCTCAAAACTCAAGTTCAAAACACATTTGTACAACCATTGTTTAAATAAGATACTCAGAGTAGCATTGCAGCTCCTAATATACTCAATAAAGAGCAAAAAAATGCTAAAATGCCTGTATATGTTATTTCGTATCCTACTCTTTCCAGAAGATTCCACAAAAGATAAAATTAAGAAGTTGATCCTTTTTCTAATAAATATGACATTTTTGGATAGGATAGGATTTACATATTTATCCCGGGAGAGAGGGAAGCCGATAAGACGGCTTAATCATATGGCGAACCACGTCTGGTTACCAGTCCAAGTCGGGTATGGGATTAGTTAGCCAGTTATTTGTTTTCGGAAGCATAGACTTGATGGTGGAGGAAGCCGAACCGACCAGCGGTTACGTGAACCACCCTACGGCGGCGAGGAGTCCAGCAATCCTCTCGCACATGATCATCCTAACATGGGATTCGAACCCGCGATCCCACAAAGGGTAATCAAGGGTAAGGGTAAAATTTTGCCACAGACAATCAGTGATTAGGAGATGAAGTTTTGTTGTCTCAAAATTGGAAATCAATGTTTGAGTGTATTAAAACTGGATGTGATGTCAAAATTCAGCAGTTGCAGTCCGAAGACATTTCTTCTTAATTCAAAGTTAGCAATTATGCTTGATTTGACGGTCTACTACAAAATATTTTTACCCTTGGATTAATGGCTTGCTATTCTTGGCCTATGTTTCGCGCCATATCAAAACTTTGTTGAATAACGAAAATTTTACCCATAATAAGTTTAAAAAATTTTGTACCTCTAATAATGTCTCAATTTTAGGTTGCTTTCCTGACTGAATATATTTGCTGAATTCACTTATGAGGTTTATCAAACCATTTGCTGAGATAGGTTGCCCAAACATTTTCTTCACAACAAGATTTTTCGGGTTCAAGACTGAATCAACCAGCATGATAATGTGGTTTCGAAACTCCCCTGTAATGTCTGAAACAATACTGATAACTTTATTAATAGAGCCATGTAGTCAATGATACAATGTTATGGGAATAAGATTGAACTTTTTACATTGTTATGAAGTAAAGTTTCACACCGTATGAACTCTTCTAGCAGTGAAAAGTGAATGTTGCATTTCACATATAAAGCTAAAAAGGGGTCATAAATGGCACTTTAATTATATTGAAGCTGTTTTTATTTTTATTCACAGAGTCAAGGAGTCAATCTCAAGTTTTTTACTAGTATGAAATTAAGTGTACTTTTCTTGCTCATGGGTTTGAAGAACACAATTATCAAACTGCGAGGGGTGACATGAATGCAAAGCGGGATATATACTGACAAGTGATTCTAGTCATGCCAGTTTCCTATTTGGGATATATTTTTTGTCATATGCAGCACATTTATATTACGCATTGTATATCTGAACAAGGCATATATATCTAAAAACATTCATCGATACATGAGAAGCTAGAAGTTATTACCACACATAACAAATATTTACCTGAATTTTGAAGTTTTTGAAAATCTTTGGCGCCATCGATTTTTTCATTCGGTCTAGGCATCAGGAATCCATTTACATGCTCAAATCCGCTACGGATAGATTTTTTCACTTGTGAAACATTTTCTGGTTGACTTTGATTCATTTCTTTTAATATTCCATCAATGTACCCATCTCCACCGTGTCCGAACGGACATTCATTGGGATGTTGCCAATCTCGAACCAAAAAAGTAAGTTTCTGTTAGAAAGAAAATCGTCAAATAATCACCAAAATTAAGCAAGCATACTCCTTGGAATAGATATAAATATACACCAACTGTTTGGTCTAGAATATGAAATGAATATTCGCAAATTGTTGGGTTATATGATAAAAAACATTACGCTGTTCTGTTCAGAAACCAATAAATACAAACCTGAAATGACTTCTGTTTCCTTGGGAAACTATGCGAAGCAGCCAGTGCATATTTCAATGAAAGCTGAAAAAGGGTAAAACTATATGATATATTGTCACTAATTTAACTAAAAAATAAAATCTCAAAACAAGGTCCAATGCAACCATGCTTGTCCCACGTGCCCCACTAGTCCCACGTGTCTAACATGCCCCAATCTCCAAATGGGACAAGTGGGATATGTGGGATAAGTGTGACACCTAGGACAGGTGGGACATTTGAGACACAACATTTTTTAGACACCCCGCTTTGAAGTAATACATGAAATTTCTTATTTATAATGCTATATTTATTCAAGTTGCCAATTGGTTCCAAGTTTTATTTACATTATATTATTCTTCAAATTCAAGGCGGCTTATGTCCACAATTTAGATAATGGACATTGTTTATAGTAAAATACCTATACTAAGGTATTATTAGGCTCACAACTTTTCAGAATAATCATCAAAAAGCTTGTTAGCACTGATAATGTTGGGAACCCCTTTTTACTATTCAGATCATTGTTCAGAATTTCAGAATTAAGGTGCAAAAACCTTCAAAATTATGTCAACTATTTGGAACTTTCTATTGCATGACTGATTATTCAGTACCGATTTATTAATGTGAATCCTGTAAAAGACAAATATGAGCATTTAAGGACTCCAGTACTGGATGGTCAACAAAATTCATTCAAAATTTAATTATACATTCATTTGAATGTACTTTTGAAAGTATAATTTTTTACCTGCAAATGTTCAAAGTCTGTTCCACGCACATTATTTTTAAAATTGAGAATCTGATGAGAGGACAGAAGAGTGCTGATAGACATGATGTTAACATTTGTGTCAGGTGAACTACTAGCATCAAATAATCCTTGGGTATCCACAATCATCACTCCAACCTGAAAAATGTTTATAAAAGTTTAGGCAATTTTTATTTATTATTCACATTCTGTCAGTAGTTTTCATATTTGGCACAAACAAAAACTGGTTTCTGTTCATTGGGTTGCCAGACTCAGGCAGCAGTCATTATAGTATATGTCTGCTTTGATGAAGTGAAGTATGCTTTAGTTTGAATGTGCCACATCAGATTTGAAAGCAATAAGGTGATCATTGGGCAATACAAAGGCTTGCCAATAATGATAATTTGCAATTTACCTGTTTTCCGTTTTTTTCAACATAAAATATCTCAGGGCAAACCAAAATTCCCAAAGTATGAGGTTTTGATCCATTGCTCCATTCAAAACCATCTTGTATTTTCATATCTTCAGGTCCAAACCAGCTTTCGTTTTCCCACTACAAATATAGTTATGGTAGTATTTATTGTTATATGAAAGATGTTCAATACCAAATTTATGATAATTATTAAATATGGGGTGCATGTCGCACATCTGTGTCTTAGGCCAGTAAGGTCTTGAACATGTTTCCCGTCTCTTTTATACCGTTTAACTATTATGCAGATACTGTTACATTTTTGAGACAAATAAACATACATATATAGATGGGACGTAGGTTGGACTTCATACATCAAGTTATAAATTAGACAGTGATCAGAGACCGCTGACTTATCGATCTTCCGCACCGGTCATCACCAGCCCCACAAAGTCGAAGCGGCGTGAAACCAAAATACCTAAACGCTCCACATCGCAGTGAGGGCATTTTTACGTACACAATCGTTTGCAGCAACGTAAGTTAGGGGGAAAAATAAGAAAAAATATATAAATAATAAGAAAAAAAAATTAGGGGATCCCCAAAACAGAAACTGCGGTTTCGATTTTTTCGCTCTGACTCAATAGCGACACCACTTGTCCCACCACTAATAAATTAATAACTCGCTAATTATACGACATAATTCATCCAAGATCAATAGGTTTCTGGTCCGACATATGATGAATGCACATACAAATCTGGAGCAGATCCCCGCTTTCATGAGATATCGCGTAAGACGAAAGTGTCTAACAGACAAACAAACAAACAGACAAATACCTATCAACATACTTATCGAGATCGATAAGTAATGAAGTTCATAAAATAAAACAAAATCTGTCAATTTCTGCCAAATTTAAGTTAATTCCAGATTCAATTCAAAGATACTTAACTTTTATTAACAACTTTTGAACTACCTAGTTAATCAAAGAAAATAAAAAAATGTTGGAACCTCATTTCTTGGACAGTCAATTACCCTACTGAACTGTGTATTTTCAGTTGAATTTTGTCAAACACTTTAATGCGGGAAAACGATTTATTTTGGACAACAAACAAATTAATATTGACTGAACAACCTTACCCCTCTATTGCGCAGATAACGTATGAAAAAGTTCAGCATAAATGATTTTCCTGTTCGATAAGCTCCAGCCATGGAAACGATTGCCAAATCCTGACATTTTGGGTTGTGAAGTACAGCAGTCAAATTGCCAACATTCAATTCGAAGTTTCCTTCCTCTGTGATTTCAGCAACTGATTTGGCTTCCATGACTTATATAAATTAAAAGCACTATTCTATGCTGTAAATTTTAATAAATAAATAACACAGAGAGAGTCCATTAGATTTGTCGGCGCCCCAGAAGTATGTACACCAAGATGTCGCACAACCTGAACACTAACTGGTACACAGTACACACATACTGTTTTCAGGTTGTGCACCAATACTTCTGGATATCCCATTTGTCAAACCAGAAAACAATGTATGTATGTATATATATAGGTAACAACCATTATACATGAATGATTGCTTTTACTTTTTCAATCGCTTTCTGTATCGGTGTGGGTACCCAAAGCCAAGACATGTGTAAAATGCGTCACAGGTAATCCGAGTATCGAAATTAGGACTCCAGTCAACGAAGGTGTTAGGTTTCACTGGTGGTCAATTGGTTATGTGCAGTGGTTACTTTCAGCCGGTTTGCACCGGTTCTATAGAACAGTATCGCAGAATTTTAATAGATCAGCGAACCGGTTAGCATTACTGGTTACTGTCAATGACTTTTTGTATCCGAACCGGCTGAAAAATATGACTTTTGTGATGGAACCGACTGACAAAAAATTTGAATCCCACCACTGGTTATGTGTCTGAGTAATTTTATTTTAATGACCTGAGTCACTGTCAGTCTTTGATAAAAGTCAATATCAGTCAAGTAAATAACTTGAGTTTTGCCAACATTGGTGGGAAGTCGTTGACACCAGACTTAACAATACTATTCAAAAAGCGGTTAAGTTGAAGTTCTTTGGACAAAATCTGGAAAAAACGTAAGTTTTTAAAGAAGTAAAAGTCCTAATAGCACATGAATGAAAACAAGCAACCAGTCATGTTAAACAAACTAGATATTGGTATTGCAAGAGGATCATTCATTGATAATTTTATGCCTTTAATTTTAAACAAACCTGTGTAAATACAGCCACTGCTAGGTGCTGTACTATCTTCTGTTGTTTGTTGAAACTGGAATCTTTCCAATTTGGTATTGCTTACCAAATTTATTACAAATTAGACATGGGAATTGAATCTAAAATTTTTAACCTGCAATGCCAACATAGATAAGTCTAACATTTTGACCACTTGGCCACCACACCATGATATTTATCTTTCGCTTGCAATAAAATCCTGCATTTTTCGTGCAATCCCCTTCGCTATAAATAACTGAGTCAGCTACTCATTAGTGAATGCTTGTTAGAGCCTTGTGCAGGGTTGAGTGAAAACATCTCAAATAACTTTTATTGATGAAAGTCTAAATTGGATGCTGGAGATGTGGACCATCAAATGAATAAGCCCACAACAATTTTCAAATTCAAACCTGGCATTTGCTAAAGAAGTTTTACAATATGACGTCGTGAAAAAGACTGTTTGGACATTGGTACAGTGAATGTGATGAAGACTTTTAACAAAGCACTAGTTACTGAATAATTTGGCTGCCGAACAGTGAATATTGGTGCAAATACTTGTCTGCTTATGAGTGCCTATGATAATAAAAACAGTTTGGCTACGCCCTTAATATCAATCACATGCAGGTTGTGAAAACTTTTTATTATGCCCCATTTCTACTATTTGGATTCATCCATCATGGATTGTAAAACTTGCCAAGACTTGTCCAACACAAAATTGCAGTAATAAAACTAGTGGCACACTGAGGTGTACAAGTTGTGATAGTGTGTCAAGGTAAAACACAATAATGTGGATAGAGAAAGCTGTTAGGTCTCTTTAAAAACATATTAGCATTCGAATTATTGATACATGCATACAATAAATTATTTTTCATACAGCGCTTATTCATCATTCTCTCTGAACAAGGCCCTATGCAAGAATCCACTGATATCTAAAGTTATGTAAGAAGTTGTTTTTGGAAAGAAGTTTTTACATTTATTATGCCAACACAAAGAAAAAATTGTAATATATCCAAAACATGCTATACTTACAAGACCACACTGTATACCTATGATATATATGATAAAGGCAATATATATGATAGAAGAGATAATACGTAATTAGTAAATGATAAGAACAAGATAAATATGATAGAGGAGATAACACTTGATTGGCATATGATAGAAACAAGGTAGATATGATAGAAGAGATAATACATGTTTGAAATATGATAGGAGCAAGATATATATGATAAAAAGTATTTTCAACTGTGAAAAAATTATTGCAACTAAAAAATGTAAACTGTCGAATCCTGTAAAAAAGTGGAAAATTATCATGAACTCATTTTTTAAGTGCAATTGTATTTATATGTTATCGTGTGTATAAAAAATGATGTTTTTAAAAAAAAAAAAGATACCAGTAGACATGATAAAGAAGATAACAACTACTATACGTCCCCCACAAAGCCTCGTACAAAAAACCATTGATATGCATGAAGCTACTATATCAGACATAGACAAAGTGAGGCCAGTCGGCCCGTTGGGTAATTCAATCCGCCCGACTGATGCTGCCACAACCAAACCGAAATCGAATTTTGAAGTTTTAGCTAAAAATAGCTCAAGGAATTTGTTGAGATTGTGGTTAAATTTAGTTTTGGCACGGGCATATTATTTTACACCTTTACTTTGTAACACTGTAAATATTGTTCTTAAAATGTAACTCTTTACGTCATACTTACATGGCCCGCCAGTCTAGGTGGGCAAAATTTTAGGCCCCTGATCCAAAAACCTTGCCCAACCCTATACTATATGCTCTCTGAACAAGGCACTGTAGAACCAGAAATATGTGTTGAACTATAGACTCGTCATTCTCCGTTTCTCTTAACAATTACTTACCCAGATAAATAGAGAGTTAGATTAATGACCTAACTTAGCTAAACTAATTTTTAACAGTGGAGAAATAAAATTAAATACTATCCCTGAACATGGCTCTGTACATGCGCTCACACACAGCGTTTCCCCGAAAAATTGGGCCTAGCGTAAAAATAAGACACAGTCTGAATTTTAAAAATGATTTTGATATAAGCCCATCCCCCTCAAAATAAAATTTAATCAATAGCGCAATTATTTTTTTTTAGATAGAAGACATCCTCCCAAAATAAGCCCTAGAGTTATTTTTCAAAAAAAAATTGAAATAACCCTCGCCTCATTTTCTGCGAAACACTATACGCGAAAAGCTAAAATTTGTAGAATAACATTTGCTGTCTAAAGCACAGTTTCTACAATCCGGGTGAAACAATCCCTTCCTTCGAAATACTTCACTACCGTTGCCGAATAAAACCTAATTCACCTTGGCATTTAAAGTTTTCATGACTTTTAGCAAAAAAAAATAGGGATAAAATTACGGGGTTCAAGAGACCGTTTAACCACATCGAAACTGGGTAAATGCCGCAAGTTTCGAAAAGGGGAAGAGAGTGCAACACGAATTGTAAACACAACACCGCAGCGCACAAAAATTTGCAAATGTATTAGCGCTTCCCTGAGTTTAGGCAATATGCGGAATTTTCTGCAAATGCATAAATTTTTCGATGCCAACGAAATTAAATCTAACGATTTAACATTAATGATAATCAAGCAGCAAATGTACATAACTATCAGTTCGGGTTACGTAAGACTAACTACCTTTTCTTGCTCCATGCCTTTTCGTAAGTGGATCCGTATGCGTGTGACGGAACAATGCTGTGGCAAGAATAAAGACGACCATACTATTTGATTCAAGAATCTTGCTACACACCAACACAAATGTATTTCTTTAACGTTTTGTCTGACCGGGATCAAATCGAATATATGTAAGAAACAATTTTATTTCATCTACAATCGATACTACCCTGCTATTACCTAAAAGCACTGAGTTTGTGTGACGATCTCCTTGATTCTGTTTTTTGCATGTCAGGTTATATAGAGTGTCCATAAAGTCCCTTCCCAATTTCAATTTTGTTACGAAGTCAGTTCTCAATATGTTTTAACCACGTTTGTTGTTAGGTATTTTCACTTCATTTAATAGATGTGTGAGGGCCAAACCAATTTATTGTACCGATAAATTCCGTTGTAAGTTAAAAAAAATAAATTTAAGACTTTACGGACTCTCTATATTATAGCCCCCATCTTTCCATGTTTATCTTACTAAATTAAAATATTACCTACTAGAAGAAGAAAAAAATGACAACTATAGCGTCAAGCTTCAATAAGAATGTGTAGTATCAATCGGGTTTGACTTTTGACTAAGCGCGGAACAGTCAAATTACTTTTAAATAACATCACTTTTTTAACATTTTAAAAAAGAGAGAGAGTGATTTATTGTCACAAAACAAAGTCAACACTATTATAAACATAATACAATGACGTAAATATTTCAGCAGTAATAACAGTGATTGATTATTGCTTTGTGTGGGTAGGCGTGCAAGACCTGCGGGTCGGTACATGCACGTTGCAGCTGTCTGCATACACAACAAGGGTTCTTCTGAAGCCTTGTTCGGAGCGCATAGGTCTGAAACACCCCTCGAAAAAGTAAAAGACAATTCGTTTTCCGTAACTGCAATACCATGAAATCAATTTCACGATAGTTTATTCAATTTAGAAGGCGTTTCTAAGGCGTGTCGCATCTCGAATGAAAACTAATGGCGACGGGGATCAAGTCGCGTCCACGGAAATCCCTTCATAAGCAAAGTAATATGAAAAATTATGCTCGTGCAGCTGGCTATATGAAAATACAGCCCCCCCCCCCCCCCCCCTCTCACACACACACACACACACAAAAAAAAAAATAATAATAATAATTAACATCATATAAATAGACCAAAATGTTTTTTCGCATGAAATTTACCCGTGGCACAAGCGCGATGTGTTAAATCCCACCATAATACAGATGACCCGTTAACGAACATGCAAAATGGAAATTTCATAATACAAAGGTGATTCCTTTTAAATCGAGTCTGCAGTTTTGGACAAAAGATAGCAACACCGAAATTTGAGTGAATTTAAGCGGAATTTACAAATAAATTGCGACCACACGATGGAAATCGATGAATCCCATTTGCATTTCCGTTGTTACGCCTTCCATTTTTTGTCAAAAGGAGCACCGCTTTAAGTCTAGTCTAGTAGTTCCCAACCTTTGTAGATAAATTTCTCCCTTTGCCTAATATGAAACTCTTCAATTTTTAATCTATTAAATCAGATATCAGCTGCTCGATAAACTAATAATATTCATGTGCTAGTTAATTGCCGAACACGACGTCGTAGCGGCTGGACGGTTACAGCTTATTGACTGGTAGAATACAGCTATCCACCATCAGATACATGCATCTGAAACAAATGACTAGGGCTGGGCATTTCGAATCCAATATTCGAATCGAATCGAATAGTAAATTATTCGAATCGGTTCAGAGCTGAATTTCTAATCGCCGCCATCTTGTTTTCATTTTTTCGCCAATGGTCGAGGTGAATTCCCCATTTATTTTCAACGCAATTCTAACATATGACTATTTTCTGTAGTGAGTTATTGATAAAACGTGTTTGCTATCGTGTGTGAACTCTCAGTAATCTATCTGAGTGATGTATTCAATGTCTTCAGTAATTCATTTGTTAAGAAAATGAATTACTATAAAAAGTCGCTTACAAATATATATTTCCAAGTATTCTAGATTCGATTCTGAAATCACAAGGTATTCGAAAATGGCCATCCCTACAATGACTGGCTAACTAATCCAATACCCGACATGGACTGGTAACCAAACTAGAACTATGGTTTGCATTAGGCATGTTGCCAGAGCTGGGTAGCCGGAACCGTGACGCTTTGCTGGAACTGGGGCCAAGCTCGTCATAATATAATGAGCCGGAGCTAACAGCTCCAAACCATCTAGTTACTTATCGATCTTGATCGGTACGTATTTTGATAGATATTTGTCTGTCTGTTGGTTTTGGATGAATTATGTCGTATAATTAGCGAGGTATTAATTAATTAGTGATGGGACACGCGGTGTCACTATAGAGTCATGGGTCGAAACCGCAGATTCGATCGATAAGTCTCCTGTCTCCGACCGATATTCTCGTTCATTAGTTTTCGATAAGTCTTCGGTCTCCGACCGATATTCTCGTTAATTAGTTTTCGATAAGTCTTCGGTCTCCGACCGATATTCGCGTTTTTCGTATTCCTAATTTTCTGATACTTCATACAAATAGTAAAATCTAACCGTTTCAGCTATAGTTTTCACTTCATATTTAATAGGTAATATTAATATAAAAGTTTGTATATATATTAAAAATTCAAATTTTAAAATTTCAAATTATTTTGAGTTCCACTTTCGCGAAACTACATTTGGACTATTTTTTACCGTGGCGGGCCATGTAAGTGTGACTTGAAAAAGTTACATTTTATGAACAATATTGACAGTATTAATTAACAATACAAAAGCAAAAGTGGAAAACAATAAGCATCGTGCCAAAACTAAATTGAATCGCAATCTCAACAAATAACTTTAGCTAAAACATCAAATTGGGGTTTAGTTCGGTTGTGGCAGCATCAGGCGGGTCAGATTAAATTACCCAACAGACCGGACTGGGCCTGCGGGTCGTAGTTTGCTCATGTTATAGCTACAGTCTGAATATGCTGTGGCTCGGGAGCCATCCCTCTGATTGCCGCCACTGCTTTGTTAGATTTAAAAATCTTGGTCGAAAAAATAGCGTTTTAAATAAAACTCCCGGTGGGTGTTTGTTTGTGCCCGAACCCTGCTGCATTATTATTTGTATTTTATGTGTTGTTTGATGGGAAAACACAAAAGTAAATTTGATAAAATTATTTGATAACAATGTGACACGCCGGCATAAAGAATTACATTTAGATATCGATAAATTGCTGGTTTGATGCTTTTTTGGGATGCGACGCTTATTCTGTATTTACGCCTCGAACAAGGCCTTGCGCAAGACCCACCAACATTCATTATTTCTCGGGTATGCCAGAGCGATTACCGAAAACATATCGGAACATTTCAACTCATAGGCGCTCACAGATAGGGCTGAGGAAGATAGACTTTTTTATTGTAATGAGTCCTCCAGACTCAATAATTACTGAAAAAACAGAATTCGTCACTCGGACAGTTCGCTGAGAATTCATACTCAATAAGAAACATGTTTATCAATTGATCACTCGAAAGAAAAGAGTCACATGTCAGTTAGCAGTTTAAAAATATTTCTTGACAGATGACAGATTCACCTCGATGTCTGGCGAGCGCAAAAAAGATAGCGGTGATTCGAAATTTTCGTCTGAACTGATTCGAATAATTTACTTTTCGATTGGAAATGCCCAGTCTTAACGATGCAGCGGTTATATGTGAACCTCATTCGAATGCTCTCACTAGATATACCATTCTCGATGACTATAATAATTTAAAGCAGTGGGTGCAACCTTATAACTGGATAAAACCACGGGCCGCGGCGGTGTGGCTCATCGTGCTGAGCGTTAAGAATACGCGCGCCACCGCACCTCTAATTACTCTGCGTGGGTTCGCAGGTTCGAATCCCATGCAGGGATGGTTATGTGCGAGAGGATTGCTGGACTCCTCGCCGCCGCAGGGTGGTTCACGTAACCGCTGGTCGGTTACGGCTTCCTCCATCAAGTCCATTCTTCCAAAAACAAATAACTGGCTAACTAATCCCATACCTGACTTGGACTGGTAACCGGACGAGAGACTCTGGTTCGCCATATGGTTAAGCCGTCTTATCGACTTTCCTCTCCCTCGGGATAAATATGTAAATCCTTATCCCTTATCCTTATTTAACATGGGATTTGTGGTAGTTGCAGACACAGACATTTTGGTTTTTGATCTTTTGACAGGCGTTGTTCGCTCTGCACAAGCTCAGATATAGGCATTGCAACGCAAAGAAATAAGAATTATTCGCACATACTAGATTGAATTAAAAACTCGTTTCTTGGGTCGTATACCATTCAAAAGTGGCGCTTCTCCGCGGGCCGCACAAATTTTCTTTGTGAGCCGCAGATTGTACACCCCTGGTTTAAAGTAAATTGAGTTGTTTAATTCTTTGAATATGTGCTATGTAATGCACATATTCTTCCACTTGTTGGCTTTTTTATTATTAGACGTTTTAATAACTTCCTTTTCTTGGATTTCGGTAATATATACATGAAAGAATTACTTAAGATCATATTTTTCTCATTTATTTGGGAAGATAGATTAACTGATTAAGTGGTTTAAATATAATCGCGAACCACGGACACGTACGTGTCGCTTTTCTCTTTGATTACTGGACCAATTTCTTTGAAATTTTCAATGAGTAAAGAATATATTTTTTGCTAGAGGGCTATTACTTTTATTTTTTGCTATGACGTCATCAAAATTATGTGGTTCTACGTGTCCATATATTTGAGCATAGTTTCTTGTTTTATTATGTTCTTCAACTATTTTGCTGGACGTGCGCCTACTTTTACGTCTTTTAACTTTGTCCCTATGTTATGTAATGCGCCCGTGACATTGCTAAGTGTTCTTTACCTCCGAGTAAACTTGCTCCAAGCATTTTTTCATTTAGTATTCTGAAATCGAATTTTATTGTTGACGAGAATAAAACGAGAATATCGGTCGGAGACCGAAGACTTATCGATCCAAACTGCGGTTTCGATTCATGACTCTATACTGACACCGCGTGTCCCATCACTAATTAATTAATAACTCGCTAATTATACGACATAATTCAAAATCAATGGACCTTTCCCCGACCTTTGGCCCCCGGAAAATTCTTCCTATACTTTACCATTGCAGAATTTTCTGGGCTATTTTAGGAGTGCTTTTGGGAGTTGGCGCCTGTAAAATGGGGTATGTGTTTCAAACCATCATTAGGATTCATCGCACACAACAATCTGTTTTTTTAAAAGTACCGGTAAAGAATTTCAGACTAGTCTATCACAGCTATTTCTACACTAATTTTTATTACTGCAATTAAATTAAAACTCCTAAGAAGACAGAGTGATCATTGAATAATCTGATTTTTATTCAAGTTTCCGAAACACAACTAAAAACTAACGAATAGAGTTCAAAAATGCGAAAACGAGTTAATGTTTACAACCACGCTTGAAAATCTGTCTGAGTGAGAAAAGTGTCTGAGCGGATGCGAAAAGGGGGCATTGTTACGTCACTTTTTGCATCTTGCTGATTGGCCAATTTCACGATGTAAACAAGGAAGTCGATGCTCGGGGAAAGGTCCATAGGTTTCTGGTCCGAGATATGATGAATGCACATGCAAAATTTGAAGCATATTCAACCACGCCTTCGTGAGATATCGCGTGCATCTAACAGACAGACAAATACCTATCAACATACTTACCGATCTAAAGATCGATAGGTAATAAAAAATCTTTCATTGGAAACAGAAACGTAAATCTACGTCGATGGCCAAATCCAAATTCGGCGGTTTTATGACATTCGCGCCGGATATGACATCCGGTAGCAATGATCTGGCAATGATGACTCAATTTTTCCCTCAGCTTGGAGGGATTTGCGGAACATGTTAAGAGGCAGTTGTATTCATCCAGAGGAAAAGGATATGAGGCATATATTACCTATCTTGATAAAAATAGATCTTGAAAATGCAAAAATCCATTGGATCTGATGGTAAGGACATGATTACTTTGTCAATCCATTCTGCTATTAGGGAAACAATTTCAAAAAATCAAAGTTAATTTAGGAGATCGTCCTAGAATCCTACTGTCCTATATCTCTATTACAATTGCTGAATCCATTATTTGCAGAAGTAGGATAGGATTTGCATATTTATCTTGGGGAGAAGAAAACCAATATGACTACTTTACAAGACGGTTTGACAGTGCGGGACTCTATATCGGCACTGCGCAATTACCGGGTCTCATGTACCGTAGTTTCGTACCTAACGTACTTCTAGTAGGCGTAGCATAATAATTACTTAACATGTCAATTATTACCCCCACCTGACCACACCATTCAAAAATTACGTCACTACGAAGTCACAGTGACGTAATAGAGCCCTTCAAACTATGCGAACTGTCACCCAAGACGCGCAGACGAGAACCCGAAATCGAACAGCCATTTCTCACGTTTTCTCATCGCAACGATCCCGATAGGAGAGAAATCGCTGACGTTAGTCAGTTCTTTATCGTCGGCGCCGATACATTTCGGGCGATCGTACGAGTATTTGACAAGCTCTATGACGTGTTTGTGACGTCGTAGTGACGTAGTAATTTTTGGATGGCGTAGTCAGGTGAGGGTTAGGATCGGCATGTCAAAAATTGTTATGCTACGCCTACTAGAAGTATGTTAGGTACGAAACTACACGATACCCCAATTACTGAATTAACTAAAAAGAAACGTAATCAAAAAACTTCACTTTTGGATTCTCAAGATTATTATCATAGTATTTTTACGTTTTTTTTTCAGTAAAGGTTCGTTCAAAGCCATAGAGCAAAATTGCACAACACCTGATAAAAATATAATTTCTCTTCATTGCCGGTTTTATTCACAGAAATTGGAAAAGCTGAGATCGGCCCCGAAGGAGGTTCCATTCATTTCGATGATTGCTTCGTTACAATTCCACCAGGAGCTTTGAACCATCCTGTGCTCTTTAAACTGAATCTTCAAACAGATTTGACACAATTTTGCCCGGAAGATTTTGTCGGAATAACTCCAGTTTTGAGTAGTAGGTAGGTATAGGAACAAGTTTCCTTTTGTAATGAACTCAGTGAGATAGTCTCTTCATTTTCCCTGACACCACACTTTGGTTCTTGACTTAAACATAATTGTATTTGAATACCCAGAAAGTGGCGTAAATATCAGAGCGGAGGGTCAGTCAAATACATAACACATTTTTAGAAGTTATGAATAGAGTTATTGCTATTAGCAATATCTCTACCACTCCCTAAATTTGAAAAACGACGCCTCTCATAAAAGCTGAGAAGCATACTATATTGTCACCACAATATCTATTTTCTCATATTTTGATTCTCTTTTTTAGCACACCTATACAGTCCCATCTTCCCATGATAATAAGATTAAGGACTTGGTGTCGTACGAAACAAGAAAATGTTATCGCGTATGTTGCTTACATGGGAAATGAGGACTCGGTCATAAAAATACTCGCTCAAAAACAACTGGGAGAAACGGGACAATATATAAGTTTTGAAACCGAGCATGTTTCAAGATTGTTTGTTTATATAAAAACACTCTTCATTGAAAAGGTTGAGTTCAAAGTTCAGCCAGAACTTTTCTTCAACAAAAAGGGTGAGATTTGTTGAGTACTTTTTATCAAAATCATTTTACCTTTTTCTATCAATTTGGTATCTAACTATTCATCTTCCATGTCAGTGGTTTCCAAACTGCGGCCTGCGAAACGATTTAATATAGACCACCGTACTTTAGTGAAATAGTAGAACACTTTATGTTTTTATCTTTTTGCGTTTTAGATACCGCCAATTGTTACATCATTATCACAGTTTAAGCAAGTGTATATTCATAACAATTTAATTATACCGGTATCTTAAATATACGTACCGATACCAGTGTTGGCGCCCCCCTCTTGGCACGCGAATATCCTTCCGCTTATAATTTTTACCCCAGGCAATCAACTTTAGGGTGCACTGTTTTATGCTTTTGTGCCAGTGGATGTTACCTATGCATATGATGCAAGGTTGCTGTGGCAGGAGTAAAGATAACTATCCTGAGTGATTCAATAGTCTTGCTGCACACTAACACTGACCATGGTCATACAAAATGTTAAGGAAATATACTCGTGTTGTAGAGAGGCAAGACTCTTGAATCACTTTTTTAAGAAATATACCCAAATTTTTTATGCAATTGTTATATATGATTCCTGAGTAAGAAATGGACATGGACCTGCGTTTCAATACATAATTCTTTTGGTACTCTTGCATCAGATTATTATTGTGTATCATTTTATACACTTTTATTTTACAGGTAAATTCAGATGCATATTCTCGCTTGATGATGAAACAACGAAGAAAGAAGTTTTTTCAGAAATGAACAGAGCAGAATACAGCCCAACGCCGTTTATATTTAATCTTTTAACAGTGAAATGTGGGAACCAAATTTCTATTAAGATCAGGTAGCGGATAATATTTTATTCATATTTATCCCAGGAGTCAGGAAAAATGACGTAATCATATAACAAACCAAGGCATCTTGTTTGGTTACCAATCCATGCTGCTTATGGGATTATTAGTAGCTATCTAGTAATCGTCCTTAAGGCAAAGAGAAATCCTGCACTCATCACGCTTAAGTATTCTTCTCCAGGGGATTCGAACCTGAGAACCAACGCAGGTTAATCAAAGGTGGTGAGCGTTTTCCTAACTCCTAACATGATGCGTCGTCTGACTCTTTGTAAACTCAGTGTTACATGTGCATTAGTTCAATATGTCACACTTTGTATCGTGTCGTTTTCTTCTTTCACTCACCTATAGTGGGAAATAATGTCCTTCAAACACTGATGCAGTGTCGTTTTTTTCACCGGATTCTAGAATAGTTTGGTATTTGAATACGTAACTGTAAATACTGTACTGAACTGAACTGTACACTGAACACACACTGTAAAAAAAAACATCAAAATCTTATTTCAGTGCAGATTCATATGAAACAACACAAAACTACACTTTCATTCCGGTAAATAAGAATGGATTTTCAATAAGTGAAGATCTTCTGAAGGGAAATAGAAAAGTCATTGAATTTCAGGTATTATTTTAAATTTATCGTTGCTGTCAAAAAAAAAAAAAACAGAACCCAGGTCACTTGGATGTGTGCAAACTGCGGCCTGTGGGCTAAATGAAGCCTGCAAGGAGAAGGAGTCCGTGGAGAAGTTCCAATTCTAAATGGTGTAACCTCTAAATGAGTTTTTAGTTCAGTTAATCTGGTATGTGAGAGCAATTCCAATCTCTGTGCATTACTAGAAAGGCCATCTTAGGTAAATAAAGGTGTGGCCCACGGCTCCACCCAGTTACTCGTATCTGGGCCTTTTGTAATAAAGGTTACACAATGCACACCCCTGTTCTAGAAAATATGTAACTTTGTGCGAAGCGTCCTAGAATACTGAAGCATTTGGGCTTCAAGAAGAAGTTCATGTTCAAGTGTTGAATATTTTTTTGTTTTGTTTTCGTAAAGCAATCATAAAGGTAAGTTGTTTTTTGACTTACTGGAAACATAAACATGTTTGTTCACGCTCTGGTTATGTGAACCATACTTTTGAGTTCAGCAGCCTTACCCTCTGACATGTTAGAAAGGTTAGGTTGGCATCAACTTATCTCCCTTATTATTCAGGCAATCATATGTGTTCTCGAGCATGTTCACGCTTACCATGTTATGACAACCGTTGAGCTCGTGCCTTCAATTACCATTAGCAGACTAAAATAGTCGTAGCATACGCCACATTAGGTAAATTTTGCTAATAATTTGATTTAGGTCTTGAAAAAGGGAGTAGTTTTCTTATAACATGCTTCTCTTTGCGAAGACAACTTTATCTCCTTTTTACTTCGTTCATCCAGGTATCTCCACTTCCGCAACCACAGGAACTTCTTGATATTAAGTTTGAATTGAATCAAAATGGAAAGACTGAGTGTTTGGATTATAACCTGTTATGGCCTAAACTAGGTATTTCATGAAATTTTTTTTTATATATGGAAAATGGGGAGGGGAAAGTAATAAGACGAATTGATTATAAGGCAAATCACTGCATCTTGTCTGATCTCGTCTATGTCGGGTATGGGATTAGTTAGCCAGATATTTGTTTCTGATACATGAACTTGATGGCGGTCCAGAGCTTACACAAACCACCCTTTGCAGATAGAGTCCAGTAATTCTTTCCTACAGGATTCAAACCTGCAACCTTGATACGCGATGGCAAGCGTTTTCCAAATGCTTAGCACGATTCACCAGCCGTAAAGTCAATATATTATAACATCACTATCGCTTTATGAGCAATCATAATTTTATCTGGTTTCAGTAGAAATTGATATTTCAGTGTTCATCTGAAACTTAGCTATGAGATGAGTCCCTGAAAATCTCGTCGCTCCAGAAGTATGTGTACCAAGACGACGCACAACCTGAACTCTAATCTGGTGCACATACTATGTTCAGGTTGTGCGCCATCTTGGTACACATATTTCAGGAGCACCAAAATCTTTCCTTCAACATAAAGTAGATTTATTGCAGTTTTATTTTAAATTTTACTTTGCAGATTTCATTGATGAGATCGACTGATCAATGCTTAACTAAGAAAATCCTGCCTGATCTCTTCTGAGGCAGTGAGGAACAAAAATACTATTCGATTCTAGTATTATGAAAATCAAAGCCTGCTCAATCTCCCATAAAATTACTCCAAAATGAATGTTTTCCCACTTTAAAACTCTTTCTATACTTTATGTATGCAAAAGTATCTATGCTTATTTCGTGAATCTTTTCACCAGGAAAAGTGAGTCAATGTTCATGACCATGATTGAAAGAATTGGTTCAAGTGTAAAAAGTGTCTTGAGTGGATGCTAAAATGATGGTCGTCTAATACAATATGCTAGGAGTGCTTCCAAATCTAGGCGCTAGTATATATATTCTTGGTATTTGTAACTTGAGAAATGTATTATCTATTTGACTGACCGTCTACACTGGTATTCACGCCACTTTATGATTATTCGAATACAATTATTGGACACGAAGTGGACCTATGGATCGTTTTGTTATTATGTTGTTGTTGTTCTTTGACACAAAATTTTATCGTTATTAAAAAGTCGCTTTTCTCTTTGATTACTGGAACAATTGCTTTGAAATTTTTAGTGGATAAAGATTGATTTTTTCGCTAGAAGGCTATTACTTTTATTTTAAAATTTTCTGTGGATTGTGGAGTGCTGGTACCGTAATACAGCGTGGTGACACTAAACTGTCTCGTAAAAGCGGGGTTTGCACTCACTGGTATGATTAATATCTTTTAATGTGGGTGCTTTTTATGGAATCGGTAAACTGTGCCATGCTGGGCGGGTCAGTAAGTCTCCACATTGTAACCATTTAGCTGTTTCACTGTTCAAGATACGCTATGATTTTCCGTGAATTGAGACAATATATTTCGTTTTGTCTCGCGTGTCAATATATTTGAGCATAGCTCTCTTGTTTAAGTTAGGAATTAAAGTGTGTTGTCTCACCCCCTTTAGGGCAATCACTGGTCTCTTTATCTACAGTCGTCATTTGCAATGTTGGTTTAGTTACAGCCAAACTTATACTCGTCAACCTTGACTTAATAAATCGTAATTAGGTATTAAAATTTTGGGTGATGCTGCTTGCGACCCTGTGGTTTCTCTTCCCCCTGAAGTTGTGTGTTTCATGTTCTTTTAATTTTGTATGTTGTACCTTACTTGGTGGAAAAAAATGCTTCAATATGACCATGGTTATGCAAGATAAATTAGTTAAATTTTATGTTAATTATGATTGCACTGTTATTTATTTGTTTCAAAAGATTTATATGATACATATAAATAAGCCTGCACTAGTGATTTTCTAAATTCTTCCACGTTTTCGTTGCGTTTCAAACATATTTACATTTCATTCGCCCTAATGAATCTTAATCCCAATTTGTGTATCTATTGTATCAATTTTTTTAATTAATACATTTGCTATATTTTTTATTATTTGTGATAATGATAGTGTTAAAATATAAATATCTGGTCAGAAACAGTGTCAACAGGGTCGTGGACAGACTTCGCATAGCAATGAATAAGCCGAATACATCAAACAAAAATCTCTTACTAATGCTTCTGTCATCGATGAACCCCATTTTTCATATTAAACCATCCATGAACCCCATCCTCTATATTAAGAAGGCTGATTCACGTAACCGCTGGTCGGTTACGGCTTCCTCAAGTCCATGCTTCCGAAAACAAATAACTAATCCCTTACTCAACATGGAACGGACGAGAGAGGTTCGCCATATAGCTAAGCCGTCTTATCGACTTTCCTCTACCCCTGGATAAATATAATGAAAAAATTCAGCAAATTTGTATAACTATAGACAAGCATATATACTCTTCACGTTTGGTGTGGTAAAATATCCAGAAAGCACAAGTTCAATGAGTGATGGTTCCATTTGGTTTTCTTGAATGTTAGAATTTTTTACACCTGCTTCAAACCGACAGAATCAGAACAGAACAAACTTGACTTCCACCCCAAACCAATTTGGCGTGGCGTCACGGTGTGGATCATCCTGCTAAGCATTAGGAATACGCTCGATTACTCTGCGTGGGTTCGCATCCCATGCAGGAATGGTAATGTGCAAGAGGATTGCTGGACTTCTTGCCGTCGTTGGGTGGTTCACGTAATCGCTGATCAGTTACGGCTTCCTCTACCACAAAGTCCATGCTGCCGAAAACAAATAATTAACTAATCCAATACCCGACATAGAATGGTAACTGGATGAGAGGCCGTGGTTCGCCGTTTGGTTAAGCTGTCTTAGCGGCTTTCCTCTCCCCTGGGATAAATAGGTAAGTCATAATTCTAAAACCATCCATTCTGTTCAAGACAATATAAGAGTGTCACATAATTTTATTTCAAGTCAAATTAAAGAATAGGCATCAAATATATAGCAGGAATATACATAAGTGGGAGCATTATTTCTAGGAGACGTAAAATTATTATAAACATACAAAGATATGAAAATTTACAAGAAATGAAGCAAATTACATTCACTAAACTAAAAAGAAAATTAACTTTTTAAAAGCAATTTCAAACGGGTGAAAATTATAAGCAGAGCCCTGATCAGACCAGGGTTGTGAAAGTATTCATTTGAAAGTGCAGTCTCATACATCATAACTCTGCGGCAAAGTGTATGTTAAATATTGGTTCTCCCAAAGTATGTGAACCAAGATGGCAGACACCGTAACATAGATAGGTGTACCATGTTAGGGTTAGGCCATAATTTTATTCCAACTTTCCTTATTTTAGTTCATACGAGTTCGGGGACTAGCCAAGTGACTCCCGTAGCATTTGTACCTGAAATTATGGCCAAACTCTAACCTGGTACACATACTATGTTCCGGTGTCTGCCATCTTGGTTCACATACTTCGGGAGTGCCAAATATTTTAATAAATGATATGTGAATATTTTTCAAAAATTTCACAATAGTCACTAAACATATAGGAAGCATTTTCTGGAAGGGACAGATGAAGAATCCAAGGGTCAGGTTGGGGCAGTGTCCAAAAAATTTACAAACACTGTCAATTTTTAGGGTGGTAGGACCAGAAAACATCTACTGATAACATCCCTAATTATCATTAACTATTCTTAAAAAAGCATAAATAAAAAAAAATTCTTTTCAGTGAAATAACGATTTATAGGTTGAGTTCTATCACCATGTAATGTAAGAGTAATTAAAACAAAACGTAAATTCGCTCTAATCAGAAAAGAAGAACATTAAGAAATCCTGTAATAAATTATATATCCCTATATCTATTAATTAATAAGCACAATGATAAATACAGAATTACATCTGAAACCACGATCACCTTGTAAAGGCACAAATTATAACGGAACATAAATATGAATTCTAAATAATAAGAAGTCGACACATAGTAGTGATTAATATGCATGTTTTTCAGAACCAAATTTCCCAAAAATGTACTCAAGACTTTGTAATGTACTCAAGGTACCGGTATATACTAGGACAGCGATTCTCAAACTTTGTTCAGCGGAACACTGCTGTTCGGTGAGCTTCTTCGAAGGAAATGAGACAGGCCACGTGCCAGTTCAATATCGTTAACAGTTGGCATAATGTTTTAATTGTCCAGAAGCCTCAAAAGATGTTGTGATAAGACGGTTGTGCAAGTTGATGTAAATCCATTACACAATTTTTTATTATCAGTTTTATGTTCTAATTTCTTGTATTCTGCGAGGCGAGATAAAAAGCGTAGGCACAGGCACAAAAAGTTTGAGAACCACCGTAATAGAAAAATCTTCTGCCAAGTTTCCGATGGAAGACCAATTACCAGTTTAGATTGCTATCATATTGATAGAATGATTAGGATAGAAAAAAATTGTCATTCACAAGAAGCTAAATCATTTGTAAATGTAAACCACCACAAATTATCATAATTTTTAATTTGCCCTAATCTAATTTACGCCTAATTTGCTCTGATTATTTCGTATTTTTTTAATGTTCAACACATTACGGCATTCTACACCTAAAAAAATAAAAAATTACCTGGAAGAAAAATTGTGAAAATGTCATGCGAAATTGGCAAAACTTTATAAAATGAGCCCCATTTATCCAGCAACGAGAGCCAAAGATTAACAAATTCTGAAAAAATTTCAAAAATAGGACATTTTAAGCTTGTGAACTAAAAAGGCGTGTATATGTAAACCATACCAATGTATGGTATCAGTCGCCATATAGACAGCAGGTTTGGAATAGGAGTTGATATATAATCCTAATAATCATTTGAATGACCTCTTTCATAGAGGCAATTAGACTGCCTTTCTTTAACTCTTGACTGGTGGATCTCTATACATTTAGGGCACATAAACAAAAGCATTGAGGTTCGAAAGTCTGGCTTCACATTTTTTTACTGAGGATAACTGAACATAGCTATTACAGAAATACAATCATATAAGCGCGAAAAATAACTTTTGAAGCTTTCTATGTGTGCCGCTTCAAAAAAGAGGCAAGCAGATATAATTGAAAGCAAAAATTACACATATTTATAAGTCAACAAAGTTTTAAAATTCCTATAAAGAAGTTTACACAAATTATTTAAATTTACATAATAAAAAAAATCTACACTTTTGTTACAAAAAAGACAAAAATTGGTAAAAAATGAAGCTTATGTCAGGGTGATACTAATTCTTTTATGATACAACAATTGTCATGTCATCTTGACCTTATTTGGTCAATCATAAGAGTTATTACAGTACGTAAACCAGTTGCCAGTTCTTCCTCAGTATATTTACGATTCAGGGGCGGAACATGGACGAAAGCTGACGCCCCTTTTTTCAAATGTAGAGAAGTATAGTAGATGTATTCACACAGATATCTGTGAAATATAATGTTAGTTTACTACAGGATACCGACGGCCGCGACGGAGCTCATTGGGAGTTGCAAGAGAATTTTTTTGACACAAACTAATGTTAAAACAAAATATCGAGCAAATTTGAAAGATTTAGCACCAGTACTGAGACCAACCATTACAGAAATAGAGCCAAGATTCCATCTTTTGTGTGAGAATATGAAAGCACATCAGTCTCATTACGAATAGGAATAGCAACTGTGACTGTCATGTCACAGCAAAACAGATTTTTCTGAATGCGACCCTTGCAAAAAAAATTTGCACTGTTTAGGGAACTCATTAATTAGAGATCTGAAAATCACAAAAACGAGATTTACTCAAAACCCCTGGAATGTGACATAAGTGCAGTTAGTTCCACACTTGATGAAACATTTGCCATCTTGGGTGGTTCACTAAACCGCCGGTCAGTGACGACTCCCTCCATAATCAAGTTCAAGTCCATGTCTCTGAAAACAAACAACTGGCTAACTAACTAATCCCATACCTGACATGAAATGGTAACCAGACGAGAGGCTGTGGTTCGCCATATGCTTAAGCCATCTTATCGGCTCTCCACGGGATAAATATGTAAATCTAATCCTAACTTGGCACTACAAACCTTCCTGCTTCTTTAGAAGTTTCGATCTCGATATCTGGGTTGATTTTCTTCGCTTCCTCTGCTATTTTTTTCATATCGAGGCTCGATTTCAGACAGGAATCCCCAGATTTCTTGCAACAACCATTACGAGGACATTTTCCACTGTTGTCTTGACTACAAAAATATAAAGCATGATGTACCGGCATTCGTTTGGAGTCTAGAGCAAGGGTGGGCAAGGTGTTTGGACCAGGGACCAACAATTTTGTCCACCTAGACTGGCAGGCCATGTAAGTGTGACGTAAAAAAATACATTATATGAACAATATTTTTACTGTTACCAAAGCAATAGTGGAAAACAATAGGCCTCATGCCAAAACTGAATATAATCGCAAGCTTAACAAATTCATTTTTTTTTTTTTTTTTTTTTTAGCTAAAATATCAAAATTTTTTTTTTTTTGGCTAAAATATCAAAATTTGGTTTTAGTCCGGTTGTGTCAAAATCAGGCGGGCCGGATTTGATCCCCGGGTCGTAGTTTGTCTATGTTAAGTCTAGAACAGAGCTGTGGAGTAGGAGCTGAACTGTATTTTCCAACTGCACAGTCGAGAGTCTGCATCAAAATTTTGGAATTTCCTGAAGTAGGTAGTCCGAATGTATTGCATTCAGTGGTGAAATACAACTTAAAATTCATTACAGAAACTAAAAAAAGCTAACTTTACTAGGCAGTATCGAAAGTAATTAAATGGGGCTTGCATGCGCTAAAGTTTTAGATATAAAAATTCGATTGTCTCGGTGTTCAGGGCTCTAAAATACTCAACTGGATACTGGATATTTGAATCACTCATTTAGACTATTTCAATTTATCACAAAGTCAATGTAAATACAAATTGATTACGTTGCATATGTCGTATTCTTCGCACACTCTTCTAAGGTAATAGACTTTGCTCTACCAGACACACCTACATGAACCATGAGCTGAAAAAATTAGAGTAAATTGAGTTATATGCTGAAAATATTTCATAAAAATGAAGACTACACAACCATCACGGTGTGACCATTGGCACATTGTCTCAAGCATTAGGGACAGACTCGAAATCATGATACTGAATGCCTTGCTCCACGTTTTAATTTTATTAAATCACGCGACTGTACCAGGTCACATATACACATGTAGTGTTTTTTTTCATAATATTACAAATATAGTTTTCTCCTTTTTTTTAACATGTTCAGTTAGACTTTTTTATCGGGTGCTGCTGTTCGATAACCAGTATTTGTTTCCGCATTTCCCATCACACTGAAATGCAATTTCTTTATAATTTATTGTGATTTGTCGTGAGTGCTTTTCAGCATGGTGAAACAACCAACTATCGATTACCCATTGCGCAGATTTGCAGCGAAAAGGACATGTGAAAAAAATTGCTAGACTCCTCTCTGTGACAAGGTGGTTCACTAAATTTATGAAAAAACACAACTTCCATCAGTACAAATGCCCATGTATCTGGTACAATGAACTGGTTAGCTATTTCCATATTCGACCCAGATGCGGTTCGTCATATGACGAAGCCATTGGCTTTGGCCTCCCCTGAGAGAAATATTAAATGTTGATTGAGGAAACGCTCATGGTAAACAAGCATCCATTGACAAGTAAAGAGTAACAACTTTTAGAGGGAATTAGAATTGCAATTAAAAAAAAATTAGATGTAGCAACGCTCTATCCACGACGCCAGCGGTTCCCAACTGGGGCTCATGTTCCCCCAAGCGGGCCCCAGAGCAGTTGGAATGGGGTCACAATCTTAGACGCAAAACTTATTTCACTCCTTCAAAACTCTTTTTCTTCCTAGTTTCATTGCTTGACAAGGTTATTTCACAGGGTGTTTTCACTTTGCTGAGCATGAATTGTTTGAACATGATGGGATTTGGAATCTACCAATCAAAATAACACTATGTAAATGGTACTAGAATGATAAACAGGGGGCCATGAGTACTGAAAGCCTCCTGAAGGAGGCCACGAGCCATAAAATGTTGGGAACCACTGCATTACGTCATCATGCCCAATACTTTTACTGTACCTGAGGTTTGTGTTGCTTCCATAGTTTAGGAACGACCTGATCCACTGTTCCGTACTCTACTTCAATATGAACAATCTCAAGTTCTATGTCCGACCCAAGACCACCAGTTTCCTTCATTTTCTGTACAAAAATTGTCAAATTTTAGTTGAGTTTTCTCAAAGCAAGTTCCAGAAATTCATGTGGAGAGAGTACTGTTAGAAGATTTGCAAAGATGAGTCTTTGAGATTATATTTTTGAGTTTCCTCAAAGCAAAGTCACATGCACTCACTCGGAGGCAAAATTTTGCTCGAGCACAGTACTGTATTATTCCTGTTTTAAACACACACAACATATGCTGCATGTAACTGGTTTAGGGCATGATATCAAATTCACTAAACATCAAACACGGAGACTTCTCGCGACGTGGCGATTGACCGACTGATCGTGATCGTCGCGTGGCAAACCCTGGTCTATACTGAATAACTCTTGTATTTTGTATATTTTTTATAGTGTCACAATCCTAAATTTCGATTCATTTTAATCATACTGTGCCAAAAAAAGAACTAATCAATACTATGGGCTATGTTGGTTCCCGTACATTTGAACCCACGACAATTGCACCTGCATACTATTGCAGCTATGAAAATTTTTTTTTGTTTTACGGATATATGAACCCATACTAACCCATGGATTTAGCACCCGCATATAGATTGAACCCGCGGATATACACATGGGTTCAAATGTGTGGTCACCGTCTATGTTATTGCTGAGAACGATTAATATAAGCTAATGAACAAGAACAATTCATTTACAACTAAATACTTTGGAATGATTTTCATCATAATGAGCGTTAGTCTCAGGACTAGTAATGTATAGGACCTTGCTATACATTGTGAAATATAAAAACCTTTTTCCCATAAAATTAGAATAAATGAAGTACTGGTACTCGCTTTTCATTTCGTAGGAAAACCTGACTCATTAAATAACGTAATTCAAGACTTTATTTCAAATTTTCACTCGACTTTCTTATATATAATATAAGCATATTAAATGTTAATGAAAATAGGGATATGGTCTCAATCACCATTTGAATTGCTTCCTACATGAAGGGCTAGTGGAATGCCATACAGACAGATGATTTTTGTGACAGTCACACAAGATTTGTAAATCATCGCACACAAACACCAAACAATATAAGTCTCCTTTGAGGAGGGATGTCATTAGCAGTTGACAAGAGGCAATTCAATGCCATAAAAAACAACAAACCTGGTTAAGATATATTGAGAACTGACTTCATAACAAAATTGAAATTGTAAAGGGACTTTATGAACGTCCTGTTTCAGTAGCTCAGTCCTAACATTTCAGTGGTCGTATGTAACTTCATCAAAGATGAGTCAGTCTTGCTTCTGATTAAGCGCACATGACAATGCTTTAAGAAAGGGGTGGGCAATTCAGTTAAACATATTAGACTTGGTTACTGGGCAGGGAAATCAAAACTCGATATGAAAAACTATGAATACAACTAGGCTAACGCTCACATAACAAGAAAGCAATGCTCAAATATATGGACACCTAGCGCCACCCAGTGGGAATAATTTTGATGACGTCATAGCAACAAAAAAAAGTAATAGCCTTCTGGAGAAAAATTTTATCTTCAACCACTGAGTTGGTCCAGTATTCGAAGAGAAAAGCGATTTCCTCAAAACGTGTCGAAGAACAAGAACACTAAGAACAACAACATAATATTGAAAAAATCGCTATGTCCACTACGTGTCCAATAAAGAGAAACGCAATGTACAGTAGCAATCAGAGTTATTTTTTTATTGATATTTTAATTGAAAATATATATCCATAAAACTAGTGTCATATTTTCACCAGGCACAGGTGAATCGGATCCAGCCCATAGGCCATAATTTGCAAGTGCAGTTTTAAGTATTCTGTGGCGTCTGCAGCTGCCGCAAAACCATGACGGTATTTCCATACCATGGCCTCTACGGCCAAATCTTTGGCGACTGACTTTTTAGCTGCCACAAACCAATGTCGAGCTGCCGTTACCGCGACAGCAAACTGAAAACCAATAGCAGGTAAAATTTTGCTGCCATAACCGCGGCAGGTGGGCCGTAAAGACAGGGCTGTCCCTTATGGTGACAAATATTGGGTAAGTTAGAACGTTTTTCTTATGGATACAGTTTTGATGGATTTGGGGTTAGGGTTTAAGTAGATATAATTCCACATGATCAATTAAAATCTGGTACATTAATTTGTGAATATACCGTTAATACTGATTAGGCTACTGAATAGCGCTATAAAACCATGGCAAGAGCTGCCGCGGTTCGTTCGTGGCAGGAGCTGCCATGAAGTGGTAAGAACCGCGCCTCATAATTTGACTGCCTCTCCTTCAAGCAAACATTTGAAAAAATAAACACAAACTGAGATATTAAAATTCTTGAATCCTCCAAAATACAGACCTGCACAGTCACCCAGCTTGCATTGACTTTATGGTCGCGAAACGGTCCAAACCCTGTGACGACAACTTTGAATGGAGGAGCCATGACAATTTGCAGCAACTACTCACAGATTATTATACTACTGCGGCCTAGCACTACAACGCTTCAATGAAGAAGTATAAATAACACTATATGGCTGAAAAAATATTGATCCACATATTAGTATAAATTTGCTCGAACATCGCAAAAAATATAGAAACATGGGGACATTTTTATGTTTTTACCCACCTTCTTGCTTCGAATAAGACCCAAACAAGCAATGTATTTAGATGTAGGAAGTGGTGGGATTCAAATTTTTGTCAGTCGATTCGTCCACAAAAGTTATATTTTTCAGCTGATTCGGTTACAAACAGAACATTGACAGTAACCAGTAATGGTACTGGTAATAACGGTTCGCTGATCTCATAAAATTCTGTGAGACTGTTCTATGGAACCGGTGCTAACCGGCTGAATCCCACCACTGGATGTAGGCCTATAAGATTTTTGAAAATGAAATAAGAGAACTTTACGATATAGTAATACATTTTTTTTTGCATTTATTCATCTTTTAGCGTAGAATAAAACTTTCAGTAAAAGCACTCGTATACATAGGATAGGATTTATCCCGAGGGTAAGCCTATAAGACAGCTTAATCATATGGCGAACCATGCCCTCTCGTCCGGTTACCAGTCCATGTCGGGTATAGGATTAGTTAGCCAGTTATTTGTTTTCAGATAAATGGACTTGATGGTGGAGGAAGCCGCGACCAACCAGCGGTTACTTGAACCACCCTACGCTTTCCCACAATGAAAACTTTCCTATGTAAAACTTTATAGAAGCAAATTTCTGAGTAGTGGGATTTAAAAAAAAAATAACAGGTCTCCAGTTTGACAGTACTGGTTCCCTGATATTCTGAGTCGGTATATTCCCCATCAAACCACTTGAAGATTCTAATCAATACTGGTAGCTTTTGACAGATCATATTCCATATATTTATCTCCCATATCCAGGTTTCCACCTGCAGTTTTCGAGAGGAATATTTTGCCAAGCAAAAACTGTTTGTACATTACCACTGGCTTAATTGAACAGTTCACAATTCTCAGGCAAATTATCAATGTCCAAATCTAGTGCGGGCAAAAAAATCTTTAAGTTTTAATAATACAAGGCAAACAAATCTAGTAGGTATTGAATTATATTTGAAAAATAAACATATATTAGCATAAACCCTCGGATCTGAACTTGCGGAATCCCTGAACTGTACTGAACATAACCCTAGGTGCCATGGAACCCCGATTGAAAACCTCTAGTCTGGTCAACTTGACACAACCTCCCTCCCTCCCCAACTCAGCTACATTACCGATAGTACCAACTACATGGACTAAATACCGTTCCTCAGAACTAACCATATTTTACTCCGATAGCATAAGCCAATCAGATGAACAATTTTATTTTGAAGATAGCCATGGCACAAAAAATTACAACACATAATGCAAATACATATGACAGAAGCTTTTGAATATATTGAACATCAAGATATTAACAAATATGGGCTTTCAGATGTTATAAAACAATATAAAACATAGTTTATTTTATATTCTGATTCAAAACCTTCTTCTCACAAACAAGATACTAGATTGTGAAATTTGCAAGAAAATAAAACAGCATCAAATACAAACAATATGACATTAATACGGTCTATCTACTCAACTTTAATAACGATATAATCACAAGGTCAAGTCAAGCTTTGGCAAGATATTTCTGATCATTCATGCCTTAGTGACCAGGCCCAATAAATATTCAATAAAAATTGTTCAACAGTAAAAAAAAATTCAAAATATAGTGTGCACAAGTATTTCCTAAAGCTTAATAATAAGAAAACAATTTCTAAAAGTTTATTATAAAAAAAAATTACAAAAATCATGAATCATTATTCAGTCGTTTTTCACGAAGTTCTTCAATGTAATCATGAACAAAGATTCCACCTAAAAGTGCAATAAAAGTAAAACTTTGTGCTAAGACTCTTCCTCGCATCATTTTTTGAGATATTACGGGATCTTCCATATTTAAAAGTCCTTTAACTAAGTAATACATAGTCCATGACAGTCCCACTGGCAGAAGCGGATTCTTCTTTACTTTATGCCACATGCATTCCGAATAGGACTCCGATTGTTGGGCTTCTCCTGTAAATGGGTCAGAAGGTCTCTGATTCCTTCGAGACATTCTCTAATTAATTTGTCTTCAAAAATTGTGACTAATTGCGTTGCAACTCTGGAAGTCAGGAAGTGGATTTTATTTTGTCATGCCTGCATGCAGTTCTGCAGTTCTTTGAAGCTGACCGTCAAGGAATCCCAGTCTCGCAACGAAAAGCTGCAAGAAGTTGCTATAGAAAGTGGATGCAGTTATACTAACAGCTTTATATATCTGTATCTGTGTATATAGACTGTATATTCCAGTTGTCAACCTCAATTTTTCTTGCAATCTTGAGAAGTGGTCCTTAATTTGAAATCTTCAATGCCACACTCAATTCTGTTATTTTATTCAAAATAACTTGAAACCGCCTGATCAGACTAATCTACTTTTCTGCCAGTATGAGCGTTCTTAATCTGGCGATCTGCCCACATTCAGACGTCGATATTGCAGTATTATGTAACGCTGAACCGTCTGACCGTCAAAACCCGTAACCTGGTAACGGCGCAAATTATTCCCAATGTAAGAATGTTACTTCAAACACGCAGATAGTGTGAAGCGCTAATTACTGTAGACGAAAGGTGTGAAGGCATCATAACTATAGTCAGATTGTACTGGTACGCGCTATTTACAGTGTGAACAACAAATACCTAAAGCTACTGTGGAAATGCAGAAATAAGGTCAGTCTGTGCTGTCTAACAAAAGCTGACCACTTGCAAGCTAAACAAAGACAGAAATATCCAGACTTATTTCACAGTTCTGTGATATTTAGGCTACTAAATGCAAAAATTGTCTACATTGTCAAAATTGCTTCTTTTTAAAATAGCAAAGCTGATTTATGACCGGAAGAAATGTTACGAAATCTCGAAATTTACACAAAAGTGACAATAAACAGCTGATCTTAAATCTGCGTGAAATTACGATGCAAAATATCTACCATCCTCATACAAATTTCTCGAAAAAAATAATGTGTAGTAAGATAGCAAGGTAGCAACGTACAATTGGAATATTCTGAAAAAACATTTGATGCCATTGGGCAATTCTTTTTTTTAAAGATCATTCCGGTTTGTCAGTATTGAGTTTGCTTTTATATATATTAAGGACTTATATACAATTATAAGGACTTATAAGCAATTATATACAATGAAAGACAAGAGAGCTATGCTCAAATATATGGACACATAGAGTCACATAATTTTGATGACGTCATAGCGAAAAAAAAAGTAATAGCCTTCTGGAAAATTTTTTTAGCTTTAACCACTGAAAATTTCAAAGCAATTGGTCCAGTATTCGAAGAGAAAAGCGATTTCTTCAAAACGTGTTGACGGAGACAAATAATAATAACAACAAAATTTTAAAACGATCGTTATGTCCACTACGTGTCCAATAATCGAACCTCGCACCTGTCCTGAACTACAACAAAGATATACAAACACTTGCTTGAGCAGTTTTATTTCATCTTTATAACCTACAAATGTCTCATTTGGGTTCTGGTTTACCTAAAAAGATGCAGACCACTGCCTATCATTAGATCTCATCGCATCATTGATTGAGCTCAAGTTCCGTAAGCTAAATTTTCTTGTACCAAGTTAATAAGCCATAAATGTTCAAAGCCAGTTGCATATGCGTGGTTAGGGCTCCGTGCACTCATCCCCCTATATTAACATATTTTCAATGGTTCCATTTTATTTGAACCCACGACGATTGCACCTGCACACTATTGCACCTATGAAAATTTTTGTTGTTTTACGGATATTTGAACCCATACTAACCCTAACCCATGGGTTTAGCACCCGCATATAGATTGACCTCACGAATATACACATGGGTTCAAATGTACGGTCACCATTTTCAATTTTAATCTTTAACAGCGATTTGATACTGATAACTTGACGTTGACTCACTGATAACTTGACGTTTTTTTGATTTACTTTTAACAAACCTTCCTCCCCATGAACCAACGTAGATAGATGAAAATGTTGGCTCATATAGATTTGATTACTTCGACAGCGAAGCGAGTCATTGGAAAAATTCTTAGAGATATTGCTAGATATCAGTGGCTGTCCTTATCTGGCCTTCTTTCTGGAGTAGAAGGCACGGGTAAGTGTCCTGTTAAGTCATACAAAAAAAATAACTTCACCCCCAAATTTCAGGATCGGCTACACTCTTGGATAGGAGTTTCGAAGGACCTCCTGAAGTATGCGCACCAAGATGGCGCACAACCTGTACTCAGGTTGTGTACCATGTTAGGATTCAGGTTATGCGACATCTTGCGTATACTTCAGGAGTACCGTTTCAAAGTTAACAGCTCCAATTTATCCTTTCCTATGAAACTATCTTCAGTTAAATCAACTCAAACTGGACATCATCAAGCATATTCAATGAATTTACGATTTATTAAATCAAAATTAAACACAGAACTAAATATCTGATTGCATAAAACAACACACATAATAGTATAAGGATGGGAAATGACAGTGAAAAACTAATTCCAAAAGCCTGAAAAGGTATTTGAATGAGAAATACAGTAGCACATTTATTTTCAATAACCAGTCCAGGATTAAAATTAGTAAAGCAACGCAAGGTGGGTACTGGAAGTAGGTTTGTATGCCCAAATTAAATGTAATCAATGAATGGATGTGATTGGTGAACGAGGCTTTAACCAGCCAAAGCCTGACAAAAGTTTCATAATATGGTTTCAAAAGTTATTTCCTGATCAGAAACAGTAAGTGCTGTAACATTTGAAGGGGACTCTTGATAATAAAATTAAAATAGATAAAATGCAAGAAAATATAGGCAGAATAAACGAGTAATATGTTGAAAAAAATTCACAGAAAAACAATTGTAGCAGTGCAAAGATGGGTAATCTCAATCAAAAAGCAAATTCAATAAGTACTGAAATTCATCAAATCTAATTCACTGCATAATGGCCTTAACATTGTCAGAGACAACTCCCTTACAAGTAGGGCCGGGCATTTAGAATTGGTTCAAATGGAAATTTCGAATCGCCGCCATCTTGTTTTTTGATATATGACTCTTTTCTTTCTTGTGTGTTATTGATGAAACATGTTTTCTGTTGTGTATGAATGCTCAGCAAACTGTCAGAGTGATGGATTCTATGTTTTCAGTAATTTATGTGCTTGAAGGACCCATCACAATGAAAAAGTCACATACATTTGAATATAACGGTATGAGGATATATAGAGCATCCTGGTTTACACCTTCTGATACATAGGACGGTGAAATATTCTTTAGAACAAGAATTCTAGATGAAAATGCATAAAATATAAGTAATGAAGATCTAACATTAAATCAAGAATCAATACTCTTGAAGTCATGTATGATTTGTACTGGTAGAGAAAATAAGCCTTGAAGCATAATTATGGATGTTTTCCTGAGTAACAATTTCCTTGTTTATTACTGTTACAATGACCAATCAGCGAAAGGTAATCAATGATGCAACAATGGCAATTTTTGCAGTCGCTCAGACAGATATTCAAGCATGTTTGTAAACATTGCCTCTTTTTCGTGGTTTTGAGTGTTATTTATCAGATTTCAGTTGCGTTTTCTAAAATTAGTTGTAAATGAAGTAGTTTAATTGTCACTTGTGCTAATCAAAAATGAGTCCCGGAAAAGCTGCGACAGATTATGCAAAAACTAGCTATCAGTAACCGTTATTAGAAGCACCTGGTTGTAAATTTTGATAAAAATGATGGTTTTGATCATGTAACCTAGTTATGTAAGTTCCAATTCTACAAAAAAAATCGCAAAATAGGCATCCAAAATTGTTCTATGGTAAAGTATAGGGAGAACTTCTATGAGGACAAGAGTCGGTGAAACATCCATTGAATACTCCAATTTAAAGAAGCATTTGTGATTATAAAAATGCGTAACAGATGGGGTATACAGATCCAGGGAATTTTCTTTCTTTAAAAATTTCACCCATTGCAAAATTTCCTACATTTAATATTCAACCCAGACTAAATTCAATCATAACCCCAATGAAAAGGCTTTCTGACATAGATTCTTTGTGTGTCATATTTTTAGACTTCCAGTCTGAAATCTTACAGATGTCGTAAACGCAACACAAATTCAGACATTCTCTTGGTTAATAGAACATATAGGAAATGAAATTAATAAATCCTTTATAATATAAAATAGTCATGATATAAATAAAACACAAAAATTACCAGAATTATGTGTAAATATGTACTAAAAGAAAATTTAAATAGGCAAAAATATACATTCGTCGTGGTTTATTACAGTAGTGTGTACTAACCACTGCTCAATACCATCTGTCGTTATGTTAATGAATCTGCCTCTCTGCCCGTCTGCATTTATGTTAGTGAGTTGATACCAGGGGCGTGCCATGAATTTTTAAAGTGGGGTTAGGCTGTAGTAGCTGGCGCATGGGTTCTCAACCTGGGGTTCGCGTTCGCCCAGGGGTTCATGAGAAGATTTCTAGGGGTACTTGGATGACAGTCGAGTTTTCGTGTGTTGCTTTTTTTCAATATCCTTCAATACTGGGGATTCACGTTGATTGTTTCGTGACTCGGGGGGTTCGTGTTGATTGTTTCGTGACTCGGGGGGTTCGCGTTGATTGTTTCGTGACTCGGGGGGTTCGCGTTGATTGTTTCGTGACTCTGGGGGTTCGCGTTGATTGTTTCGTGACTCCGGGGGTTCGCGTTGATTGTTTCGTGACTCGGGGGGTTCGCGTTGATTGTTTCGTGACTCGGGGGGTTCGCGTTGATTGTTTCGTGACTCTGGGGGTTCGCGTTGATTGTTTCGTGACTCCAGGGGTTCGCGTTGATTGTTTCGTGACTCGGGGGGGTTCGCGTTGATTGTTTCGTGACTCGGGGGTTCGCGTTGATTGTTTCGTGACTCGGGGGGTTCGCGTTGATTGTTTCGTGACTCGGAAGGGGGGGTACTTAACAGAGAAAAGATTGAGAATCTCTAAGATAGCGGGTCGATCCGGAAAACATCGGTTTTTAAGAGTCTTGAGACCTTGATCGTCTAAAAAGCATTTTGAGCTCCAAAAATTCCTATGTATGATCCAGAAAAATGATTTTTTCTTTACCATTTCAAAAGGGGGGGGGGGGGGTCATCTCAACCACTCGCCTGGCTATGCCCCTGAATGATATTATACCAAGAATCAGAACAGCTATATAGAGTTGTTAATGTTCAGGAAGAAAACAGTGGTGTTCAAAATCAAATTTTTACCAAAGAAGCTTGAAACTAGAGCTAGATTATCTCTAATCAGCAAAGAGTCAAAGCTCAAAGTTGCTTGGGAATAGAATTGAATTTTTTGTTATCAGTGGATTCGTGCACAAGCTTCGTTCGAAATGAAGAAGTGAAAATGCAAATGTACAACAGTTATGAAAGAGGTGTCTCGAGTCGAAAATACATAGTATTATTGCTTATTAGAACAAGCATGATTGGCAATGGAAAACAGTATGCATCTGTGAAACGAATAATATTTTCACATTTACCCAGGAGAGGGGAAAACTGATAAGACGGCTAAATTATATGGCAAACCACGGCCTCTCGTCCAGTTACCAGTCCATGTTGGGGTCAGGATTAGTGTGATCATGCTCATAGGAGAGAATATAATACATTTCACTGGCTGTATAATCAATGCTGGTCAACAGCGTTCTTTATAATATTTATTTGTTTTCACAGTATTTAGTCTACAGTTGAGTTTTCCATTATCACAGATCATAGTTCTAAGTTGAAAGGTCAATTTTTTAACGAGGAAGTAAGTAAAGTTCCTCGTTTCCCTGAAGAACGCTTCTTTGATGAATTATTTCGATGGCCAGGAAGCCCAAAACAACCTTTCTTCATTGCAATCTGAATATAAGAAGTGTAAGATTACCAAATTAGAGAAAAATGCTACATGGACATGAACGTCCCAATAACTATCGGGCAGTGATTCCAACCTTTTAGCACTTATGGCCCTTCAGTTTATCATTCCAGTGGTATTTATAGCGTTCTTTTGATTGGTAGATTCCAAATCCCATTATGTTCAAACAATTCATGCTCAACAAAGTGAAAACACCCTGTGAAACAACCTTGTCAAGCTACGAAACTAGGTAGAACAGGGTTTTCACTGAACTAGGAGCTCTCATGAAAAGTGGAAGATAAAATCAGTTTGCGCCTAGCATACCGCTCAGCGGACCCTTTGGAGAGCTCTGACCCCAAGTTGGGAACCACTGCTATACGATGTCATAGCTCGATCACCTCGGTGCAGTGTTCTCGAACTCTTTGATTAATGATTTTCTTGCAATTTACCATTTTGTTCCATTTTGCGAATTGGATAAGATAGATTAGATTAACATATTTATCCCGGAGAGAGGAAAGCCTATTTCACGGCTTAACCATATGGCGAACCACGGCCTCTCGTCCGGTTACCATGCTATGTCGGGTATGGGATTAGTTAGATATTTGTTTTTTTCCGATACATGGACTTGATGGTGGAGAAAGCGTAACTGCAGCGGCGAGGAGTCCAGCAATACTCTCGCACATAACCACCCCGCATGGGATTCGAACCTGCAAACCCACGCAGAGTAATTAGAGGTGCGGTGGCAAGCGTATTCCTAACGCTTAGCACGATGAGCCACACCGCCGCGCCGGATGTTTCATTTGAACCATGGTGCAGCGATCGCAGCAGTATTTCCCAACCTATGGGTCGTGACCCAAACTGGGTGGCATGAAAATTTTCTTGAGTTGCTTGTTAAGTTACTGCTTTTATTATCTACTAAATGGTATTGTTTATTTTATATTTTTGTTGAAGTGTCGTACAACAGTAATTGCATATGTGAGAGATATAGCAACATAAAACTTGGAATCTGCTGTTTTTAGACAGGTGCGCAACCTTTATCACAGGAGGGCCAGATACAAGTAACTAGGTGAAGCCTCTTTCCGCACTTTCTATTTAGGTTAGCCCTGTTAGTAGTGGTGCTATTGATCTTCCGGCATTGATAGGGGTCCTTAGAGAAATGGTGACTTAAAACGCATAAATTTCTAAAGAAAACCACTATTCAAATTTATAGTAACACCGACTTTAAACGAATTCGGTGAGAAACACGTTTTTATAACATTGAGTATTATACAAAATGTTTTTGCTAGCTAGTTTTTGCTAATATGACAGTGGCACTCAGGTACTGGGATGGGCTTTGCGACGCAAAGAGATTGGAATTGTTCTAAAAACTTATTTCACGGGCACACCATTCAAAATTGGCACTTCTCAGCGGACCGCACAACTTCTCCTTGCAGGCCGCATTTGGCTCGCGGGTCGCAGTTTGCACATCCCTGAGTTAAGGCATTAGGATAACATACCCCTCTATTCAAATTGCTTCAAAATCAACTTCTCACCTGAGCATTATACTTTGCCGGTTTCAAAGTTTGCTTTATCTCTCTGAGATGAACTGAGTATCCATCGGATAACCACTGGAATGAAATGAACAATATTGAGTTAGGATACTATATCATACAGCAGTGGTTCTCAATCTTTTACTCTGCCTGCGTACCACCGACAAAGCCTCCTTTTTCGGGGTGGAGAACAATGGAAACAAGCTATGGAAGTGTTTTATATTGTGACACGCCATCCTTTGGACCGTAACACACAAAACAGACGAGGGAGTTCTCTGAACACAAGGACTGGTAGCACTATAAACTCCTCTCAGCGAAAACAAAAAAGCGTTACCAACATATTTTATCCAACTTAAAAGGTAATTGTTGCAATAATTCAAAGCTGCTCGACCCTCAGGCGCCCTGGCTTCGCCTATGTATAGTTAGACATCAATGAATGCTTTGTTCGAAGAGAAAGGTTTTCCATATGGAAAAACGAAGGAAAAAGGAGAAATAACTTACTGTGCATTGTGTAATCTGTTTCTTAGACGCTTTGCCAATGATATAAATCTGTTCATTAGTCAGCCCAAGTTGTGAATACACTGTTATATCTTTGTTTGACCCATATCCACCTACATAGTTGAGTTTGCACTGAAAATAAGACAAATTTGGTTAAAAAATCTAATTTGGGTTTTGCTTCAATTTCGAAAGGCAAAAAGTCATAGATTTTTCATGTTTGGCTCCTTTGTATATTAAAAAACAGAAAATAAATGATTGCAGCGAGAAGGCTTTTAGGTTATTTGTTGGGGCATTCCCACCTCTTTCATTGAGCTGGGTAGAGCTGATCAACTGTACGGAGTGCTCACTTAACTATAGGAACAATTAACTCAAGTATGCAATTAAACGAGTAGGGCAGTGGTTTCCAACCTTGTATAGCTCGTTGCCTCCTTCAGGAGGCTTTTAGCACTCGTAGCCTCGTTTATCATTTCAGTTGTATTTATATTGCTACTTCGATTGGTAGATTTCAAATCCCATTATGTTCAAACAATTCATGATTAACAAAGTGAAAAAATTCTGTGAAATAACCTTATCAAGCAATGAAGCTAGAAAGAACGAGGTGATTTCTTGTGAAGAGTGAAATAAAATAAGATTTGCTTCTAGCATTTAGCTACAGAAATCGAGTTTGGAACCGCTTGAGTAGGGGATTTGGAATCGCTTGAGTAGGGGATGCTGTAAAGAAAATGCGTATCCTTTCAAAAATAATGAATTAGCTTCTACAGAGCCAAAGTGAAGACAGCATATGTTAGCAGCTTTTGAGATAATTCGAACAATTTTCTTATTTATTCGAAACAACAAATTCTTATTTCAGGTCGAATCTAACTGTAATTGGCAAGACAAAAAAATAATTTCTGTATCAAGAAATGAAACTGGAGAGAACGAGGGAGTTTTCTTGTCACGTGAAAAGTAAAATCAGTTTTGCATCTAGCATACAAATCCCATTTTATACCCATTATGCCCAAATAATTCATGCTCAACAAAGTGAAAACACCCTGTGAAATAACCTTATCAAGCAATAGAATTATGAAGAACCCGATTCATAACTGATATTATCCAGTTTAGGGATTTAAAGTTATTACACCACTCAGTGAGAAGATACACAGATGATAAAATTTCATAGAAACCATAAAAGAAAACTTTCAAACTAACCTCGGTTTGAAGGTGTTTCAATAAATTAGTTTTCTGTTTCATCGGATCATGCACCAGACCATCGGAAAACCAGACAGGACCATGAGGGAAGTTATGATGTGCCAACCACGTCACAACACGATGCTTCTGCATGTCTGGTCGAGCTGTTACATAGATGATCAAATAGCCGAGCTCCTGCCAATGCCTGAAAAATTTAAGTAATTTTAATTTTATGGTGTTATTTAGATTGGTAGATTTCAAAAACAATTATGTTTAAACAATTCATTCTCAACAAAGTGGAAATACCTTGTGAAATAACCTTAACAAGCAATAAAACTAGGAAGAGAGGGAGTTTCTTGGAAGCAAAAAGTAAAATCAGTATTGAGCCAAGCGTTGTGGCCCCTGGTTGAGACCACTAATCTAATCTATATAATCCATTTATTCATACCCAATAACATCCAGTTTGGGGTTACCAGATTATTACACCCAGCAGCGGGATTCAGGCAGTTCGCACTGGTCCTATAGAACCGTCTCACAAAATTTTATGAGATAAGTGAACCGGTTAGCTTCACATGACTTTTTGTAATAGAACCGCCTGAAAATATGACATTTGTATGATGGAACCGGCGGACAAAAAATTTGAATCCCACCACTGATTACACCCCTCAGTGAGACCAAACACGTAGAATAAAAATTTGTAGCAAACAGAAATGGAAGAGCAAATCACCGAGCAGAAGCTGCATTACTAAAAGATAGTACAAGACTCAATTACCTTACAATATCCACAGACCCAGGTCTTACTTTAGGATCGGATCCCATGATGGAAACACTCGCTGCAAACGAGCCATCAATACTGAAGATAACACAGTCAGTGTGCGGTGGAAGAACAGCTAGATAACTATCTGCAATGGTCAAGTCTCCCCTGAATGGAAAAATGTCATATTTTTAAAATTACTGTAGTGAAAGTGTGGTGACTGGGAAATTGTTAACAGAGTGATTATTTGATGTTACGTGTGGCTGGAGATTACTAGATAACTGTCTACAATGGTCAAGTCTCCCCTGAATGGAAAAAATGTCATAGAGTGATTATTTGAAAGTATGGTGTAACTTCTAGATAACTGTCTACAATAGTCAAGTTTGCCCTGAATGGAAGGATATAATACTGTAAAACAACATTATTTCTGACATTATTTTTTAAAGATGACAAAAGAGTGAGTGATAATAACTTTATCAGTTTTGGCAATATCTGAAAGTAACTAATCACGATTGAAGCTCTTTTCAAAAGGAACATAATATACCCAGAATGCCTATGGGCAATGGTTTCTGCCTATTATAGGAGTATTTCATTACCACCAAAAGTCTAGCTTGAAGGCTTCCAGAGCATGGATTTCCTTGTTTATTTCCATAACAATGATCAATCAGCTATAACATAATGGTGACACAACATATAGAGATTTTATCAGTTTCCAAAATTTTTTACTTGGGCAGATTTTCAGGGCATGATTGTAAACATTGACATGTTTTGAGTATTTGGAGTTGTATTTGAGTATTTGTTGTTTTAACTGACATTAGTTTTTAGTTTACAGGACTACTCAGTACTGACCTCACAACCATCTTTACTGGAAATATACCGAGAGGCAAACGTTTATCATTTGCAACTGAGCAGGTGATCTTTCCATGAGAATCTGTAACTTCTGTTGCAATCAGCGACCATTCTTGGGATGAATTCTGAAAAAGCAATTTACGTTATATAGATTGGGACAGTGCTTCTCAACCGGTGATTCGCGGCCCACTGATGGACTGCCAAGCATCCCATGATGGGCCGAGAACTTGTTGCCAAATTATTCATATTTTTCTATATTTTGTGTTAGAATTAGAAATATTTCGATGGGATAGTAATTCTTTTCTCATGAGGATCCCAATTGATTCATACCCAGACCTATTTAGGCCTCTGAAAAAAAAGTTAATAAAGGTTGTCCGCTAAGTAGAACTCTCTGTAAGAGTGGGCCGCAATATAAAAAAGGGGTGCTCCCGAAGTATGCGAACCAAGATGGCGTACATCGAAACGTAACATGGGTAACAGGTTAGGGTTAGGCGATAATTTTTTTCAAATTTTCCTTATTTTAGTCCTATTATCAGTTCGAAGACTAGTCAAAAGCCTCCCGTAGTATTTATACCTAAAATTATGGCCTAACCTAGTACACATATTACATTCCGATGTCCGCCATCTTGGTTCGCATACTTCGAGAGCCGCAAAAAAGGATTAGAAACACTGAATTAGCAGGGTTTTCACAAAGTCCAGTGTTAAATTAGGTAGAAGAAGTTCGATGTGTTTTGTGCAACCAATGGTGGACATACAAAGAGTGTGTAAAAACATAATAGACACTCATTAAACAAACCTGTTTAAGATATACTGGGAACTGACTTCATAACAAAATTGAAATTGTAAGGGAATTTCATGAACACCCCATGTATATTACATATGCTTTACTGGGAAAGAATTTATTTTTCAGACTTTTGATTCGAAACACAATCATTAAGTTGGTGCAAAACATAAACCTCACGATTTTGAGAGGAGAAGCACTCTTGCATAACAATGTTGACTTAACAGGGTCGCAGAAAAGAAAATAATAATATAATAACGAGAATATCAGTCAGAGACTGAAGACTTATCGATCGAAAGTTAGGGGATCCCCCAAAACAGCGCTCTTACTCCATAGTGACACCTTGTGTCCCATCACTAATTAATTAATAACTCTCTAATTATACGACATAATTCGCCCAAAATCAATAGACTTCTGGTCCGAGATAAGATGAATGCACATGCAAAATTTGGAGCAGATTCAATCTCGCTTTCGTGAGATATCTAACAGACATACAGACAGACAGACAAATACCTATCAACATACTTACCGATAAAAAATCGATAAGTAATAATTAACTATATTGGAAGGGGTTGAGAGCCTGAAAGTTTGGGAGGCCCTGCTTCATCATATTATGTGAAACTGCAGTATTTTGTTCCATTACCAGGCAAGGGCCATACGAGAATAGCCCTCCGGTCAGTTATAGTTTGTCTTAGCCTCCTGGGTTTAAGTAATTAGACTCATCCTGAGCTTTAACTCCAAGACCCCCCCCCCCCATCTCACACAGGGCTTAATAAACTAGGCCAGGGTGGTCCAAACCAAGGCCCATGGGTCACACATGGCCCTCCGCTTCATTATCTATGGCCCGTGTCACATTCGAAAAGGTAATCAAAAAATCACATATTGTGTTGTTTCGTAATAAAATTAATCAAAAAAATTTTTTGACATATTATTACATCACAAATGTCACTAAATTGACTAGTGTTATGGCTAGCCGAGGCAACTAGCGAATGGTGTGCTTGGCAGTCTAAATTGTTATCTGGCTTTCTATCTTTTTGGTCGGGAATATAATATTATGCTAACAATATAGGCATCATAGAAAACTAAAAATAGAATGCAGATTCTATTAGCCTGGGATGGCTATGTCTGATAACTATGCGTTTGTACAATGAAAGTGTTTGTTTTGTATTGCACTATTTACCTATACTTGGCACTATTGTGGCCCGCGAACAATGCAAAAATTATTTTGTGGCCCCCGGAGCCGGCAACTTTGGACCACCCTGAACTGGGTGGTTGGGCCTTCCAAATAATAGTAGTAGCTTTTTATATATAGGGCCTTGTACCTGTGGTCAGGATTTTCAATTTATCCCACATGCTGCAAAATAGTGAGAAATAACTTTGATCTTACCATAGAATTAATATAAATGTCGACTTTTTCTCCAGTAAGTGCTACGACATCTAATGGTCCATAGGTAAATCTTCCAGATAAAACTTGTTCTCCATTTTCTATCGCTACGCAATCTTTTGCTCTGTGGTTTGACGTCATGTTCTGGAAATTTAAGTTTTTTTTAGATTTAGATTTAGAGAAATTTTGTTGTTTTTTGGAGGAAATTTTACGCAGTTCTGACACATGACGCCTTCCATCTTTGTGAGTTATTGATGAAACATGTTTCTTATTATGTGGGAACACTTAGCAAACTTTCTGGATGATGGATTCTATGTTATCAGTAATTTATGTGTATGGAGGAGCCATCACAACAAAGAAGTCACTTACAATTACATATATTTCAAGTATTGAGAACAAAAATATTCCATTTGATTCTGAAATCATCAGGTAATAAAAATGCCATCCTAAGCGTTAGTTGGGATTCAAGTTGAATAAGCCAACAAAAAATAAAAAAGTCCATAATAATATGTAAAGGTATTCTTAAAACCACTTACTCTAATCTTGACGTGAGTTCTTCGTTTTGCCCATTTTTCTTTCGGTATTGAGGGAGTGAACGTTACAAGTTTAGTTTCACAGTCGAGACAAACTGAAACATTTTCTTGGTGGACAACCTGTATGACATAAAATTAATATTTCCTTTTCTGAAGTTGTGATTTGAGCAGAACCAGGTTCTATTTAAGATAAGATCCGCATATTTATCCCGGGGGGGGGATACTTATATGGCCAAACACAGTATCTCGTCCAGTTACTAGTCCAAGGTGGTATGGGATTAGTTAACCAGTTACTTGTTTTCAGGTGCATAACTATATTATGCGTCTTTTGCCCACAAAGTCTATTACAGAAACACATTTGTGTGAGTGTATAGCGAGACTATCACACAAGGTCAGCACATGCGATATTTAAACTTTGTAACACACACTGCATATTCTATGTGTTTCGAGAGTCTTGCCACACACTAACCAAATCAATATTCTGTGTGTTTCAAGAGTCACATACTGGATATTCTATGTGATTTAGGAGTCTTGCCACACACTAACCAACACACACTGCATATTCTATGTGATTCTATGTAATTGTCAGACTAACTAACACTCACTGCGCCCTGAATCACATGGAACAATTTTCAATTCTCCTCTCACAAAATGAAAGAATCAGTGCCTCGTGTAAAGTTTTGCTTGTAATATTTTCTTACAGAATGAAAGAATCAGTGAAAAATCCAAGGCAAAGAGAGCACATATTTTAAATTTTTTTTTACATTTTTGAAATTTTTCAAAAACCGAAGCAATGCTCGACCACTCTTACCTGTCTTATTATAAAAGCAGCTAGATCAGTCGACTCCCAGAAACTGGCATAGAAGACGTGCGGTAAAGATACACTTGGAAACGTCGAGAGAGAATCCGGACAGAACAAAGCGTAGTCGAGACGTTGATCCCCGAACCACCGAGAAGCAACTGTAAAAAGATTTCAATGCAATCATTATTGGTTTTCGACAGAAAAAGAATCTATGTGTTAACTGTATCTTTATTGTATTTCTGGCAACTAGCATTTTCTTAGATGACTGAACATGAACTGTGATGTCATCATTTGCTGGTGACTGATCATGAACAACCAGTCGTGAAGGTGAAGCGGCCATATTGTGCTATCAGCAGCAGTCTGGTGCATAGTGGAGTTAGTGTTGCTCGTAAGTTACTTTGGTTATTGTTCTGGAGATTTATTAAATATACATTTGAACTGAATTAACACTATTCACTATTCACATTGGTCTGAAGCCAAATTATAAATATCAGAGTGAAATGTGATTTGAAATTTGTAAACCTTCATCGAAAAGCAAATAGATTGTTGATGGAAGACACACAGTGAGATGAATACGCCAGAGAGATGACTATAAATAATGATGTACTGGGTAAAATCACAATTATCCTATAAAATGGACCACAGCTAAGGTCAGGCTTTGAGGAAAATTTTTTTTTGGGGGGGGGAAGGGGGGAGTAGGTTCGAAGTCAATAAAATGAATATAGGAGGACATTTTAAATGCTCATATCAGTCATCGATTAAATATTTTGCGCTACAGAAAATTTGTTATCTGCTTAAAGGAGTGGCTTATTTGCGGCACCCTTTTCAAAAGCAGCTACAAAAGAATTTCCAATTTTGAAGCCCCCACTTCGACAAATTTTGGCTGCGCTCCAGGGTGTCGCTACTTGACAACCAGCAAATGGCCCCAATCACATATAAGACCTCATAATAGTTTTTTACTGGTTGAAAAAAATAACTTCACTCCTTGCGATTACATATAAATCAATTAAATATGAACAATTAAAAAAATTCAACATGCCCATCAAAATATGAAAGAGATGGCAACAATGCAATCCTACCTCTGCTACAGACCTCATCTTCTTGTATATCACTGTCGTCGTGGAAACATTCCATGTTTGAGTGATCATGAGTTATGCTTGACTGATCACATGCTATGCCTGAATGATTACCATGCAGCATAACACAAAAATAATGAAAAGTGATAAAAAAATGAATTAAAACATGCTCCTTTGCCAAAAAATGACACTATGTGACATCATAAGAACTTAATAATGAGGAAATAACCTCTTGAACATCAAATGCATTATTGCATCACATATCTGTAACATGCATGTATGTATGAGATAATAATACAATATTTATGTGTTGACTTGGATATTTCATAGGTTTACAATCGTATAGTTTGGTATTCAAGCATAGGATAGAATTTACATATTAATCCCGAGAGAAATGAAAGTCGATAAGTAAGCTTAATCATATGGCGAACCACGACCTCTCGTCCGATTACAGTCAATATCGAGTATAGGATAAGTTGTTTGTTTTCAGATGCATGGACTTGATGGTGAAGAAAACCGTACCTGAACAGCAGTTACGTGAACCACCATACGGTGGTTCAGCAATCCTCTTGCACATAATTAACCCTGCATGGGATTCGAATATGTGAACCCATCCGAATTTTGATTAACTTTATTTTGCTGTGAAACCATGAATTAGACCAATTATTATTGCATTGAATTTTTATACAAACAGAAATTTTCAGGAATTAAATGTAAGGTTTTAAGTTGCATCCAATTGCTTTGGAAGTCACATAATTTGCCAGTGCAATAGCTATCAGAAGTTGCTCACACAAAATTATAATCAACATATCCGGATGCAAAACGCCTGGATAGATAAGCTCTTAAAAATAGCCTAATTTTTCGTGCAATTGTTTGATTATTTAGGGACAAAATGCTGATTTGAAAATAAAGAATTACTACAAACCTTGATTAGCATTGTTGATGCCTTCTCCATTGTAAGATGAAACGCTCCACTCGCTGCCTCTACGTTTTTCTTTCGATTCCGATTCGAGAAATAAATGGAGGTTTGTTGTCAGACTTTCACCTGTAGGAAATTGTATGAAAACAAAAAAATTTGTCAGCTTTAACAGATTTTTTCCCAAAAGATACAATGCATTACAAAGTCAATTTCATTAGGTTTTCGCTCTTGATAGGACGTTGGGACAAAAAGTCACTGACATACCAGGTAGGTTGGCATTGATTACCAAATTTGTATAATTGTACAGAGGACATTGAGAACCAGTTTGAAGGGACAAGAAAAACGGAAAATATAGGTGTCAAGAGTTTTGAGAAAAATGCCTTATTTTTATTTAATTAAAAGCTTTTTTATTTGAAGTTGCTGGGGATTTAGATCATGTTGATAGGTATTTGTCTGACTGTTTGTCTGTTAGATGCACGTGATATCTCACGAAGGCGTGGTTGAATGTGCTCCAAATTCTGCATTCATCATATCTCGGACCAGAAGCCTATTGATTTTGGATGAATTATGTCGTATAATTAGCGAGTTATTAATTAATTAGTGATGGGACATGTGGTGTCGCTATTGAGTCATGAATCGAAACCGCAGTTTCGATCAATAAGTCTTCGGTCTCCGACCGATATTCTCGTTAATGATTTATAGATAATCCTTTATAAGAAGCATGACAGGGCGAGAATATTATAAGACAGCTAACTGTGACTGAAGTTCTTATACCAAGCATTGGATTCTAACATTGGGAAAATCGACACTGAGAAAGTTCATCTAATACAGGGGTGGGCAATTATCTTCCTGAGTGGGCCATTTCCAGATAATAAACTTGTTTATCGGGCTGGAGGCTCAATATGAAACTATGAACAAAAATGGTTTATTCGCAAAAAAATAGCGAAACAGGTAATGTAAACAAACATCTATTGTAACTAGTGGCACAATATTTAATGAGACTGATAAAGCCTACTGCTTAGATTCAGGAGCTTATTTAAATCAGCTTGCGCTGATTTGAGCAGGCCCAAATGGGCCAATTGAACACCCTGCAGGCCGGATTCAGCCTGCAGGCCGTAATTTGCTCACCCCTGATGTAATAAATAATTTTACCTAATGACAGAGATCTCCCATCTCCCAGTGGAAACTTGTGATATCGCGCAACATCTACTACTGGTATTCGAGAAAACCTGGAATGAAAATTAATTGAGAGATATTTCAAACGATAATTCCACTGAAAAATGATATATGATTTTCGTGTTAGGATAGTCGATTAGATGTGTTAAAGCAGTGGCTCTCAAACTTTCATCCCCCCCCAATTTCAAAGTTTTGTGCCCCTTTTTTTCTATGAGAAAAAAAAAAGTTATAATCATCGATTATTTTAATTGCCACATACTAATTATTATAGTGGAAGTGTCTTTATTTTCGTAAAGACCTTTTTTGTTTTCTTGTAGTTTTTCTCTTGCATGAGCAAGTTAATAGAACACAGAATTTTTTGTGTCAGAAATACGGGCCATAAAAGAAAAAAGGTTGAGAACCAATTCACTATGCACTATATTCAATATAGAGACATCAAGATAGAATTTTTTCTACCTGGAATCAAGCAAAGGTTCCAGTCTACTGGAAGTAGGATCTGCCAAGTAGAAAGTATTGTGGATTCTTCCACACGCGGGCCGTAACGGGGGTTCTTGAATTCCACTGATGGAGTTGCGAAGTGCAAGTATGACACCTAGTGGACTACCTGAAAACAAAATATGCTGCTTACAAACAACTTTTCATTGTTGGATTGAATGTAATTTTTTAAAATGAAAGGGGAGAGAGGAAAGTTAATATGATGGCTTGGGCATGCAGTGAAACCTAGTCTCTAGTCTTGTTACCAGTTCATGTAGAATGTATGTATGTTTATTTGCCTCAAAAATGTGACATGCATAATAATAAAACAGTAAAACATAGACGAGATACAAGTTCAAGACCTTACAGGCCTAAGACAAGTATAACTGTAGTTTAGAGGTGCATTTCGCGCCACAGAATAGCGATGCCAATTAATTTCTACTGATGCGGAGAAATTACAGTGCAACGCAAAGTTAGTTTTCTCACTCAGTAAGTAAAGGGGACTCGTCTTTGATCACAGTTAAGACCGACCATTGTTTATATAGCATTTGGCACATCCGAGGTGGGTTGCAACTAGGGCTGGGCATTTTCGAATACCTGATGATTTCAGAATCGAATCGAATAATTTTTTCGAATCGAATCTCGAATACTTGGAAGGAAGGAAATTGTATGTAAATTTCTTAGTATTTTAGGTCCTCCAGACACATAAATTACTGAAAACATAGAATACATCACTGTCAATAAAAAGAACACGTTTTCATCAATACCTCAATACAGAAAAGAGTCATAAGTCAGAATTGTGTTGAAAAAATATGGCTTCAATGAAAAAAAAATTGAGAAATTTACCTCGACCATTGGCGGAAAGAGTAAAACAAGATGGCGGCGATTCGAAAATTTGCTCTAAATCGATTCGAATAATTTACTATTCGATTCGAAATGCCCAGCCCTAGTTGCAACTCTTCCATCAGTGCCTATCATAAAGTTATATGCCCAAGATTTTTGCTTCCAGTGAAACTTTCATATCGATACTCTTTTCACTTTAATCTAGAGCTCAGGACCCTCTTTTTTAATACCAAGGACAAAGTTGTAAAATAAATTTGATGAAAATAAATTTTACGAACCTAATATAAATACGTCAGCAACTTCAAAATCTAGTCTCGAATTGACATCGAGACTCATCCCAGATGACGATCGTCGAGATAATTGTGGATTTACGAGAGGATGTGGAGGTTTTATTGGTGTGTTGGCATTCTTCTGTAAAATTTTTAAGGCTTCGATTAAAATATATGAGGAATTCATGGTGCTCCCGCAGTATGTGCACCAAGATGGCACACCTGAACATAGTATGTGTACCAGATTGTGCGCCATCTTGCAGGGGTGCATCTTCGCAGGGTGTTTTCGCTCTCTTTTGTGCAAATTGTTTTAACATAATGGGATTTGAAATCTATCAATGAAAATAACCCTATTAATACCTCTGGAATATTAAAGTGGGGGCCATGAGTGCTAAAAGCCTCCGAAAGGGGGCCACGAGTCATAAAAGGTTGAGAACCACTGGTATATGGGATGAACAACAGAAGTCTAACTATATAAAGTCTTTGAATTATCACCTTTGGATAACCTATTCTTGATCTATTTTTGAGAGAAACAGGCGGAATATTTCAGTTTAACATGGCCTATCATTTTCCTACACCCAAGTTAGGCTGGTGAACATAGAGAATTCGGAGATCTTAGAGACAGACAACACCAATGTTAGCATTTTTCCTTGTATTAAACTCTATATATCATGAAGCCCATTTTATTTCTCGTTTCAGCGATTTTAGCAACTTCTCTGTGTAACACAGTATAAATAGTGATCATAGCTGGTTCAGGGCCTTGAAAGGACTAAAATCTAAAACTGTGAAACAACTCATTATAAACTTGATTGAAGATAACATGCAAAAATTTATCAATATTTTCAACCACCATGCATATACTTCCATATATCACCTATATGAGTTATGTATTTTACATTATCTAAGCTAGAACATAAAACAACAAGCAACATGCAAAATCTACTGAAAACAAATCACAAAAAATGTGCAGGATAGTACAAACAAATAGATGAATAAAGAGAATTCAGGTCAAGTATGCAAACAAAATTATGTCAACTATATGATAGATGAATTCAAAACATAACGGTGAAAATTTGTTGAAGAAGAAGATCTACAGTGAGTAATTAGGTGGCCCTAACATGGCCGCATCCACATGTTTAATTCACAATCGAAGGATAATTACGTGCATGTACAACAATCAAGTAAAACAACATAACATCCATGCGAAACATTTCAATTGCACTTGAGCAAAGAGGTCAGAGTTATGAATAAAAATAGGTATAAGTAGAAAATAAATGAATCAAGGTCATGTTCAGCCTTTCTGTGCAGGGTCGTAGCCAGAGAGGAGGGGGGTTGGGGGTAGAAAGCCCCCTTTATAAAGGGGGAAAAAAAGTATTTCCCGGTATCGCACATAGCAATTTTTCATAACTCAAAACGCTTTTTAGACCCACAAGGGACCTCCTGAAGTATGCGCACCAAGATGGCGCACAACCTGAACTCAGATTGTGTACCAGGTTAGGGTTCAGGTTGTGCGACATCTTGGTGCACATACTTCAGGAGTACCCTCTAAAGACTCTTGCAAATCCACATATTACCCGCAAGCTGGAGTCAAATTTGAAAATTAGAACTTTCAGAAACTCCTCTTTGAAAATTACTGGCTGCACCCCTGTTGCTGTGTGATGTGTGCATTTACAGGTTTAAAACTAGCAATAGAGTCCTGTTGCACACAAACACAAATGGATTTCAGTAAAATTTCGTCTGACCAAAATCAGACAAACAATGGTCATCATTGTTGTGAACTGCTTGTCTGAGGAAGTCTGATTTTAGACAGACGAAACATTGCAGAAATTCATTTGTGTTAGTTTGCAACAGGACTCTTGAATTGCATGGTCTGGTTTATTCCTCAGACAAGCAGTTTACAAAATACAGCTTTCCTCACAATCCAAGTGTTATCCCACACTATTACCTATTTTCACTTTAACACTTTTCAATTGTATGTGAAATAATATTGAAATCGTGAGTTCTACATGCAACGACTGGCTTTCTAATACGTATGATACGTTCACAAAACATCTCGAACACTAAATCGTGCAGAAGGGATTCAACAAGTGCTCATTTGGATGCATCATGCTCCCACCTGCACATCCAAGCAATAGTTAGCACTGTATCGTCGATATCTTGAGACCGGGACCTTTAGGGGGTCCAAATCGGTGGGGGTTGGGTCTGGGATTCCCCCCATGGGCTCAACCTCTTCGTGTGTGAATCGAAATTTTGGGGAGGATGGTAAACTGTTGCTCGATGCATGGCGATCTTCTTCCTGAGTTCGGAAAATTTAATATTCGGGGGGTTGTAACAAATTTCACAAAAATCATATAATAAATAAATTTGTTTCATGAATTCAGATACATTTTGATGTCAAACTGTCAATTTTTGTGAAAAATAAATCCTTTTTAATTCATAGCTGAACGAGAATAAATAAGATTGACATAATAGAATAAAAGAGTGAATGCACCAGATGGTGCTTCAGAATTTAAGAAGAAAGGGTTACACAAGAATATATAGAGGGTGTCCATAAAGTCCCTTTACAATTTCAATTTTGTTATGAAGTCAGTTAACCAGGTTTGTTGTTTTTTAATCAATAATTGTTCAAGTATTTTTACTTCATTTAACACATCTGTGAGGACCAAAACAACATATGGTATCTATAAATTTCCTTTGCAATTTTAAAAACTCCCAAGACTTTATGGACACCATATATTATATAAAAAGTAAAAATAAAATTAGTGAACTGGATATATTTGAAGTTTGCAAAAAAAAAAATTGTGAAGAAGATTTAGTAAATTCAGCTGAAATTTAGGAAATTTGAAGTGGTCAGTCTTCAAAAAAAATTATGTGGTATTAAAATTGGGGAGAGCTCAGAAATAAGTGTTCAAGTGAAAAAGTGTTTGACAAGGCTTAGTAAAGCGTGTGAAGGTAATAAGTTGTTTGGAAAAATTCCGAAGTACAATTAATGATGATTGATTCTCATAAAATATTCAAAACTTGGAAAAAAAATCATTCTTGAAAAAGCTCATAAATTGTAATATATATTTTCAGAAAAGCATCAAGCAATAAAAGTCATTTTTTAGAATTTTGAATAGTTGATATAATCACCACTTATTTCAAAAATATAAATAAACTCAAACGTCCATTATATTATTTCTCATAAAGAATAATACAGATATTCGGTGCTCCAAAAGTATGCGAACCAAGATGGCGGACATCGGAACGTAACATCGGGTAACAGGTTAGGGTTAGGCGATAATTTTCTTCCAATTTTCCTCATTTGAGTCCTATTATCAGTTCGAAGACTAGCCAAGAGCCTCCCGTAGTATTTATCTAATTATGGCCTAACCCTAACCTAGTACACATATTACATTACGATGTCCGCCATCTTGGTTCGCATACTTCGGGAGCCCCAGATATTCTATGGAAACCCAAAAAATGTGTTATTGCCGTCATCTAATAAAATCTCAATTATTTTTTATTCGAAATTCAAAATTAATCCACCACAAGATTAGGAAAAAAGCCTAGAACACCTTTTTCATGCATAGTCCCACCTGATAAATAAAATTGATGAAAACATATAAAACCTTTTTCAACAAGAGTTTTAAAAATTCAGATTACTTAATAAAAAGAACGTTACCTCATGAGGGGCTAGAGAGGTACCCCATTTATTCCCGACTGTCGAATTGCTGCGTCTGCCTTCTGGCGAACAAACTAACATATCATAGGCAATTAGGCCGCCAACACTGTCTGCTATAATGCAAACCTGAAGTTTGAGAACAAAAAAGTACTTAGGAATGAAGGAAAACCAGTAAATAATAGAGGTTGCGAAGGTTTTTTGAAGAAGAATTTAAATTATATGAAAAATTAAAGCGTATTTGTTGGGTCCAATGCCATAGTTTTAGCTGTCAAGTCCTCAGAAGTTTTAAAGTTGATATTTCATTATTTTGGAGCCAGAGTTACAAATTGTATAAGTAGGACACTCATTTTTGAAATGCTGTTTCGTGCAGAAAAATAGTGAGTGGTGGAAAGAGTAGCATAAGTAGTATGTACAATGAAGTATAAACGGTGCAAGTAGCGCACAGCATTTCAAAGATACCTCGCATCGTTGATGATAGGAGGCCTAAGATACAAAAATTATAAAATGTACATCAAGGTCTGTATAGTTTCAACTCTTTAGCTACGAATGGTACAAAAAGGACAAGTGCTGGAATTGGTACAAATGGGAGAATTTCTGCAAATGACACATATGGAGCGTGTGGTATGGGTAGCACAAGTAGTAAGTTTTCAAAAAGTGCCCAATAATTTTTAGATACTTCATAATGTATACAAGATACAGTACATAAGACACAGAACAAAATGTATAGGGTGTCCATAAAATCTTCAATTTTTTTTAAATTGCAAAGGGAATTCATCGATACCATATATTGTTTTGGCCCTCACAGATCTATTAAATGAAGTGAAATACTTAAACAATTACTGATTAAAAAACGACAAACCTGGTTAAGATATATTGAGAACTGACTTCATAACATAATTGAAATTGTAAAGGGACTTTATAGACACCCTGTATAATCAATCATAGAATAAATGGTGCTCCCGAAGTATGCGAACCAAGATGGCGGACATCGGAACGTAACATGGGTAACAGGTTAGGGTTAGGCGATAATTTTTTTCCAATTTTCCTTATTTTAGTCCTATTATCAGTTCGAAGACTAGCCAAGAGCCTCCCGTAGTATTTATACCTAAAATTATGGCCTAAACCTAACCTAGTACACATATTACATTCCGATGTCCGCCATCTTGGTTCGCATACTTCGGGAGCCCCGAATAAATTTTCTTCTCACCTGGCCATTGAATCCTTTTCCTTCTTCAGACAAAGTAAAAGAATTATAAACAGAGTTGCATGAAGCAAACGTCAGGTTGACGGCTTCTGAATATTGTGAACTGTACGTTGCGTATGCTGATACGAGGGCGCTAGAGAACGGATGAGATGATGAGCTATCGTAGCCAGTTGGGCTAAGACTGAAAACAAAGGAATTTAAATGCACAGAGGAAATGATGAACACATAATGTGCAGCGTTATCTAACTATATTGATAATATGTTTCATCAGAAATTTGGTCTGCTAACGACTAACAGTCAAAGAAGTCGTCATAAATCGGATAGCAGCAGCAAAATAAAAATATTTTAAAAGGAAAAGAAATGTTGCAAAATATTAAAATAGTTCCTGCACTCTCCGCGCCTTATCGATCCCTCATAAGTTAGCTGAGAGAAAAGTCTACTTTACTTCTGCATCAATTTGGCACAGCTCGCGACTTTGCTCTGAGCAAACTTTCTGATAAAAATATATTATATAACATACAATTGGATGAAAATAAAACCCTAAAACAGAAAATACAACATATTAAGAAATTGAAAAACTTACTTTTTCAAAGCATTACAAGCTTCCACGCAAACAGGAGGGCAGGAAACAAGTCTGAAAGCAAATCTTCCCATTGCTGTCTTATAATGTGAAGCAACTACTGAATCAAATGTAGAGGAGAGGGTGCCAACATCAGCCTGCATGAGAAAAGTGTGTAGAATAGAGCAATCGCCACAATGTTCCATGTAGTGGTAAAAACGATTCGTTATTTAAGAGCATATCCTGAACCCTAACCCTATAAACCTAACTTGTTTTTATCACAAATACTTGTTTGAAAGCAAAATGCTCTTGCTATTTTTCCAATGTGCCGAAATTTCCTAAGGTGAAATTTCCTACGGCAAATTTTCCGGGCACAATTAATAACACTGTAATCTTTCTGTTTACCCCTAGCTGGGAGGAAGCTGGTAGGACAACTTATCTCATTTGATGGAAATCTGGAACGTTTAGTTAGGAAATTTATGGATTCTGTTTATTTTGGTCACTCAGTACCATCTTCATACCTGTTTAGTAGAACTACTACCAGCACCATCAGGAGATGAGTCCACAGGATTCCCACCGTGCAATACAAGGAATAATGTGTTGATTTTACAGGTTTCTGGCAAGTGGAAAGATGAGGTCGACTGTGAAACAAATAGAGGACAGCTGAGTAAACAGGACAGAGGTGGGTGAGCGAACACGTACTACTTTTAAAAACACCTTCCAAGCTAAAATCGGCGCACCGGAATTATTCATACCAAGATGACGCACAACCTGAACAACCATAACCTGGTACACATACTATGTTCAGGTTGTGCGCCATCTTGGTACAAATATTTCAGGAGCATCCTTAAAAAGTTTTCAACCTTACTTAAGGTTTTGTTTGCTTTTCCAATTCTATAATCAGTTTTATTTATTTTGTTTTCATCAATTATCTTATCGTCTATTATGCTGATTATGGAGTCAAAATAAACTGGAGTCAAGCTCTAACCAAATACCTCGACAGAAAACTTACCTGTGCTAGCGAATCCTCTTCAACACTGATCTGATAAGTTATCGTAGATTCTAGGTTACCTGAAAAAAAAAAAATCCTTTAACTTTGCAAGGCACATGAATAACATTGAGGCTTTTGCTATTACGTAGTTCTCAAAGTTTTCAAGCCACGCCCCCTTTTTAGAACTTGTCAAGTCTCGCACCGTTTGAGAACCACTGTTTTTGCACAATATTCGAAGCAAACAGAAAAGCCTGCTATTCCAGATTCACAGTTAAATGAATATTTATATAATAAAAACCTGCCAGAAATGATTAATCTATTATCTAACTATGCCTAAATGCACATGTGCACATGTATTCATATATTCAGATTCAGATAATTTATTTCTATCATGCAAGAATCAACACAAAAATTAAAGCACGAAAAATTGACAAACGTGTATAATGACAATCGTAAAAAATTAAATATACACATCAGAATTCATACAAGTGAGAGAATCATGGAAATAGATAAGGAGTCGCGAAAGACTGTGACAGTCATCGAGTCAGCGACACCTGTGGGCTGAAGATTTAGAGGGAATGACAAAAAAAATTATACAAATTTAATCAATCATAATTAACAGAGAAACAAAATCACAAAATACCACCAGAGTTATAATACACGCGACAGCGCCCTCGTGGGGTTCAACTGTGCGTCCATGGACCGTAACAAGAAATGAATGAAGCTCGTTGCTAGCAGCGATCAAAAGCTGGTTCATATATTATTATTTGTAAATTTCCAAGGCCACAGGAAATTAAAACCATCTTCTGCCAAATTGAATTCAAGCATTCATTTCGGGCACCCCCCTTATCACCTAAAATTTCATTATCTTACCCCCATTATCATTGACAGGTACAATTTCCTCTTCTACCTCTCTCTTCAGTTCATTTTCCAAACTTTCAACCGAACCCCACCGATCTTTCTCCAAACTATTCAAACCACTGTTCGAACTGATCTCAAAATTCTCTAAAAAAAGAGAAATATTTATGTGAAGAGAATTGACGTAGCTGCAAGAATTGCAGAACTCCTCGCTAGGGATGCCACTTTTGGATTTACGAATCGGATCGATTCGAATCGCATCTTTTCCGGATCGATTCGAATCAGATTTACGCGATTCGGAAAAAGAGAGCGATTTAGCGAAAAAAAAAAACATTGAACGTTTGTTAAATCGTCGTTTTCGGCGGCTTTAAATCTGCCAGAGTGTGTTTATGCGGCACTCCAAATAACGCCAAATTACGGGACCGAAAAAAAAAACATTGAACGTGTGTTAATCGTTGTTTTCGGCGGTGTTAAAACTACCGAATGCGTTTATGCAGCACTCCAAATAACACCAAATTACGGGACCGAAAGAAAAACATTGAACATTTGTTAATCGGTTGTTTTCGGTGGCGTTAAAACTGCCGAATGCGTTTATGTGGCACTCCAAATAGCAACAAATTACGGGACGTAAATAAATGAAAATGAATTTTTCGTGATTGACTTTTTTACTTGTCTGCCGTCATTTGTTTCAAGTTCGACACAACACACTCTTTTACGCATCACTCGAGATGATGTGTGGCGTAATTACCAGCAAACTGCGAGTTCAGTTTTCCACTAAATAGCCGAAGTTTCCATTATGCGCGAATTCAAATGGATCGTATACCTGAAAATTCGTGACAATTTTGATGAAAATTTTCAACAGCACACCTGCGCTGCGACTAAGTTATTGTACGCCCTGGCATGATTGGATAAAGAATCGGCCACCGACGTCTAGATAATGTTTAATTTTGATTGAAATTTAATTTAAACTTTGTTCTGAGAGCAATATTTTGCGTACATTTGAAGAGAACTATTACTGAATGAGTTCATCGGCCGGCAATGTTAATTGACAATCATGTTTCTCATCCTAAAATATATATTTATTTTGTTTGCGTTTGTCAGGCTTCCACTCGAGTGGCGATAAACGAAATCAGAGGGACATAATGCAATAGTACATACACGTCTTTTTTCAGCTGTTACAAAAAAAAGTAGTATTTACTTTTAATTTTGTTAGCGCGATACAAGCGAATAAAACATTTCGGATTATTTCGAGCAAATGTCATAACGGACAGGTGGGAGTAAATAATACTTGAGGAATGGCAACTTGTGCACTGTTTTACATCAACACGTGGCAGATTTCATACCAGACCGAGCATACTGTGCGAATGTCGTCTTACTTTAGCCCCAGCGACCATGTCCGATCGAGATAAAGCTTCAACCAATTATCGCTCGTCAGCGCGGCGTCCATTATGCACATTTGGACTTTCTGAATTACGAAATTAAACGTAGTCCACATTAATAATGAAGCCCGAGTTAGCCAATAACGCTGTTAGCCACAAATAATACTTTCTCTAATATTTATGGAAATTTTTGTTCGCAATCGTAGTCGGATGAACGATTGTTTTTATCGAATTTAATTTAATCGTGGTTAATTTAATCGTCTTCAATCATATTCTTGTAAGCATTTCCCATTTATAGTAATTCAGATGCAATTAGAATGTTTTTGTCGTATTACTCTATGCTGCTAGCATAAATATAAAATATTGTACTAAGATTTTGAAGATAAAGAATCGGTAATAGGCCGGCCTTAATTCAATATAACAAGAAGGGAAATACCACGGTCACATATACTGGTGTGGGACAAGGAAAAGCAGTGCTGTTACTGTGTTTACGACATAACAGTACAACTGTTCCCTGCTTATTTTCTCATATGAATTCAATCAAATTGCCTCAGCCCTGATACAAGTATAACACAATAACTCAGTATTGTAAGACTCACAGATAAGTTGCAACAGCAAGTTTTTCATCAATGCATTTATTAGTGATATCTATGACCTACATCTTTTTTATCATGATGAAAATAAGTGTGGCTTATTCACTGAAAAACCCTTATCATCCTTGCTATATAGCCTATTCCATTTTCAAATTTTTTTTCTTCTAGATTTGAGCTTTTTTGTGACTTTGGGCAAACATACGCATGTAATAAAAAAAAAAAGCTTAATGGAATCAGATTCGGAAAGATTCGATTCGAAAAGTTTTGATTCGAGATTCGATTCGAAAAAAAATGTATCCAGAAGTGGCAACCCTACTCCTCGCAGCACAGCAAAATCAGGTATTAAATGTGGAAACGTACTAATAGTCCTAACTAGTGTTGATGATAGCAAGGCACCTTTTTTTGTCGCAATATTTATATTACATCCATAAAGTCCCTTCTCAATTTCAATTTTGTTATGAAGTCAGTTCTTAATATATCTTAACCAGGTTTGTGGTTTTTTAATTAATCAATATTTGTCCAAGTATTTTTACCTCATTTAATACATCTGAGGCCCAAAACAATATATGTTATCGATAAAATCATTTTTCTATTTTAAAAAAAGTTAAGAATTTATGGACACCCTATATTTAAATTTTTAGTCTGGAAATCATCTTATTAACGCTACATAATTTTTGGGGAAAATACTTGAAAACAGTTTTTGACCAGTTAGCACACTTAAATTCAGGAACTACTCTTAAAAATTAATCTCCATGAAGTTATTAATGCACCAGTTGCTTCTGAAAACAACACTTTTTGGATTAAAATTAATATTTCATATTCAAATTGTTATCCACGATGTGTTTAAAAATAGTTTTATTAGGCTTAGCCATGTATAAATATGGCATGAGTAAATACCAAGTGGTCGGCCGTTGGCAGACTTGTTCATGGCAAATACATGAATGAGAAAATAATACAGCGTAATCCCTAATGGCGTAAACAATATAAATATTCATCCGAAAACGAAAATCTATTTCTGGGTGGAAGAACGATTTATTGATTTGAGTCCAAAACAATCATCTTTAAGGATTAAATTGGACAAAAAATGGACATCAGACAGTTTATGGAAAATGCATGATTTATATGGCAGTGATAAATTTAGCAAACTTTAACTATTTGAGCACAACCTGTGTAAAATTTAAATAGATAGTTTTAATACAAACAACTACAAAGTAACCAAAGGGTTAAGCGTGACCTGAGATTTTCCTGAATTATTAATAAGCATTGATTTCTTCCCGTCAGGTGATTAAGATGTGTCGATAAAAATTAAACTTCGCCAATACAGTAGGGCGTTACGTTGGTGTGAGGGGATTATGTTGTTTATAAATGAACTGACTTGTTTATCTCTCAAAGTTTAATTTACTTTCAAAATTAAAAAGCTATTTAATCATTGAAAGTCTTGAAAAGGTAAATATACATTCTGTTTACCACAACGGAAATTCTAAAAAAAAACGCTCCCCGTAATATGTGAACCAAGATGGCGAACACCGGAATGTAGTATGTGTACCGGGTTAGGGTTAAGCTCCATATCACGATTTGTAAAATTCGTTCTCAATTTTAAGCGAATAATTTTATCATTACTGTCCCCGGGATGCAATTCGCATTTTTATTTTGTAATTTTCGTATTATAATGATGATTAAAAACTCCGCCAATTGGTCATCGCCTGAACACTCAGTGTTAAGTATTCGAGTAACTCAGCTTTGGGTTAAAACACTGATACTAAATACTTCAATGAATCGGCAATAATGGCATTTCTATGTGGTCAAAATAATAGTTTTTCCTAAAATCTCAGGAAATTTCCATAGAATACTTTTAGAATTATTTACTTGTCTTACTTATCTGTTTCGACAATTCTAAATTTAAAAAAAAAACGGTGTTAACGGACTTAATGGAAAATTAAAAATTCAAAAGGCGCAGAAAGAAAACAAAAAACAATAACCCAAGATTTCTCACATTTATTGTTTTATTCACACAAGTGAATATACCCCCTGACCATAGGTTTCAGTCCCTTTATTCAACTTGATGTAAAGTAGGCGAACAAAATTAGTTACCTCCATATCGGTACACATACTTCTGAAGCGCCCCCTGTAATGCCGGACTCGTCCCATCCCTAGTAAAAACACAATATAAGTAAAACCAACTAACCAATCGCATCAAAGAATTCATCCTCGTCAGAAGATTGATCCGAGTGTTGTTCTATGCTTTGCATTCTCCATTCTGCTATGGTGGGTGATAGAGTAGATTTACCTGAAAATATCGTAATTATTGATTTTTTTTTGTTGTCATTGGATCGGAAGATTAATTGGAGCTTTATACAATGTTGGGTCCTTGTTGGGTCCAATGTTGCACTAACTCCAAGGATACCATAGCAACAATCAAAAAGGTTATACTGAGTGAATATTGGGGTTGTGCACTTGTACCCTCTCTATTTTCTTTATGTTTGTGCACCTATATCAGGGCGGTCCAAGGTTGCAAAATTGGAGGGCCGCAAACACATCTGAGAAGGCATTGCGGGCCACAGTTGGGAAAACCAAAAAGTGATCAAAATACTGCAATAAAATGAGAGTTTACTGTCCTAATCAGCCTATTGTTATCTTGCATCGATGGTGTTTTTTATTACTTATGCGCCGGCATAATGAATCACCGGATTTGAATCACCCGGGCCCATATGCTCTGATTGCAAGGATCTTGTAGCACGAACAGAAATGTATATTGAGTGATTCAAAAGCCTTGCATCACACTTCCACAGATTCTGTGAAGATCTGTGACGGAATCCAAATCATTTGAAACGTATTGTATGCGTTCCGTTTTTTGGGTCACTCCGTACTTTCCAACTTACCACTGGCTTTACTATGATTTGACCACATAGAGCTTGATGACGTCTGGCGTGAAAGTTTCTTTTTACGAGTCGTTGTAACTGAAATAGAAATGAGAGGCTTAGTTTTGATGTTTTGCATCATTTTGAACTTAACATACTGCTCAAAAAGGGAGTGTCTACTCCAGAAATGATGGCTTCACATGATGAATATATAAAGGGGGCTACCCTGGGTTTCGGTCAGAACACCCCCCCCCCCCCCCTTCAAAATGAGAAAAAAAAAAAAATTAAATTTTTTATAGCTTGAAACTTGAAATGCTCTTTAGACCCACAAGTATCTTGAAAACCCGGACTCGCATGTTGTTGCGATATAACTTGTAAGTTAGAAATTTTTTAGAAAATTTCAGACACCCTCCATGGAAATTTCCTAGCTACCCCCTGAATATGTTAGAATCGCCCTTCCATCAACATCATCCAGGGTGTTTTTAATCTGATGTGGCCAAAAAATTTCCAGTCTTCCCAGTCCCAATCCAAAAAATATATCTCGGTAGTCGGTACACACGAGTCGTTTTTTGTTTTGGGACTTGCTCAGATTGGAGGTATAAAAATATGCCATAAGAAATATTTGCTCAAAGCTAGATTAAGAAACCAGTTTAGAAGTACATAGAATAAAGACAAGCTAAATGGAACAACTCACAAACAATTGTAATAGAAAACTTCAAATAGTTATTTAGGACAATGTACTCCAATTATATTGTGAAACAACATAAACCGGGATTAAACGAACCCTAAATATGAATTTGTTGAAATACTGCTATCTACTAACACTTTATTGCAAGAGTAAACCTATATACAGTAACTCAGCTTTCTATATTCAGTGGAAGTTCTAGTCAGTGGAGTAGCCAGGGGGGTAGTTTTGCGGGCCGAAACCCCCCCATTTTGAAATGTAAAAAAAATAAAATCCTTTTTCTGTATCATATAGTTATATAGCAATTTTCTGTAGCTTGAAATGCTTTTTAGACCCACGAGACGAATAAAAACATGCGTATTCCATCGTTCGATCGTTAGGAGTTTCGATCTAACTTGACAAAAAAAAAATTCAGAACCTCCCTTTCTATTTGAAAATTTCTTGCTGCGCCTTTTGAGCAAACTGGCTCGACGATGGGGCGCATGTGCTAAGTGTTAGGAATATGCTCGGATTGCTCGTCACTGCACTGATTACCCTGAGTAGGTTCCAAGGTCGCCGCTGTGATTAACGTTTGCTGGTCGGTTACGGCTCCACCATTAGCAAATAAATAACTGGCTAACCAATTCATACTAGACATAAACTGGTAACCAGACGAAAGATTGGGGTTTGCCATATAATTACGCTGCCTTATCGACTTTCCTCTCCCTGTGATTAATATGTAAATCTTATCCTGGCATTGCAAAATTAATAAATGAGTCGAATCCCAACCCAGCAGGTCATGCATAATATCCCTTTCTGAATGCTAATTACTATTCAAATTGGCAATCAGCTTATCAGTAAGCAGATTATTGGATAAGCAATCCCAGATGAACTGTATTGATTTAGATAATGACACTTAGGAGATATACCTCTAATAATAAATGATGTGGTTGGTCCCAGTTTCCTGTTATTCTCAATGTAATACCACAAAGATACCACACTCGCATTGCAGAATAAAATTTCTGCAACATTGTGGATTTGGAGATAAGGAGAATCAGAATTTGAAATTGATGCTATTCAAATTTTTTCTTATTTCTTTTCAGAATCTAATATTGCAAGCTTGTTATTAATAGGGTACTCCCGTTGTAGTGTGTGTACCAGTTTAGGCCATAATTTTATTACGATTTTCCTTATTTTAGTTTTATTACAAGTTCGGGGAATGTCTGTGTTAGCTAAATGAATATACCCTCTTGCCCATAGGTTTCTGTCCGTTTACACAACTTGATGTAAAGTAGGCGAACAAAATTAGTTATTTCCATATTGGTACACACACTTTTGGAGGGCCAAAATATGCATAAATGGGCATTACGAGTGTCAATATAGACTTACTTCTACAAGCCAATGAGTGATTTCAATTACAAAATTTCAATTTACATGGCAAAATAAACTGCGTAAAACAACGTTCCCCAACAGGGGAGAAAGGTGAAATTTAGAAGTTTTTTGGGAGGAGATCTCATACAATTCTTAAAAAATTTAGAAACACATAAAAGCAATAGCCTTCCAGGGACAACGACAATCCAGTGGTAGAAGAGAAAAGTGATTTTTCATGATAAGCAGAAAAATACTAACAATGAGAACAGCGCTCCAGAAGTGTGTATACCAATATGGAAGTAACTAATTTTGTTCGCCTACGTTACATGAAGTTGTGTAAAGAGACTGAAGCTTATGGGCAAGAGGGTATATTCACTTGGCTACCACAGACAGTCCCCGAACTCGTAATAGAACTAAAATAAGGAAAATCATTTTAAAATTATGTCCTAACCTGGTATACATACTACGGTAGTACCACAAGAACAACATAATAACAAAATGATCCAAAAGTCCAACAAGGCTATTTGCATAGTAATTACCACAATGTGGTTAAATGTCCTTAGATGATTCGAATCGCTTTATAGATGACATCACTCGTATTAGGCTTCCAATAACATTAGTGGTTTATACCAGTTTCCTGTTAATGTTAAAGCAATATCTGCATAACCACAAGCATTTTATTGACTAAGGGATATTTACTGGAATGTCCTTACGGTTTGGACGATCAAAGTGAATTTAATATTTGAATATTAATGATGCTGTTACAATTTCAATTTCGTTATGAAGTCAATTCTCAAAATATATTAACCGGGTTTATTTTAATCAGTGTTTATTTAAGTTTTTTGAGCTAGGCCTCATTGAAAATGTACACACCTTGTCCCTGCATATCTTCCATACTTTTCCTTTTCACCAATTCAGGTTGTTCATCATTTATTCCATTCTTAGCTACTTGTGAAAGGGGTACTTGTGTTGGTAACTAAATAAAGAAAACAACCGTTTTAGGATATGCAAACACATTCACTCTACGCTAGGCTTCTGTAAAGGATTATTTAAGCGATTTGAGATTGGGAAAATCGAAATATCCCGGTCATAACCAAGCTCAGAAAACGAGCAGTTGAGCGCTGGGATTGAGCAAAATGTTGAAATATACGGCAAAGTATGGGAAAGCGGCACAAGCTTTAAAAACCTGAACAATGATGGTAAAAAGCATCAAACATTATAGTACATTTGAATTGCCTATATGTGATTTAGTACTGTGGTTTTTTTTCAACCTTTTTCTCAAGCAACAAGCAACCCAAATTTAAAAAAAAATAAATAAATTCCCACAACCCAGTTCTCAAATATTAAACGTCATGCAGTGCTTTCATGGTCGCAAAATTGAATTACTAATACAGAAAAAATTACATGATATTTATTTTTATTATATATTTTATTATCGCTACATCATTATTTGTATGCCATCAGCAATTTTTTGAAATCATGGTGTGGCTTTACTTAAGTAAAACAGACTTCCCAAGTTTTGCTCTAATCGACCGTGCATCATCTGCCTTCACTATTCTTCTCGGTGTGAAATGAAACTACTCTACCCCTAAGTATATTCCTATAGAACTACATATACATAATACAATAGGACAAACTTAGCCCTAAGTCTAATAACTGGCATCCTGCTGAGTTAAATTCTTACACATGAAGAAACAATCAATAGAGAATCAAGTAAATGTCAGATAAACTCTACAAGTTTCATGAATAATGGATAATTTATGAGTTCGCCTTCCAACTTGGAAAATATTGTTAAAGATAAGTATGAAGGATAAGCTTAGAATTGCTAGAAATTAAGCCTGGCATTGTATAAGTGATTATGGGGTATTATCTATAACAGGGGTGACGAACCTTTTTCAATAATTGGGTCAAAACGACTTTAAAACACTCAAAACATACTGCACTAGGTCCAAGTGAACCATTGCTATATTAGAACAATCTCTGGATCTACTATAAAACCTACAACACCATGTTAAATTACTTTCAAAATGAGGATAATAGATTGCTTCTCGGTAAACAGTAACTGTTTGCTCACAGCCTATTCACATTTCTCCAAAGCAAACAAAAAGAATATTATCAGCCATAATGTGAAACTACTACACTGCTAGTCATTGACTTAAGCTTGGAGGTTAATTACAGAATAAGCTTTTCTAAATATTTTCTGACCCTCAAAAACGATAACTCAAACTATGTAACATTAACAAGTCAACTAAAATAGTTTTTCTATGTAGCCATAACTTTCAAACGAGAATATCGGTCAGAGACCGGAGACTAACTAGTTAATAACTCGCTAATTATACGACATAATTAACCCAAAATCTATAGGCTTCTGGTCCGAGGTAAGATGCATGCACATGCAAAATTTGGAGCAGATTCAACCACGCGTTCGCAAGATATCGCGTTCATCTAACAGACACACACACAGACAGACAGACAGACATACATACATATACCTATCAATAAACTTACCGATCTTAAGATCGATAAGTAACAATTACAATAAAACTAGGCAAAGCCCTGATGTCTGCCCTAATTAACAAGTGTTCTACAACTCAATAATAGATTATCCAGTTTCAATCAATATTTATTATTATTAATCAGAAAGCCACACATCAGCTCAATAACATTTCCTCTAAAGCAGTGGTTCTCAACCTTTTTTAGTGGCAAAGCCAAATTTCACACACTTGAAAGGTTGCCCCCAAATCGGCCTAACAACTACGATGACATAAGTTCAACTACTGCACTTCAGTCTTTCAATTTCAAGTCAATTATTAATTTAGAATGAAATATTTCAACTAAAAATGATTAATTTTTTAAAAATAATGAGAACTGTGGTTAAGACTTCTTAACACTAACCTAATCCAACAATGTCAAGGAGAGCTTTGTCCAATTCTTTGAAATACTATCGCAGTTGTTTTCAAATTTTTTAAGCCACGCTTCCTTTATAGAATTTGTCAATTCTCCCCCCCCTCCCCCTCAAATATAACTAACTAACAATAAGCTACAAATTACAGATATTAAGGTGAAAGTAATATAACAAATAATAAAAATAACAACAACCACAACAGCTCTCTGCAATCTCTGAAGAATAAAGAAATTAATTATCCAGAATAAGGCGGGCAAGATCAAATCTTACAATTTTTTTCTTTTTTAATTACTTCCACCCCCCCTCAAAAAATTGTCTACACCCCCCTTGTCGAGGGCACCAACTCAACAATTTTTCTTATGCAGCCACAACTTTCAAACTAATAAATAAAACTAAGCCCTGAGGTCCGTACAGCAAATTCCTAAATTCCATTTAAAAATCAATAAACATTATTCCTACCGCAATCTACAATATGCCAAAACTGTCATCGAAGTTAAAGATCATACAAGGTCAAGTCCGGGGATGAGAAAATTTAACTATAGCTATATGTGGCTAATTATACAGAGCCTTAGCCAGGTAAGAGCAAATGAGGTAATAAAATTTGTATATAAAAATTATAGATCCTACATAATATGAAAATAGGGGTAGAATTATTTCTTAAAGAATATATTAGAAGTAAAAAAACAATCTTCAACCAGTGAAAATTTCAAAGCAATTGGTCCATTAGTGAATGAGAAAAATGAATTTTTCATAACAACAAAAAAAAATACCAACAACATAATAGCAAAACGATCAACTTTGCGTTCAAAAAGTTTTTGTGGTCTAAATTTTTTTTCAATAAGAGCTGGAATAGAAATCTTCTTCAACGAGTTGGTGTCAAAATTGATCTCAGCCAGGAGTGAAAAGTGCAAATTTTCTCGCGATACACAGCTTGGTACTACTTATATATCAAATTAAACAGTCATGAATTTTTTGAAAAGTGCGAAGGGAATTTATCGATACCATATATTGTTTTGTACCTCACAGATATATTAAAGGAGGTAAAAATACTTGAACAATTACTGAATAAACACAACAAACCTGGTAAACATATATATTGAGAACTGACTTCATAACAAAATTGGGTGCTCCCGAAGTATGCGAACCAAGATGGCGGACATCGGAACGTAACATGAGTAACAGGTTAGGGTTAGGCGATAATTTTTTTCCAATTTTCCTTATTTTTGTCCTATTATCAGTTCGAAGACTAGCCAAGAGCCTCTCGTAGTATTTATACCTAAAATTATGGCCTAACCCTAACCTAGTACACATATTACATTCCGATGTCCGCCATCTTGGTTCGCATACTTCGGGAGCCCCCAAAATTGAAATTGTAAAGGGACTTTGTGGACACCTATGTTACAAAATTGTAAACCTACCTTTTCAGCCAAGCTATCACCTGCTCCATCATCACTATCAATAGATGAATCTCCTCCAAATTTCTTCTCTAATTCAGCTTGGGTCTCTTTCTCTAATCTTCGAATGTCGGCCATGTTTAGTCCAAACCATTCATCCTGCCAGCACCAGGCTTGACGATGCGCTCGACCCATGGTTTTCCGAAGAGCTGTAAAATTGTGAAACTTGGTGAGATGGCTTGGTTGTTTTAGATCAGGGTTCGCAACCTTATTCGATAAATTCCTTCTTTGCTTATTTTAAATCCTTATTCCTCACATACTATGCATAATAAGTCTGTAGCCATTATTTGTTCAATCTCTTAATAAATTCTTAGATTCTAATCTTGTGTTTTGGATATATTAAATTTTTGCAAATTAGGTGCGTTCCGGTTGTTACGATTTTTCCAGCTCATCACTGGACTAGGGTATAGGCTTTGCAACGCAAAGGGATTGAAATTACTCCCACTTTCCAGATTCACTAAATTAAAAAAACTTGTTTCATGGGGCGCGCACAATTCAAAATTGGCATTTCACTGCGGCCCTCACAATTTTTTTCTTGTGGGCCTCGATTGGTCTGCGGTTCATGGGTTGCACACCCCTGTCGTAGAAGTTCAGGCTTTTAAAAATGAAGTTTGCCATGCCAAGTAGTTATTTTCTTCTTTCACTCACCTACATCATGAATAAAACGTTCTATCTTTGATTGCATTCCCCAATATTTGAATTCAACCTAGAAAAAGGGTAAAAATTGTCATAGGATGAAAATTTCATATTTATTTTGGAAGGGAAAAGGGTCATTTTGGCATCGTAGGTTGAAACCTCAAATTGAAAAAAAAAGTAAAAGTGACATGGAATACAGATTTTATATTTTTTTTTGATCTTGGAAGGGAAAAAGTGACCATAGTTTGAAGATATCCAGTTGAAACCCAATGCTCATCACCTGTCCCGGGGTCGGGTATACAATTGGGCTGTCCCGGATATATTCCAGTCTCTCAAGCAATAATATCTTTTGAGTAGAAGAGATTGCTCCTATAACCTTGTTTTTAGTGAAGGTGTAAAATTACCACAAAACAGAATTACTGGCCCAAAATATCTTCAAATAACTTCGATGACCCATATGGAATCTTTATTGGAACAATTTAGAATCCTTTGTCTATCCATTATTCATTGTGTAATTATAGTAATATGGCAAGAATAAATAGGACTATACTTGAACAATCGGTGCTCTAGAAGTATGCACACCAAGATGTCGCACAACCTGAATCCTGACCGGTACACACATACTATGTCCAGGTTGTGCGCCATCTCGGTACGCATACTTCTGAAGGTCCGAATAAACTAATAGCCTGAATAGCATGGCAAAATGATGCACAAATTGAATGAATGAGTTTTTTTTCACTATCAGTGGCTGCTAGTTACTTATCGATCTTAAGATCGGTAAGTATGTTGATAGGTATTTGTCTGTTTGTCTATAAGACACTTTCATATGTTACTCGATATCTCACGAAAGCGAAGTTGAATCTCCTCCAAATTTTGCATGTGCTTTCATCATATCTCGGACCAAAAGCCTATTGATTTTGGATGAGTTATGTCGTATAATTAGCGAGTTATTAATTAATTAGTGACGGGACACACGGTGTCACTATGGAGTAAGAGCGCATGAATCGATCGATAAGTCTTCGACCGATATTCTCGTTTAGAGATTTGTTTGATTGAATGTGTGAAAAGGCTACGTAGATAAATCATATAAAATAAGTGAAACCCCTCAAGAAGTGCACTGACTCGAAACAGGTTCACAGCATCACAGGCGCATATTTTTGGGTATTTGTCAATATCAGAGACCAAAAGGCTTTCTCTCCCTATATTGGAGATTTTTAGAATTCTTTTTGTATTTTTATTTTTATTGTACAAATATTGTAATATGTTGAAAGTAAATATAACCAGTCTATACTTGAATAACATACAAATCAATAAAATCATAACACAAATGAGGCTTTTCAAACTATAATACTGCAACAAACCAACACAACATTCACAAGTATTGATTTCAATTTCAAGTCAAACTGGGTTTGCAAAATATATAATTGGCAATACAACAAGGTCGATGAACTTCATATGTTAAATAATCAATAGAATATTGTAACTTTTGAAAAGCTGTGAAGTAATTTATAAGAATGTACTTTGGCTTCCTTAGTCATCATTATGCATATTCTCATACCTGACCTGGAATGGTAACCGAACGAGAGGCCATGGTTTGCCACATCATTCAGCCATCTACCTCCTTCCAAAATAAACAAGAATGAATATACCATATGATTACACTGTCTTACAGCCTTTTATAGGAGACGAATCTCTTTCACTTCTGAGTTGGAGCACTACAATGATTAGATATGGATTCAAGAGCTATTGGTCGCTATTTAGTAGCCTGTAACTTTGCTTGGAGATCATTCTATTTTTCTAATATAATCGTCAAAACAGCTGTTTTGTTACTATAATTCAGTGAAGCGTCGCGGGCCGGATTATGTTACTCCGAGGGCCGGATCCGGCACGCAGGCCGTAGGTTGCCGACCCATGCCCTAGGGGTTCATGGAGGTTAATGAGACTTCATGCTTCAAAAATCTGCAGGATTAATTATCTAGTCACATAGAAATGTTTTCAAACTTCATTACAGTGATGTATCAGATGTTCTAAAGTCTGTACACAGGCCCTACGTATGATTAGGCTAGAAATAAAAGAACATATCAATTTTTTAGAGCAGTGGTTCCTAAAGTTGATTGATCGGAGGGGGCCCAAATTAGAAGCGGAAAGATATTCATGGGCCGAAAGAGGAGAGCGCTCGCAAGAGGCCAGTACAGTTCCATTACATTTGAACCCACGTACATTTGAACCCATGACAATTGCACCTGTATGCTATTGCACCTATGGAAATTTTTTTGTTTCACGGATAGTTAAACCCATACTCACCGTAACCCATGGGTTTTCGCACCCGCATATAGATTGAACCCGTGGATATACGCATGGGTTCAAATGTACATGGGTTCAAATGTACGGTCACCGGCCAGTACCATTACACAGTTTGGGAACCACTGCTTTAGGGGTTGCCATTATTTTAGTGTAATTTGATCATAGATTCTCATAGATTCTTATCCAGAAGTAAGAAGAAAAAGAAGTAAAAGAAATGTATCTATCTTTGAGGCAAAGTTATGTGTGACTATTAAAATGCCAAGTGAGCCAGTAAAATTCCTATATTTCTTAATGGGAACTAAATATTGACATAAAACATTCACAATTTCATCCCCAGATAATAGCCTAAAACCTCGAAAATTTTTTCTACTTTATTCACAATATTATATCTCGTTTATTAAGTAGTGAATAAAATGTATAAATAAAAAAAGTAAAATGCTCATGTCTCACCTTACACAATTTATAAGAACACATGACACTATGGCCATCCTTCCCTTTATTCATTTTAGCATTGGCAAGCCATTTCTCATTTAATGGCCCACGACCCGTTTTTGCAGATTTATACAATCTTGGATCCTCCTCCTTCAATATCTTGTCTACTGATTGGTCAGTCACAATGTCAATCAAATCTGAGAAAACAATATTAAAGTTAAAAACTTAAAATCACACAATAGCTTGCACAAAGATAATCTGCAAATGGCTCACAGCTTTTACTCCCCAGAATATACTGTATATGTAGATATTTTTATGGCTTTCTCATTCCCAGCAAGCCTCAAAGAACCAGCTGGGTCAAACAAAAATTCATTTTTTTCCAGAATTAAAAAACCCAATGCAAAGTGCAAATGCAATGCAAAAAACAACGCAAAGTTTTAGAAGTCAGCTGACTTCTAAATATGCTTTTTGTGAGATTAAAGGTGACAAGAGCAAAAATACAATATGTATTTATTACTTCTGTAACGTTTCATCTGACCAAAGTGACATTTTCTCGGACAGTTCACAAAATGTACTACCATATTTCTTTCAAATCAAACAAAAACATACCAACAGCAATATTTTTTGAAGAATTAGTTCCAAAAACGTTTTCCTGGTCACCAGGGTCGTCATAATATTTAGTTTCGATATCAATTGAAAATTTATCGATAAAAGGACAGGTATATCTGGTCCTCGTATGTGGATAGGCGTTCCATGCTTCTTCGTAAACAATAAGTGCATCTTTGGGAAGTATTGCAACAAACCAACCTATAAAAAAGGCAACTTTTTTAATACAGAAAACATGATGTAAAATTTTTGTCTCGGGAAGATCTTTTGCACTATCTTTTCAAAAAAATTCTATCTCTGAAATGTTTGAAAATATTGAGAATAAAATTGGAAATATTTGAGAGGTTGCTTCCTAACTAAAAACTATTGACTGTGTGGCCTTTGTTATTATCGTAATAAATTTTTTAAAAGATTGAATAAAAGTGACATCTCAATCATAACATGCCCTAAAAAACTGACCTTTCAATAAAATCAAAAAATTCATTCTTAAAGTTTCTCCTTGTGACACAATTCATACCACATTCTTACAAAACAAAGATTGAAATTAGGGCAAATACAGATCATGCAAAAGCTGTAAGGGCTGCCTGTAAAAATCAAGTAAACGCTCAGGAATTTTATGACCTCAGAGTAATACTTTACAGCCTTTATAGGTATATGTTCACAGCATCCTTACAAAACAGAGACAGTAAGGCACTACAAATGCTACAAAAATCAAATAAACACTAAAATTATAGATTTTCAATTTAAAGTTTACAAAAATATATCTTACTAGGTATATGTTTACTAATATGATATATTTTCCTTGTATACTGCCCACTTCCCCCGAGTCCATTCTCATAAGGTCGATTTTCAATGATTTCAACACCACTGCCTTCCCCTTGGCTTTCTTCGCGACTCTTTTTCTAAAAAAGAAGAAGAAAATTGTATTACAATTCGGTAGGGAATGCATAACGAAAAATTTCATTGCGTAGTGGAAATACCCAAAACTGAACTGAAATTACTGTACTGTGATGAGAACAGTTGCGCTTTGGAAATGTTGCATACCACAGCTAAAGGTTAGCAGAAGAATTTCGTCCCAATTAGAGTGTGTACGAAATCAGTCAAATAAGTAGGCCTACGTGTATGAAAAAGCGACCTTCAGCATGTGCATGTACAAGAGCGTACATGTGTTTAGTATGTGTGCAAAAGTGGAATCTTCAGTGATTAATGTGTATGCATGTGTTGGAGTGTGAATATAATCAATATGTATAAAAAAATGTGTGAATGTGAAAGTATGTGCTTGTGTGTGTAGATGTGGTTAACATGAGCACAAAGGTTGGGAAAGTGTGAATACGTTCGATGTATGTGCAAAGAATGTGACCTTGATGTTTCAAATGTATGTGGTTTTTAAGACTGTGCACATAATCGATGTATGTAAATTTACTGCGATGAAACAGTCAAGCTTTAAAAATTTCACATACAACAGCTGAGGGCTAGCAGAAGAATCTCATGCAAATTGACAAAATACCTGTATCATATACAATTGGGCAATCCTGTACTCTTCTACAGTCATTGGCATAGGGATACGATATTCTTTGATCAGCATTGTGGCAAGCTAGCAAAAGGCAAGAGGCATCAATCAACATAGGACAAATTCTATGTAAAAAATGTTGTGTCCAGAAAGTCCCTTTATAATTTCAATTTTGTAATGGAGTCAGTTTCCGGTATATCTTTCACCAGGTTTGTTGTTTTTTAATCAGTAATTGTTTAAGTATTCTTACTTCATGCAACTCATTTGTGAGGGCCAAAACAATATATGGTATCAATAAATTCCCTTTGCAATTTAAAAAAATTCAAGACTTCATGGACACCCTATATTTTTAGAACACAAGCATGGAATATTAGTTAAGTGATGGCATAATAGATTGAAGATCTTAAGTTAAATTCAACCCTCGTCAAAAGTACAACAAATTGTGTAGGCCATACTTGAATATGGAGAGGTTCCAATTATTTCAGAAATTGTATGTCCTTAAATGCCAGTGGAAGTTTGCCTAGAGCTATTAGGGTATGATAATTAAATAAAAGCTCATAAAAGAATAAGCTTACCTGCTACTAAAACTATAAAGATGATAAAATATTCAACACTTCGTTATTTTATTGCAGAAATCATTATTTTTGGTTACTTGTTCGAAGCATTAGTCGAATAAAATCTACATTATTTACAAATCTAGTCTAAAATCTGTTCAGAGAAAGAAAAAGAATATAAATAAAATAGAAAACGAAACTGTTAATATTAGGCTATATCTTGAATAATAAGTCTGGAAATGAAGAGAAAAATATCCTGACGACAAAACTAATTCAAAATTAATTGCAATTAGGTAATAAATATGCCACTACAGATTCACAAAGGATTCATGAATGAAATTAATGCGATCTAGAAAAAAATACAAATTATAATTATTACCAAAAGCAAAGTACATGTGTGAAATATTTCATTAAGAAAATGACATCGAATAAGATTTCACTCTAAAATAGATCCGTTAAGAACATTCAAGGGTAATAAAATATAAGAGTTCATTGCCAATGATGCTTCAAACTGAAATATAATCTCGCAAGATTTGCAACTTCTGTCACAAAGATTGTTTTATACAACTCATTCACATCTTTCGCTCAGAGCAAAAACCTTCACGAGCTTACAAGAGAGTAAGCGGTAACTATTTTAGAAAGGGCAGGAATCTTTCAGGTACGCAATGCCTACTTAATTTATTACGCCCCGATGAGTTGATCGGAGTTTTGAACTTGAGATCTGTAACCTGCAATGCTAACGTAGTTGAGTCTGAAACTTTAACCATTAGGCCACTGCATCCTTCAGAAAAGATATTCGAAATAAGTCAATTCATAAAATTTCAATTCTTCAGCAAATAAGCAACATCGTATGCTTTTGCAAAAGCACGTTAATACCAGTCTTCTTGAATATGAATGTGACACTTATATGGAAATAATTATCATAAATGATTGATGTATGCGCATCAATTTATCAATGCAGTACATTAACAAGGGCAAATAAATCAATGCAGCGCAATAGACTAATGCAGACGAGGCTCCGGTTAAAAATCTCATACTCACTCAATTCTGAACGGAGGAAGATTCCATAGAAACCAAATTGGTGAAATGATAGATTCCATAGCAACCAAATTAGTGAAATGATAGATTCCATAGCAACCAAATTGGTGAAATATGAAATCAAAGGGCAACGGAATTAGCAACAAAGATAAGAAATTCCCAACAGACTTCCACAAATAGCTTTTCCCATAAACGTATGACAGTGATGGATGTGATTTACATAACAGGGGGATTTAATCTTTCCATATTTTCAAATAGAATTGACATGACTAAATTAATAATTTCCAAGAACCATATTTTTGGAACGTAATGATTAATTTCAATGCTATTATTGGGATAGGTTGGATTCTATATAACTGTATAGGCCTATGGTTTATTATGATTTAAAATCATTTGTGCACAGTTATACATGTTATTTATGCTGCTGTATTGAAAACTAATACAAAATCAATCAATTTATGGGCTATTGTATAAATATGTGACCAAAAGATTACAGATTATATATGTAAAGATAGTAAATTTATGATTTGGAAAAAGATTTTAAATAATTTATTTAAAAATTTATCTTCAAAAACATTTGAGATCTGACAAAAATACACTTCATTCAACTCGCTGTAAAAATGGAAATCAATCAATGTGATGCCTATCTTCAGGGCGTAGCCGGGAAAATTCAACGAGGGGTTCTGACAATTCTAAGAGTCTAAAAATCCTTTCGAGCTATGAAAAATTGCTTTGTGTGTTACAGAAAATGTTTTTTTCATTTTAAAAAGGGAGGGAGGGTAAACGACTAGATAATCGAACAATTCGGTAGTCGACCAAAAAAGGCTGTGGCGGTACTCATTCGATAATCTAACACATATCCTGAATGAATTATGTTCGACTACCAAGGTATCACTACTGTACTTGATGTACCATATATTTAGAAAATATTACCGGTAGTTCAGATTGCGTAGTAAGTAAATATATAATAAGTGATAACTGATCTTTATCTAATACTTTGATTTAACTCTGCTACTTTATTTAATAGAGTTCACGAACTCATCACTTATTTCTCATTTATATAGAAAACTTTAGATGCTCCACAGGCTGCAATAAAACTAATACCAAAATAAAACACATGAAACTGATTCTTTTCACAAGCAAACAACATCACCAGAGACTTTTTAAAAACACCAACAAGAGATAGACATTTTCGATTCCATATAACATTGGCAAAAGATATAATAAGTAATAACTAGTATTAACGATCCTTTTCTGTCAACAACATTTCAAGGCAGTAATATCCTCTATTGAAGCCACTTCTCAGTAGAGGAAAATTCAGAAACTACCAAACTTACAGATGCCAAAAATAGCACAATTTTTCTATAAATACGATGAACTCTTTTCAAATGCCCTTATAATAGAAGTGCTAGGTGTTACTCATTGCATGACTACTGGTAAAACAGTAGCAGAGCAGAGGAGTTTCTCAATCAAGTAAAGAATAACTCAATTCACGTCAGAGGCCGTTAACATACGCCATAGAAACCAAAAAATAATGGTGACTGTTGAATATAAAAATGAATCATTTCGATTGGGGACATATTTATCAATTGAAAAATGGGGCATCTCATGAATCAGAAATATAATATTTCTTTATAAGGCAAAATTTTTGGTACTTCCATAGAGTGTGTACTAGATTAGGGTTAGGCAATAGTTTTATTCCAATTTCCCTTATTTTAGTTGAAGTAGAGGTTCGGGGACGGCCTGTGTTAGTGTTAGCCAAGTGAATATAACCCCTGCCCATAAGCTTACCTCCATATTGGTACACATACTTCTGGAGTACCTAAAAAGTGCTACGTGTTACTCATTGCATGGGGCTCCCGAAGTATGCGAACCAAGATGGCGGACATCGGAATGTAATATGTGTACTAGGTTAGGGTTAGGCCATAATTTTAGGTATAAATACTACGGGCGGCTCTTGGCTAGTCTTCGAACTGATAATAGGACTAAAATAAGGAAAATTGGAAAAAAATTATCGCCTAACCCTAACCTGTTACCCATGTTACGTTCCGATGTCCGCCATCTTGGTTCGCATACTTCGGGAGCACCCATTGCATGACTATTTGTGAGACAATGAAAGAGCAGGAGTTTCTCCATTCACGTCAGAGGCCATAGAAACCAAAAAATAATGGAAACTGTTAAAATAAATCAAAATAATAATAAAAATAAATCATTTTGATTGAGGACATTTAATTCATCAATTGAAAAATGGGTCATTTCATAAATCAAAAATAATTATAATAGAGCTTTATAAGACAAAATTTCCAATGTTTCTTGATTTGGGGATACATTGAATTTATCAATTGAAAATGTGCCTTTTCATAAATCAGAAACACAATACTTCTTTATAAGGAAAATAAATTTTATTTCATATGTTAGGTTCTTTATATTATAATATTTACAAAAAAACTTGGCATTTTGACATCTGGATGATCAAAACCCCATTAACCAGATAATAAAGACAAAATTTTCAATTTTACTGTTGAAAAAATGAATAAGGCCAGACTCTACTTTAAAGTGGTTTTGAAGTGTAATTCCTTCCTAATATTTTTTAATTTTAGGTGTTATTCCTTCCTTTTGCATTCAAAAAATCAAATTTTAATTTAATTCGATTTGCATAAATTGTGTATTTAGACAAAAATGATTGCCAAATTGCACTTCTTGAATCCTCATTTTATTTCTGACTTCTATAGAAAACCCTAGAACTTCCACATGCTGTTAGGGAACTGATACAGAAATAAAACACTTGAAACTGATACATGGCAATTTCAAAAGCATTCAAACATTGACATTAAGCAGAACTTTTTCTATTCTGTTCGACTAAACGGGCTACAATTATAAGACTTATTCAACCGAGCAAGACTAGAGATGTTCAACATCTAAACCAGTGGTTCTCAACCTTTTTTTCTTTATTGGCCCATTTTCGTGGCACAAAAATTCTGCGGCTCATAAACTTTTTCATGCAAGGGAAAAATACTAGAAAAACAAAAAAAAATTTCGAAAAAATTCACACCTCAGCTTTAAAATAATTAAAATGTAAATGAGAATACCGCACGCCCCATCACTAATTAATTAAAAACTTGCTAATTATACGACATAATTCATCCAAAATCAATAGGCTTCTGATCCGAGCTATGATGAATGCACATGCAAAATTTGGAACAGATTCAACCTCGCTTTCGTGAGATATCGCGGGCATCTAAGAGACAAACAAACAGACAAATACCTATCAACATACTTACCGATCTTAAGATAATGAGTTAAGTAATTATCACTCAGTAACAGAAAACAGTATCAATTATCTCCACTGCTGTCAAAATTAACAATAGTGACACAAATGAAACTAGCAATTATATTATGTCTGCGGCCCACCTCAAAATGTTTATGTGGCCCTGCAGTTGGCCATGGCCCACTGGTTGAGAATCAGTGATGTAGACAGTCATCTGATTTTTGAAATGATCTTACCGACACTTAATTTTATTAGCCGCGAAATCCTGCAGCTAAATCTGTCATAAAACTATTGTATCCTAAATTATGAATTTCAAAAGAAAGATAATTACACTCTAATTTAAAACAGAAAATGAGTAAAAGTCAAGAAAATCAGGATATATATTATACACTAATTTATACATAGCAAATATTCCAGGTAAAACATATAAATTTTATCATCGAAATTAATGCAAAATACTTTATCTGATATAATTCACTTTCTTATTTTAAACATCACATATTTCTAACTTCTATAAAGAGAACTCTAGATGTCCCACAAGCTGCTGAGAAACAGATACAGAAATAAAACACTTGAAACTGATATCGACCTTTTCACAGTCAACATCACTAGAGACTTCTAAAAACACCAACGAACAGACATTATGATTCCATCAAAAATTGACAAAGGACGACTACATTAAGACACTCATTTGACAAAAGTAGCCAATCTTATGAATGTTTCATAAAAGTCATCATCTACGTTGCAATTTATTTCAAATGATTTCTATTTATTCTGCTGCAAAATGTAGGAAAATTTGTTAATAAATTATCGAAAATTCTAAAATTTGTAACAAATGAAGAAAATTT